AACATTGACTGAAGAAGCGCTTCTAATTCTCCCGCCGCCGCCTCAAAGTGGCCCGGAGCCATGTACTGGACCAGTAAGAAAATAGAAAACTAACACCATATTATTCCTTCATTTCTACCCAAAGTCGACCGCCACATTACGTAGCAAGTCATTTCACACGGCTTCAACATTGCCTTTCTTCCCCCCGCCACCGCGATTCACAATTTAACAAGAAACGGGTGAGCCATGATCGAGCAACCGTCAGTGCCCTCCCACGAAGCTTTGGGGAACTGACCATCCGGACGGCAATTGAATGAATGCATGGGCAGTGCTGCAAGCCTTCGGCACCTTCGCCCTACAGCCACAAACACACACACAAGCAAAAAAGCACATGGAAGTTGCGCATCGGGCGCTGATGTAAGCCGAATACCAGCACCGACCACGGGGGGTCTCCCTGGGTAATGAAAGTCTCGTCTCGTGATATGTATTCTTGGAAAGTGCTCGGATGAAGGCTACTTCAGTAGAATGACGGCTTGCCTTATATCCGGCGGACAGACCATAATAGTAACTCAAAATGCGAAGATATGGGAGGAAGAAGAAAAATAGATGTGGCCTAGAATATGTCAGAAAACAACCACCAAAAAAGATAAGCCGAACCTGTAACTGTAACTGGCGAAAATCCGGAGGCGGAGGGCGCAAACACCACGTTCATGTCATCGCCGCACAGAACGGTATTTCCGGCACACATCACCAGCTCAGCTCGATGACTATTGCCTTACGAAGAAAAGCCGAACAACAACACAGCCAGCACAGCTCCGGTACGTGTCCGTAAGAGTCGGGTAAGAGCTAGAAAAGCCAAATCAGGCTCAATGCTCTGGCCCGCCACGACGTTTCTGGAACAAGGTGAAGGAGCGCATCAACGGGGTATACAGCACGAGACACGTCTATCCGTACAGCCGTACGACCAGCTCAGCTCAGTCTTACTATTGTCCGAACAACAACGGGACATGATTCACCTACCTACCTACCTACGGTCATCGATAACAAAGTAGGTGCAAACCAGCAGATGGGAAGTTTACAGTGTGGCGTATTGGAAAGGTTATTGATGCTGACGGACGCTACGAGATCTTCCCGCGCGGGAAAGCCTCTTCCCTGCTGCACACCCACCGCCTACTGCCCTGTTGCTAATTTCGCCGCCTAAGAGGCTTTTGGTCAAGGCAGGAGGTCGGCGCGAAATACGCACCTTGGTGCGAATGTGGAAAGAAAAGGAAGCAAGGGCAGATCCAAGAAGGCGGACAGGTTATGGAAGACAGCCAGAAACCCAACGGAGGGGAGAATAGGTGAGAAAAGCGCCCAACTTGCAAGTGTCAAGACCACCAACTTACACCAAAGAGAACGCCTAGCGCATGTCGCGCACGCACTGCGGCTACCCTGGCGCAGACATCATCTCACACACTCGTCAACCTTCTAAATCGAGCCAAGGCTGGTTGGGTTGGGTTGGTCGACTTTGCCGCTGCGGTGCCGGGTCGGAACCGCAACTTGAACATAACGTCCGTAGGGACTTTGGCGGTCGGTCATCGGACCATGGAAATGCTGGGTTGGCCCTTGTCTGCGTCCCGTACCGTACCGTTATTGTACCGCCTTCGCGGTCATGTATCTCGACAATACCACGCAGTACATTGGGAGAGTGATGGCATGTCTCGCTCTTCGGATACCGACTCGGACAGAGCAAAAACAAATCAGCTCAGAAACCGAGGCCCCCGCTGGCCTTCAATAAGCAGAACGGACCTTTTGTGAGCACCTGCCCTAAGAAGAGTCACCTAAGGTGAGGTATCTGACAGCGAGGCACCGCAGTAGTCAGATTGTCAGATTCAAGGTAGGGACTATCTTGCATTTGAGTCACTATTGCTCCGCTAACTAAGGTATCATTGAAGACGTGAAAGTCCGTACCCGTATAGAATATTCGGAGAAGGTCCGGTGTGGTACGGACCATGTCAGTTCTATCCCGTCTATCCTCGATTCGTCTTGATGTTCTCCAGCGGTTCCTTGCCCTCTCACCTTGCACCTTACCTCACATTACCTTGCCTTACCTTACCTCATCTTGTGTCTGCTAAGGTAGTGGTGGTGCTCGTACCTTACCGTACTCTTTCTGGTTCCTTGCGAGGCGTATGCCACTAGATAGATTGTGGCTAGCTCGAGACTACCCTCAGAGTACGTACCGCGTTCTTTCGACTGGCCTGGCGACGAACGACTGCTCTTTTTTTCTTTTCTTTTTTTTCCGCCTTACCTGTCTCTGCTCTCACGTCTTGCACTCACGTTCTCTCTCCACCCACACACCAACCAAAGGGCAGCCACCAGCATCACAAGCATCGGCAGGGATTCCGATCCTCTATTCCAATCTCTCTTTCGAGGTCTTCATTCGCCTTCTGGCCCGCACTCGCTTCTTTTCACTCGCGGTCGCTGTTACGGTCGCAGCCTGCTGGTGCCGGCCGTCACAAGCATGGAGCAATCTCTCTAACGGACGCCGTCCTGCAACCCGATGGAGACGGCCGGTTCCGAGCCTATTCGATTCTCTCTCTGGCCATTTTCTCACCTTCCTGTCCTTGTTGTATGGCCCTGTCAGGCATTTTGCTATGCTGCCATTCTGCAGGTCTTGCTGGCGTATGCTTCCTTCGTCCCTAACCCGAACACCTAATCTGTCTTGGTTCTTCTGCAGCATCTCTTCTTTTTCCTCGTCGAAACATAATATACGGATACCTGGAAAGAAGGCAAATTTTCTTCAGTCGAATGTTCTGCATCGGTCCTTTCCGCCTAGCTGACATTGCCGTGGTTGCGGCCAAGAAATCAGGCGAAGACGGAAAAGAAAACATAATTAATAATTCATCGGAGAGCATCGTCACGCACAACAATGCCGTCGGACCAACATGCATCATGTCTTTGCTTTGCCTTGCCTTGGCCAGTGCCGTGCTAGGTTTGCTACGCAAAACCGCCGTCCCGACGTACTGGCTCCCGGCCCAACTCTGCCCGTCTCCTGGGGTCCAGAAGCAACGTCGAGACTCTGTTTCTGTACAGAGTACCTCTCACTTCTCACCTCTCACCTCCCACCTCCCACCTTGGCTGGGACAAGCAAAGCTGAAGGACATTGTTGGCACATGGACGCTCAGTTGCGAGTTGGTCGCACACACAAACACCCACTCCATACGCCCCCTGTTCAGCCCGAACCCGGAACCCCATCTTTCGTCTCGAGTCTGTCGTATGTTCTGTCTGCTCTACTCTTCGGATTTTCTTCCATCTGGTCCCTTTTCTCGCGTCTCTCATGATCCGGAGTTCTGGTCTCGACTTTGGCCTCTGCCTAGCTCAGTCCTCATCCATCGCTATTCCCCTGGTCCCCGTCGACGTCGAAACAGATGCCCCAATAGGGAATAAGGTCATTGAATTATCCACTTGTTCGACCACAGACCAGCAGGTAATAAGGGCTCCGTACCGCTGGACACTACGACGTTAGCCCGGTCATGGCCCGCCCGCGCCCTGTAAGAAGAGTTGAGTACCAAGTTGGAGGTACCATACATCGTCGAGAGAGACTCGGGACAGAGAGAGAGTTCCCAGAATCCAGGTCCAGTGGCTCTAGGCCAGGGCTCGAGCGATGTCAACTTTCCGTTGCCTCTGAATTGTTTTTTCCCCTTCCATCCTCGAGGTACGGGGGGTACATGATACCCTGCTCTGCCTTACACTGCGCTGTACGGATACCAATGTACCTTCGTCCCTCAGACCTTGGGCCCAGGAAACTGAAGGGCGCTAGCCATAGCCCTGCAGCCCATCCCAAGCAGGGACGTTGAGGGTACGGATACCGACAAGGGCATTCATTCCCTCTGCTGCCAATGCTTTTGCAGGAAATGCTGGAGCCTATCGATCCCTTCCCCGTCCCCGCCATAGCCCCCATGTCTTCCTTCACTTTTGCTGCTGCCAGAACCTGGACTGTGCCCGCAGTCTGCCCATCATCCCCTCTCCAGGTCTCCAGGTCTCCAGGGCCCAGGAGGAGGAGACTGAAGTTCACTCCCCCAGCCCAGATCCTTGAGCTTGAGGTAAAAGGGTAGTGAGGTATTGCATGTCACACTCTCTAAGCATCAGCACCAGCACATAACCCGCGCGCACACACACACTACACTCACTCACACTCACACGCCTCTCTCTTGCTCTTACATAGTACCTTACGCTCACTCACATATACACATACACACACACACACACCTTGCTCATCTCTTCGTCTCTCGCGCTCTCGTCCGCTTTTACACACCCCCCTCCCCTTCAAGCCCACCTCCCCTTCCCCATCTCTTCGACCGTTGGGACCACACCCCCCCTCCTTCCTCACACGCTGGTCTGGTGCTTGTACCTTTCTCTCTTCCCAGTCCTGGGTATCCGTACCATCTCTGCTTCCTCGAACCCCTGCCACCGTCTGGGCCTTTCTCCTTGTAGAGTAGCTTGTGTCTTTGAACATGCCCTCCTCTCACTCTCTCTCCGTGTGTCTTTCCTCCGCCTGTTGCTTCTGTCTGCATGGGCGGAGGGTAGAGGGTACGTCAACAGCCCGCCCAAGAGGTCGGGATCTAAGAACTCCACTACATCTTTTCACTGCCCACTTGCCATTTATAAGACTGTGCCCGCTCCTGGACTTGTGAGGCTGAGATCTTTAACCTTCTGATGATATCCAAGTATAGCATCCGTGATCTCAGTTGAACCGAAAGCCTCCACCTCGCCAGCAAGCAAGCAAGCAATCCTTCCTTCTCCAGATTTCAAAAACTCGGGTGCCTGATTTGCATTGGTCTGTTATAAGTCCTACACCCTATCCTATCCGCCACGCCAGACATCGTCACATCAAACACACATACATACAACAGTAGAACGGCGCTTGGACATATACACACATACCTCGACAGCATCAACGACCTCACCGACCTCGACTTCTCACCACTTTCGTCCGTATGTGCCATCCAGAGTTTCTTCCTAGTCCTCCTTCTTCTTTATCAATGGCTTCCAGTTATTCTTCCGAGCAGGGTTGCGAGAACTCTTACTCACTTCCACCCAGATCCCGAGCAGGAAGCCGCGTATCAGCCACCGCTGCTCAGTTCGCCAGCATACAGCTCGTCGATTCCCCCAGAACCTTACCAATAGAGTCCAGCCCCTCCATCAGGTCCGAGGCACTCCACTCCTCCGGCTATATCAGTCCCAACCCGCCCAGCTCGGCCACCTTCCTCTCAACCTCAACCTCACAGGGATACTCGCCTTTCCCTCTTCTGCCTCCCGAGATACTGAATGCAGAGTGGAACGACAACCACCACCACCATCTTCAACAACACTCCTCCGACTCGACGCCTCTAGTCAGAGTAGAACCGGCCCAGGACTACTCTCACCACCCATCATCCTCGCCACTGCCAACCGGAGCAAGCATGAGGTGCGCTCCCGGCCTTGTACCAAGTTGAAAGAAGTCACCGTCTCTAACATCTCACTCTCCCACAGCACTGTTGCTATTCCATTTGACCCCACGTTCACCATGGGAAGCCGATCAGCATTCACCTGGCCTGGTAAATCCGCCTTGCTCCCTACGCATGCCTCCTCGTACGTGTCTCTAACATGCGTTACCAAAGGCCTCGACCACAGCGAATCAAGCGGCACACTACTCGGCCACAACCTCGCATCTCTCGGCAACTCAGACGCCAGCCTCACACCACCCAGCGGATCCAGATCAGTAACAGCGAGCCCGCCGAGGGGGACCTTGACGCCGGAGCAGCGGGAACTCAAGAAGCAGAGGGACCAGGCACGCAGAGACTCAAAGGCCTCCCAGCGTGTAAGGAGGGCCGAAAGCAACCCCTACATCCACTCGCCGCCTCTATCGCTGCCGGACGTCTCGACCGCCATGGGCGTTCCCGTTTACACCACCGCACCCGCCTCCATCTCCCTCCTCGCCGAACCGACGACCACCATGAGCAACTCATCATATCTCCCCTCGTACAGCCCGCCTCTATCAGACCACGGATACCAAAGCGGCTACCCATCCATGGCCCCGGCCTACAGCATGGGCTCGATCGACTACTCCAACCAGTTCCAACCCTCGCAGTACGGGTATGTATGCGTGCGCCCCTTTCAGAGAAGCATAGCAACCAACGATGGAAATGGGACTTTGGTTCAGCTGTGTGCCTCGGGAGAAGAAGAAAAGCTAACAGACCGCCTTCCAGCAGCCGACCCCCAATGCCAGTCAGCCAAGACCCGATGATGTACGGCGTACCGCCCATGGGCCCCGGGGCCGGACCGGACCAGGGACACGTGAGGGTCGTCCAGAGCAGACCCAAGCCCCAGTGCTGGGAACACGGCTGCAATGGCAGACAGTTCTCGACCTTCAGCAACCTCCTCAGACACCAACGCGAAAAGTCGGGCCAAGCAGCCAAGGCCACCTGCCCCAACTGCGGGGCCGAGTTCACAAGGACCACGGCGCGGAACGGTCACCTCCTCCACGACAAATGCAAGCAGCGCCGCAACACATGAGAGAAGAACCACCACCACCACCACCACCACCAACGTGGCTGGGGCTGAGGGGCGGTCTGTTGGTCGTTTTTTGTGTTGGAACCAACCCGACTTTTTCTTGACTTTATTTTACGACGTGAGGACCCGGCATGACTTTCTGTTGGCTGCTGAACGCGAGAGATCGGGGGGGCCGAGGACACCCCGGTTGTTATCCAACGTTTCGATGTCCAACAACCAACATGGAACCAACAACGTACGAAGACGACCAACACCGCACTGAGCAGCGCCGCCGCCGTCGGTGGTCATCTCCCACACCCCCTCTCCGCTCAGCTTCGCCCGTTTTACCATTCGAACTGTACATCCTAGGGAAAAGAAGAGAGAGAGAGAAAGAGAGATAGGAAAAAGGGGCATCTTTCGAAGAAGGCGAATGGGGCGTACAGCCGCAAGAAAACTTGATATTTACTTTCATTTTTCAAGAGGGCAAACGGCAGGCATGTCCGCCTCTCACGGTACATATACATGCCTCTTGTTGCCGACATACTCAGGAGGAGGGGGGAAATGGTGTTGCTGGCTTTTGTTTTGGACTCTTTTTGATGCGTCTGTTTTATTTGCTTGGATACGCACTTCCGTTTTTGGCAGCACTCTTGGGACGGCATTTTTTGGAATTCTTCTTTTGCTTGCAGTCAACCTGCAAACCAACCACCAACCAACAGACATGGATCGATATGGTCACAGTCACGGTCACTTCACTTCACTTCTTCTTCTTCTTCTTCAACCTTTTCAAGATATACCCTTTCCCTTGGCGTTTATTTCTCCATCACCTTTTTATCAACAGGATAAAAAACAGAAGAAGGGCGCATTATTCCAACGGTTCTGGCTTTTTATATAGTGCTGCGATTTTTTGTTGAACATAGTTCTCTGGACATAGGTACTCCTCCTCCTTCCCCCGAGGACATCGAAATGAATCGATATTCAGTTGTTTACAACACTCGCACCTGCACTCAAAGCCTTGACAAACAAACACGTCATCAGAGTTTCCTCCATCCCCATGTGATGAAATTGCCGTCCCTTGACACTTCAAATCTTGGGGGAAGATGTCTCCCGTCGGGTGTTCGCCCCCAAAAAGTTGGTCCCGAGCCAAACGTGAAAAAGCCAGGGTACCCCCGTGGACCAGGGTCGCATTTCTGAGGGGGGGTGTGATTGTTCGCTTCCCAAAACACCGGGAATAATATTCAAGGGAAACATGGTAGATTACTGACGAACACTGGAATTGAGAGCTTCAACATTGGCCTGGCGTAGTAAACTTGGAATCTACAAAAAAGAAACATTGATAAAATCGATGAAGCAGGGTCTACGGATACGGACACTTCAATCGCCAGAGGGAACAATAAGCATTGTGTTGGGTAGGATTACGAGATTCGGGGCCAGATGCGGTTTTACGGCACGTAGACGGAGACATTTTTTTGTCGTGAGAGCGGAGTGGATTTCTTCTGCTTACTGCGGATACGTGTGTGGTGGAAGTAAGTCTCCGAGGACTGTTCGTCAAAAAAAATAAAAAAATTGAATGAGTCGAAATGATTCCAATGCGGCCTTGCTTCTTTCATCCGATGTGCCCAAAAAGGATCTTTTGTCAAATATCTCAACTCCGTATGGCGGGCGATACGACGGTTTGTTAGAGTGGTCCGTCCAGTGGGCGGAGGGCGGAGAACGAACGAACGAACGCAGTGGAAGGGTAGGGGGTAGGGGGGTGGTTTTGGTACCATGTTTCCTTTCCCAACGTCGACGACAGGAGAGGAAGACCAGAGGGCCCTGGCCTTTTCGGAGTCGCTCTCCGTTCAAGGGTAGGGACTGGGGGGACGATGCTGCATCCGCCAAGTGACCTGTGGCCGGGGGGTTCCCGGTGATGTCAAGATCAGTCGAGCGGAGTTTGGGGAGGAGAACAGAAGAGACAGGCGTGCTTTACCCGGCGAGCGAGCCAGGGCAGGGTTCAATCAGAAGACGGAGAGATCCCAAGCTTCAGGACCGCCAAGTGAACGGACTTAAAGGCCCTGGTCGACAACGAAAGACCACGGATATTGGGGTTACAATATACTGCCCGTGGTAAAACGTAATTCATCTCGTCCACGTGTAAATGAATGCAACTGCCTGTTTACCGCATCGCGCGCGATAGGTATTTCATACCAGGTACCTCAAGGCAGTTGGAGGTGCCAGTATATTTTTGAGGGTCTGGTAACAGTACCCAGGGTGTGGAGAAGGGTCCTCCTCTTCGTGCCGGTGCCATACCGAGACGGCGCGGAGCCAGGCCCGAAGGCCTTTTTTGATATTCTCTGCGGAGCTCTTGAATGATACCTTTCATGACTGATCGTCGGCATGTTGAGGCTCAAAACACGACTCGCAATAGTTTCGGCGGGTGGAAAAGAGGCTCCATAACGGGAAATGTCGTCGACTTCCCCGTTACCCGGGGTTGATGCAGCTGCCTGCCGTGGAACATTGAAAGAGCCGTGAGGTGGAAAGATGGTTTACCAAGTCTGCGGGTCGACGGGCGCAAAGATCGGCGCCATACAGAGAAACAAGGCGAAAATCGGGCTGGCAGATTGGGTGATGATGAGGGTCTTAGTCTCGTCCCATCATATTACATCCCAATTTCCCGCTCCATGGAAAAAGAGGTCGTGGCATCAATGCGAAAAGGAACTGACAGGTCTTCTTCAGTCTGCAACCCCCATTCTGGGACTAGTGAGCCAGAAGTTGAAGCTTTCAAGGGGGAGGCGAGAGACAAGGAGGTGAAGGGTGCATGGCCCAAAACAGGCCATGACGACTTGCATCTTCACATCGAGAAAAGCATGGGAGAGGGGCCGTATCGACTCAACCCAAGCCTCTTCTGTCGATACTAGTCCCAGCGGGCAATTGAAGACCCGCCTCCCGTCGCAACGACCTGAACCTGGCCTGTCTTTGGACCAGGACTGGAACCTGGAACCCGGGCTCGGGTCTCTCTAGGACTCTGGCAACGGGTAGCGATCGCCGCCGCAGAGCCCAGCTTCAGTTGAGGCAACAGAATTGCTGTCCCTGTACATTATTTGGCTCGGGCTTCTCCTCGCCAAAGAAACCCGAAAGACAGGGGTGTTCTTGATGAGCAACAAAGTTGAATTCGACATAGGCCAGAACATCGTTCTCGACCTCTGCTTCGCGGTAAGCGTTTAGCAATAAGCAGAGAATAATCCGAAAGATACGTACCTGACAACGAGGTATCGAAAGGTAACGAACTGCGGGCGTACAGCATGGTCATTGGTGCTCCCCGCCAGTACCGCACCCCTCCCCCCGCCCAACACAGCCGCGATGGAAATAGGACGGGTCCTAATTTCTAGCGTAGGGACATTCTAGCGTGTACTATGTAGGTAAGGTCGCAGTGTCCCCGATCAAGAACCCAAGGCAAGGCTGGTTCAACGTCCATCTTGCCCGGAGTCCTATTAGACAATGATTGGGTTCCAGGGTGATGGGGGTGTTGAGAAACAAGCCTCTGTTTAGGCATCGAGATAAGGTCGAATCAGAAATACGGAATATCGTCACTCTTCTCGTGGACTTGAGATGAAAAAGTTGCTTTTTTGGAAACTCAGGGCTTGGAACGGGCCGCTTGGGCTTAAAGGATGAAGCGGGCAAGGCGGGCAGCGTGGCGGGCAATGGCGGTGACGGCGGCAGAGGGCGTTTGTTGGAGGTTCGTCGTCTCGTCCAATAGCGATGGTGGTGTTGACGATGATGATGTCGACGGTGGTGTCGTTGTCGTCGTCTGTCGCTTGCGGTTTCAGGCTTCTCGTGCTGCGGACGCCGCGGTTGAGGGAATCCGCGGGAAGTCGTGCATGTTGGCCGAGGGTGAGTTGTCGCTGGCATCGCTGCGTCAAGGGCGTGTCATCCTCCCAATCCAAGACAGGCGCAGGCGCACTTGGGTGGTGTGTACGCTGTACGTAGCAAGGTGGTGTACACACACACACGCCCACTGAACGCCCACGATCATCAAGGAATGAGGAGATGCATTGCATTGCAGTGCAGCGCAGGGCAGCGGAGCACGCAGTCGAGAAGGCGGCGTGGGTGCCACCCGGTTGGTGTCCGTAAGGTAGGCGGGTATTGGAGGAGACGACCGAGAGAGAGTGTGAGTGAGTGATGAGAGACGGTTGAAGGAGTCGAGTTGACTGGACAGACCGGGCTGCCTGTAATTGCCCGCACCAATGTCGTCCCTGCCTTTACGGCCTGCCTGTCTGACAGCCCTCATCCGACAGACATGGGGAGGCAAGCACAAGATGCGGATGCCAGTGAAGAAAGTGCAGTGCAAGTGGAGGCAGAGGTGCAAGGTCGTGGTAGTGTATCCGTAAGAACACGAGTGGGTACAAGCCTGCAACGCACCTTGCCCACCAGCACCAAAGTACCTTTTCTTGCAGGATGCGGAGTTGGTTGAGAACCTATCGAAGCGTCCAAACAGAGACAGAGAGACACTGGGAAACATGACAACTCACTGATGCCATGCCATCCCTTCTCTTACCTGACTTAGTCTTCACTGCCACCTTCTCCAACACACAAACATCAGACCCCATGTTCATACGAGAGTACGACGCATGCTTGGTCTCTGGTCTTTACCCTTCGGTCCCGAGTCTTCGTCCGAAAGGCTGGGGCTGGGTCCTGCGTCCTGGGTTCTGGGTTCATGTCTTGGGTCATGGTTCTTCCATGTCGAGATTGGCTTGGGCTCAATCTCATTGTCGGAGTCTCTCCGCCCCCAAATTCAAGGGTGGAGCGAGCGGTTCAAGTCGCTACCCGAAACTCTCGCAGTGACCACTTCGACCTCAGTCTTTGGCGCCATTTCTGAGGGCTCACTTGTATCCGTAAGAGTACCTTGAACATCTCACTCAGTGAGCCCAGCTGAGGTACTCATGTGTTCTGCACCCCTACCACGACACCTCTCCCACATCTCCTCCACTCACTCCCTCTGACCCCCTCCGAGCCCTGCCCTACAAGGCACATGGCTTGCAGGGAACCCGTCTTTACTGGAAAGAGGCGGGCGGCAGAACTGAGAAATGGAGATAAGCGGCTTTTGTGGGATAACGAGAGGGGGGCGTGAGGGCGAAACCAGCCCACATTCCACAAGACGATGGGCAAAGACCAGAGGTGGACAGAAGAGGGGAATTTGCTGATGGAATCTGATGTAATCTCTCTCAAGTCACCCACATCCAGCGCCGCAAAATGCCGAACCGCACCGGGACCATCGCGGGTGTATGCGGTAAGCCACCCGCACATGCCCCGAATCTCGAATCTTGTACCCGTTCAGAGCAAACGGTAAGCTTCTGTCACGTTGTATGCAGTCAGACGAACACCCGATAGAGGAGGTTTAGACGAACTGCAGTCACCTCAGCTTCGATTAGCATACCGCGCGTGGCATGCCAAAAGAACCGAAAAAAAGAAAATTTTCTGGAAGAGCATTCTCCGACGTCGAACCCGACGTGTCGGGAATTGATGCTGCTAGCCGTGTAGTCACTTGCTCCTTTGAAGACTCGGCATGCCTCCCCTGACGACGGCTCTGGGGTTTGCTGGGTACAGACCCTGCCTCGATGGAATGAAGGCCTTGGCCTTGTTACACTGACCATTCAGCTGTCCGCGCAACTTCAACACTTGGAGAGGGTGGTTTAAGGGGGGGAAACGAGGTGGGGAGGTCTTCAACGGAGCGCAACTCCGTGTCTAGGGTAAGGAGCATCTTTGGGTAGATGCGCTGAACAGAACGTAGGTGCCTATTCGTACACCACGGATACGGACAGGTTCTCTGGGCCCAAAGATGAGGGCACGGATTCCCCGAATAGCATCCGATCAGCTTCGGAGTTCAAGTGCGAACGAACCCTCAAAGAGGAGCCCGCGGATGAGGACCGCCAGACTAGACTGTAGTCTAGAATATGGAGACGATAATGAATTGTGGCCCTGAAGACGTGATCCGGTGGCTGCGATTGCTGAAGCAGGTAATGACATGACCCTCTGCGAATAACGGTCGGGCATCTGAATCTCTGCAATGTCCCTCAGGCTCGCTCATAGGGGAGATTGCGGTCAATGGAGTGGCCTTGAGGTCCACTAAGAGGGACCTTGTGGATAGCGATCATAGATTCCCCAAGGTCCGTGGCGAGTAGACCCCAGCCCGGAGTTCTTTTGCATCTTTTCGGCCCCGTTGCGCCCGTCGGTGAATATCTGCGACGGCGACGCTGGGCCCTGTAAATGTCGGGCATGTCGGTGTTCTCGCCCGGCCTTCAATTTCCACGGCCAAGTTCTCGCTATTACAAGCGGCCCTTCTAGGAATCCCAAGGATGGACGAGATTGCGACACGCGCCTGTCGGGGAAATGATTTGATGCAACGGTCCTCTTTGTGTCCATGGACGAGGCTCAACGGCATGTCATGTTGAAATCTGCAGTCAGCCACCTGCGTACCCGGATCGTCTCGAGAAGCATGACGACTTCGTCCACGTGTGCTCCCCTGAATGAAGACCGCGCGGCCGCTGGCGGGAAAGGTTGTGGTTTGAGTAGTTTCAGGGGTGCACACAGACACTTTGTCGCGTGCGGCGGCTGAACGATGAAGCTTAGTTGCTTCAAGTGAAGTTGACCCGCGACTTGAAGTCGACGACATCCAGACGTAGACGTCCCAACGCTTTGAGGCTCCTCCGACCGTTCGTTCGTTGCCGATTTGGGGGCCAAGAGTTCGGCTTTGAACCTTTACGTAAGCGGTTGCGAATAATCTTCACGTGATGAAGAGATCGAGAGACGTCCCGGGTCCGAAGTCCAACCACCTGGTACCTCGGATTCCAGGATATAGGGTAGCATTGGTCTGGTATCCATCCCTTACTGTTTTAGGCAAATAATTCAGGGTAGTATTCTTACCGTTCGTGATGACCCACAGATGCTGGTAGTTGACAGGCCTCGGTCCAACTCGCTCTCCATTGGTTAGAATACTCAAAGGTGTCGTCGATGCTCTGGCTCTTATTGGGCATCATGCGAGCTGGAAGTTAATGTTCTTTCAACATCCACATGCACACCTGGGTTTGACCGTCAAATGCCCGTCGTGGATGAGTGACTGTAACTGTCATACTGACAGACTCTGCCCAGTACCTAGTGACTGTTTGTATCCAACGTGAACCTGGTTCTTCTCATGGCATCTGAAACATCAAATAGATGTGGTAGTGCACACCGTTGCCGTCATTTGGTTGACTTGTCTTCCGGAATCGCAGGTCTTCGAGATATTGAACTGGAGTTGCGCCTGAGCACTCTCGATTTCAAGCTAGTGTCCAAGCCTCTAGCAAGTACCCATAGATGAATGTGCCTCTGGTTTCGATCGTCGTCCCACTAAGCAGCCAAAGTTCTGCCCGCCCCAAATTCGATATTCATGTCGGATCGTCTGGAGAGGATCGGTACCGGCTGGGCGTCCGACGGGATAATTTTAGCGGACTTAGTGTATAATCATCCCGTCGGAGCAACCACTCATTACCTTGGATCAAAGCCTCCTTGGGGAAAAAGTCGTTCGTCGTTTCTGGAAGGCGCTTGGGCGCTGCGGTGAGGTTGACGACATGAGCGGTCTGAGATGGGCATCTAGGCAGCAGAATTAATCCAGGCCCACCCGACGAACTTGAGCGTAACAAGTGAACAAGGTTGGTGGCGTGGAATACTGCCGTGCCGGCCGGGAACACCCTCCAGTACGGAGTTCACCCGCACCTCCATCCACTGCCCTATCCCGATCCCAGTCGGTAGCAGCCCCAGGACATCGCCCTGCCGCAGTTGGCAGGTAGGCAGGCAATCGGTTCGTCTTTGTCTGCGGTGCCTCAGAAGGCAGGGGACGCTGCTAATGTCACTTGGAAGGATCATGAAGCAGTCCCAGTCCGCGGCTAGTGAGGGCCTTAAAGCAAAGGCCAACGCTGAGGCGCCGTTTGAATGCTCATATGGAAGCTCTGGAAAAGACTGCGCCGCTGACCAGCAGCTGCATCGAACCCACAGACTTCTCTTATTTGCGGGCGGGCGTACAAGTGAGCGATGGAGGCGTGGTCCTTAGCAAGCCGATATCCCGGGAGGATTACAGACTCATGCGTGATATCTGTGCCTCCAAGCCGAGTAAGGGAGGAATCGGAGGGCAAAATCGATGACGATTGGGACGAAAAGCTCGAGTTGGAAATCTGTTAACTCCGTACGAAGACCCAAAAAGAGACATACCAGGCCGAATACATGCCAGGGTATCCAATGGTTTGTTCGTCTGTATCAAGCTTGGTCGAGGCCACTCGTTCGGTGCAATGACGGTCATAGCTTCGAAGTACCAGGTCTTCGGACCCAACTCCCGGAATCGACAACTCTGTGGAGTCTTGGGGGTAACATCCCCCGCTTCCGCTCGAAGGATGAGGCTTGACAGCCTGGGAACCCTTTGATCGGTCAACGTAGTGGCTGTTTGGGGTAACGCTCATGGCAAGTCGGGGTTTGAACCACTTTTCTCGTCAGGTTGTCAAGGCCTGTAGTCGCCGACCTGCCCCATTTCAAGTCCCCGGACTGACAATCGAGCCGGAAAGACGCGATGCTTAGATCCGCAGGGCAAAACCAGACGACGGTGCAGTTTCTGTATTTGATTGCGAATTGTGGTGTTTTTGGTGTTGAGGACGCCCGCTGCCTGGATGGTCCCTGCTCGAAGGGGTTGATCATCGGATCTCGCATTCAAAATCTCGGATGCTCATAGATTTCTCGTCTTATTGCCCGCTGGCGAGAACAACTCGCCACGAATGCGAACTAGGGTGAGTCGTCAGCGAAGTGTGGAACAAATGATCCACGCTTGGCTGTATCAAGGCGAGAAACGTTAGCAGGGCTACAGTGTGACGTTTGCTGTTGCAAAGACGGGAAGTTGTGTTGTATCCGTACCTTCCCTAGATTTCAGAGAGAGTAAATCTTCTCGTCTTCTCCTCTTGCGTATGTACTCGTAACAAACTCTCCTCCCTAGCTTATTGCACCCCTTCTCTTTGTGGCCATAGCTCCTTAGACTGCCAGTCTCCTGTCTCCTGTCTCTTGCGCATGGCGCTATGCAGGTGTGGCCAGGTTCGAGTCGAGGAAAGTGAACTCGTCTCTGTCCTCCGTATCGTTACCCCCCATGTAAAGTCGTTGAAGACCTTACCCATCCTAGCTTGACAGGGAAAGCCGGCTACGGCCATGTTGGATTAGAGATGCGTGGGCGCTTCGTGGCGACCTTGAGCCGGCTTCATCGCGGGCCTGCAGGGGCACCACGCAAGCAATTAAAAGCCGTACGGCGTGTCGGAGGTCCAGATGGCTTGCGACCCGATGTGAAGCCAGTTTTTGACATCGGGAGGTGGTTTGCGAAGTGAAGATCCAGGATAGCTTAGATATCTGACCAAGAGGAGGGAGGGAGCGTGCGTGCGTGCTTCTCAGAGCGAGGAGGTTGAGAATTGGAGAGGGTGTGATTGTAGAAAGACATTTCGACATGGAGGGTGTCGACGCAGTGGGATACATGGGGGTCTCAGGTATACTGTGTCACTACACAGTTCAGAAAGCCGCTTTGCACATGACAGCTTGTGGCGCTAGAACTTGCGCCTGTCGCTTCTTTTGCTTCCAGTGCTAGCGCCAATCGCCAGCTGCGGGTGGATTAAGCGCGACACTGCGATAGGCTGGTCTCCCAACTCCCAAATTCGAGGTTTTGACAGCACCTAAGCGCAGCGCTTAGCCAGCAGCCATCACGATAAAGTAAACACAGCCAACGACGCCTCACAACGAGTTGGCGGCGACGACAACAACAGCAGCGCAACAGCAGTTGTGACCGAGAAACACGAATACGGCATACGGCTGTTTGTTACCATTGGACCTGACAAACAACGTCGCCAACAATTCTGCAATGAGGCGGGCCTCAAATCCTCTCGCTTGAGACTGCTGCAGGTAAACGCCGAGCAGCCATGGCCATGACGATGAACGCGCCCTCGAGGTGGACCGGCAAGAGGCGGAAGGTATTCAAGTCTGTCTTTGACACGGAAATCTCGCAACCCACCCCGTACTCAACACCTTCCAAGAGGTTCACAGCACAAGGCGACTCGTTCGGAGGTCCACAGTCTCCATCACAGCCACCACAACTTCAGTCGCCTTCGCGCCCGCAATTCCCCGGTAGTAGCAAGCCGTTGGATCTCCAGAGCTCACCTACGTCAACGCGTTCCGCCGCTCCCGCTGCGTCTCAGTCCAGCGATCAAGTTCGCTGGGATAGAGCATGGCATGTTGTGACGACGCGTATCCAACTACCTCCTTCTGTCGCCGCGGAAGACTCTTTCGGCACCCTGGCAACCGAATCACAGGACCACGATGCGGAGTTCTACGATTCTCTGAGCCTCGTACTGCATCCCGAGAGGCACCTCCAACAGGCCACCCACACCGAAGACATTCTATCCTGGCACACCCAGCAGGTTCGCCACCACTTTGCCCACCACGTTCTGCCCCTGCTCTCTGCATGCAATAGCTACAATGACCAGGGCCAGGTGCTCCTAGGGAGCATCCATACTCTGGAAGCAGCCCACCGCCAGTACCTCTACGGGCTGTCACTCATCGTGCGGGGCCTCGACAGCAAGAATGCAGACATCGCATTCGACAAGTTTCGGCGTGACTTGCACGCAGTTATCGGCAACTCCATGTCGCAGGCGCTTACAGAATCTCTTCGGGCTGTTCTGGGCCGCTTAATGAGAGTGGTCCTGGGCATGCAGGCTCGGTCCTCCTCTAGGCGATCTTGGGAGACAGGCCTGCAAGGGGAAGGCCAGGCAGCAACAGCGGCAGCGGCAGCGCGGCAGGAGCTCCTGCAGATGGCAGAGGCGCTACACAAGGTTGGCCTCGCCGGAGAGAAGTTCCAAGTCCTATTCGCCGAGCTCATGGACGCCATGATGGATGAGTATGTCAAGACATCCTTCGCTGGGGTCTGGACGCAGTCACAAACAGACAGCGGGAGAGATGCGCCGCGGGCTTCGCTGTCGTCCCGCGCGGCGAAGCTCGGCATCCCTTCACGCTGCATCGCCGCACTCAGTGATTGGATAGAGAATCACTACTCGCGTTTGGCCGTCGAGGTGTTTTCACGCCTGGGGAGCGTGGAGATCGCCTGGGGCGATGTCGAAAAGTGGAAGGAGATTGCAACCGGGAGATTGGCAGTCATGCGCATCCATGAGCTTTTCGACATAGTGTTGCAATGGCCTGCGAGCAGAGGAGCTTTGGACGACCTGCGGATGGCCATCACAACTCCGCAAAGGAGGTTGCAACTAACGGACACATTTTCGGCGGCGTTGCAGAAACGTCTGCTGCATCCCGGACGGTCAACGTTGGATATACTTCGAGTGTACATTTCAATGATCCGGACGTTCCATGCTCTGGATCATTCTAAGGTGCTGTTGGATCGAGTGGTCCATTCCCTGCAGCTGTACCTCTGCCAGAGAGATGATGCTATTTCCATCGTCGTCACTGGCCTGCTGTCCAATCCGGATGACATCAACACCGAGGCCGGCAAGACCAAGCTTGTCGAGCTGGCTGTCCTCCTGATCGATCCCTCTCAACAGCGGCGTCCGGCAACGGATGACGAGGAGCTGGACTGGGACGACATGGAGTGGATCCCCGATCCGGTCGACGCTGGAGTCAACTACAAGCGTCCGAAATCCGAAGATGTCATTGGTACGCTCATCAACGCCCTGGGCTCGCAGGACATCTTCATCAAGGAGTTCCAGAGCATCGTCGCAGACAGGCTGTTGTCGACCCAGGAGGAATTCCCTCAGGAGATCAGGGTCCTCAACCTGCTCAAGAAACGATTCGGCGAGAACGCGTTACAAAACTGCGATGTCATGATCAAGGATATTCAAGACTCGCGCAGAGTCGACGCTGCCATCTCCAAGACCATCAGGACGGGCCACATCGGCGGACCTCCTCGCAGGTCCAAAGATCTCCCCTCCTACCACACAAAGATTCTGTCCAGACTTTTCTGGCCCAGCCTCGACAGAGAGCACTTCATCCTCCCACGGCCGGTCGTCGAGATCCAAGGCCGCTACGACGAAGAATTCGAGCACCTCAAGTCTTCCCGCAAGCTCACGTGGCTCAACAACCTCGGTATTGCCACGGTCAACCTGGAGCTGGAAGACCGCACCGTCGAAAAGGAATGCAAGACGTACGAAGCCGTCGTCATCTACGCATTCCAAGAAGACGAGTCCCACCCAGAAGGCGCTCCCGTCAGACGCACCGTCGAGCAGCTCGAGGAGATGCTCCAGATGGACGACGACCTCATCCGCTCCGCGATCCACTTCTGGGTCTCCCAGAGCGTCCTCCGCGAGGCCGAGCCGGGCGTCTTCGTCGTCCTCGAGAAGCTGGAAGACACGGCCGCGGCGGCCGCCGGACCCTCGGAGGCCGTCCCTCCCCCTCCGCCTCCGGCCCCCACGCCGAAGAAGCCCGCCGCGGTCGACAACAAGGAGAAGGAGAAGCGCCAGGTCTACTGGCAGTTCATCGTCGGCATGCTGACCAACTCGAGCCCGGCCATGCCGCTTTTCCAGATCGCCATGATGATGAAGATGCTCATCGCGGACGGCTTCCCGTGGAGCAACGAGGAGCTGCAGGAGTTTCTGGCCGAGAAGATCGCCGAGGACGAGTTGGAGCTGGTGGGAGGCAAGTATAAACTAGTCAAGAAATGATTCGATGCCGCGTGTTTCTTGGCGGATCTTTCGCATAGCGGAGGGTAGATACCAATCAAAAAGAAGAGTTCACGTAAACGAATGATCGATCACTCGGCAGATGACCTGAACTTGCTGAGAGGCGTGATTTGATGCGTCAGGCTGGGTCACGTCACGAGATGCATGTAGACCGACAAATTCCTTTTCGCCAACAACAAGGGGGGATATCAATTGTTAAAAAAGTCGGCCCTAAAAAGCAAGAAGCATCTAAATCCAGAAACATGCCGCAAGACGATATCTGGAGAAATCATCCGTCCCGCCTAGGGGCACATGTCGTCGCTGCCGTATGCAAGCCTGATGATATGTTCGCCTTCAGCAAACCCCAGATGCTCCTTCTCCGCTCTCTCGCTCCTTTTTCTTTGACAAAACTGCGCCGCCTTTCACAATCTCCCGTGCCGCGCCTTGAAAATTGCCACCTTGTCGTCGTAAAACAGAATTTCGCGGAGCCGGAGGCGTGGTCGCGAGGGGCCATGGTCTGCGTCACGCAGAGATTCATCGTCCGAGTCCTGCGCGGCAGATGCCTCCGACTGCGTGTCATCCGCGTCTACTGCACTTGCTGGGGTATCATCATCATCATCGTCCTCCTCTTCAGAGGTCTCCTCATCTTCCTGGCTCGCTGTTTCTTCATCTGTACCGACGTTGTCATCTTCGTCATCTTCGTCATCGACTCCTGAATCGTGCGCCAAGATGGTATGGTCAACTGTGACGCTGGCAATCGAGATGTTGCTCTCTTCCGCCGGTTTGCTCTCTAGAATCTCGAAGCATTTTGTGGCAATGCCCACATAGCAAAGCTGTATCTCGGGACGCAAGGTTATGATGTCCACCATTTGTAACGCCAACTCTCGCGGCTCAAATGTGCCAACAATGTGTTCCGCAACGTGTTGCAGGTTGAGCGAGCGCAGATGCGGGATATTGGGTAGACGTTGAAGGAATGTGTGCTGTAGCCAATGTTAGCATTGATTCACGACGACGAAGCCTGGTGGTCAGAATCTGCTTACCCAGTCTCTGTAGTGAAGGGAGATGGCGAGCTCTCTCAGACTTGACATGCGACCGCTCGTTATGTACAGCAGCATGTCCGTGGTTAGCAACCAATTGCGCCAACGAGCGCTATCAGTTGCTGCATTGCCATGCTGACGGTCTGTGCTGTCCAGAAGCACCTTTTGCAGGCTCGATCGATGCTTCTTGATCACCCCCTTGAAGACTTGCTCAATAAGGACTGGCTGGGAACCCAGTCGGCGACGATCTTGTAAAAAGAGCACCTCTAAGCTATTAGGCGCAAGGGTGTCCCTAAGAAAGCTGATGAGAGCGTTCGAGACCGTGTTGGTATGGATGCTCTTTAGGCAAAGATGGTACTCCATTGGCTGCTTGTGTGAGGCGGTTGAATGAGATCCAGGTCTTGAAGTCGGGGTTGGTGCAAATTGCCGCCTCAGACCCTTCCAAAGATGCTCGCTTTGATAGCAATCCAGAATGGTAATGTTCGTTAAGACTGTCCAGTCAAACGCTTGAATGCAGACCTGGATTGAGAGATTCACTCGCTCTAGTTCAAGAGTGCGCAACTTCAGTTTGCCATCCAGCCTCTTCCGAGGGGAGGTGCATGTTGGCTCCGCGGTCTTGTCAGTGGCAGCTGAGTGCTGTTGCTCGAATCGAGGCTCTGTAGCCGAGGGTTCGTGGCTTTGCTCCACGCCTGTCGCTGCGGTTTCTGTAGAGTTGTCCATAGGCTGGTGCTCCGAACCAACCTCAGTCGCGTCGTCTGCAGGACCCTCCTGATCGTGATCCGCCTCGGTATGCTCGATGGGTTCCGAAGCAGATAACGTCTCCGTGTCGTCAACATCCGCAACTGAGTGATCGATCGGTTGCATCGTAGGGGCAGAAGACAGCGGCGTTTTCTCCCTAGATCTCGAGCTTGCCTTTCTTCGGATATCATAAATCCGACCTACCAACACTCCCAAGACACCGCCCAGTCGTCTGTCTCCTATAGAACTCTCGCCGGGCCAACGGGCATCCCTGTCAATCTGGTACAAGCCAGGTCCGTCCCAGGGCTGAACGAAGTCCTTGTGAACGGCTTTCGGCGAGATTCCAACGCGCAGTTCCTGGAGACGGTCTTTCGATCTTTCGATCACGATTGCCATCTCGTCTAAGTAGGCGAGCTCGTCGATATCCAAGACCGTGAGACTCTTGAGTGGGGGCAGAACGCAGAAGGTAGGAAACTCAACCCGGGTCTCGGCGTACGGCAACGCCGGCCGCGCCGCAGGATGAGCTGCGCCGGAGGGGATCAAGTAGCCGATGGCGGTCATGTTACTACCGCCGGAGACTGCCGGGTGCTGCGGAGGTGGGCTCGAAGACGATGACGAAGTTGTGCCCTCGTAGTTGTCATGCCACCTGACCCAGACCTTTTCCAGCTTCGACTCTCCGTCTGGGCTGTGTTCCGGAACAGACGCTAGTGCCATAAAAATGTCAGACAGAACCCCAGTAGGCATATCCCATACGAAAGTTTCCAAGTTGATCATCTTCTCGACGGCCAGAGCCACAAGGGTGCCCAACATCTTGCCGCTTTCCTTTGAGATCATGTATTCTGCCACCCAATCGGTAGGGCCGTTACCCAGCGAAAACTTTCTAGTGTACTTGGCATAATCGTTCTTCGGCCTCCGCTTGAACGGGAGGGGGTTCGCCATGTTATACGTGGGATGGAGCATCTTGCGCGTTCGATGGGCGAAGGAGCTGCCGAGGCAAATCGTGGAGAGGCCATAAGTCAGGGCATCGACGCTTTTACTGTCGGACGTGTTCATCTGGGTGGCGTCAGGCCATACGATATCGAATCTGGAGTAGATATGCGGGATCGCGAGGTTGTGAAGGTTCGAGTTCGTCAGGGCGAGGGAGGTAAGGTCATTCGTGTGAGTAATCTGGAAGCGCAACAGTCAGCGAAGAATGAACAGAAGGGACCCGGGAACGGCCGGCCGGACTTGCCTCCTTAATTATCAACCGCAAGATGTCCACCGGTAGCTCGAGAAGAGTGAGCTGCTTGCCTGACGACTTGGTGGATGCGACAGCGTCCCATTCCTTGTCCTTGCCCTTCATGAGCTTGCGCATGACGGCGGACGGGTCGCCTCCGGCATCTGTATCATCCCCATCGACCACAGTCGCATGGTTTCCATACATGCCGTCGTAGATTGGCACAACGTGAGGGTTCGGATGCGACTGGGCGAATTGATGGGTGGTGGGGTCGGTTGTTTGCAGGGCTGGAGCCATGGTGACGTGAGGGCTCAGCGCATGCTGTTGTAGAGTTGCGATGTCGGTCAATCGGAGAGGTGACCTCTCTTTTGCTCGCTTCGACTGGCCAGAGATTTGGAAATGGGAGTCGGGTAGGTAAGGTAGATCGATGAAAGTTTGAAGTATAGGAAGTCGGGGTCGTAAATGGGAAATCGGGAGGAGCAGGCGCGTTTGTAATTTTGAGGTTGGCGCTAGATGGAAGAGCGCGCGGTAGAAGCAATCCAACACAGGACCACTCTGAAAGAAGACTGGGGTGCTGTCCTTTGTTGATGAAGTCAAAATAGATCAGGTGAAAACGCAGGTAGACCAAAGCCAATCATGTCATATTCTGACCAGGGACAGGCATGAGGTAGATGTGGTGATGATGTTGCGGCTCTTCGGTGAGGAGGAAGCGGCGGTGATGGTGTGGTTTCGCTGGTTGGTCGACGTCGTCGATGGCCGGCAAGTTCCTAGGTCTTCTCCAAGCTGGATCTGAGATGACGAGGGCCTGCTTGGTCGCTCTTTCCCCAGATGTTGCAGTACGTACCTCCTCTAGCTGACCGCACCTCCAACGGGACCGAAAAATGGTTGAGGGATATCAAGAAAGAGAGAGGAAAGGACAAGAAAACACCTCCAACTTTCAGGTGAGGAGGTACTTGTCGAATGGTGAGGCAAGGCGAGGAGGCAGTGGCCAAACAAGTTCACCCGCGGCCAACCAAGGTACGGACAGGTAAGGTACTTAGCAGGCAGGTGCAGGTTGGCTGGGTGGTCAGGTACCTAAGTGCTTCGTAGTGCGACGGGACTGCGGCTGCGGTAGGGGCATTCGCCTGGATCCACAATTGGTCAGGTCCCGCTGTGAGTGAGGTGTGGCTCGCAGTTCCAGATTTCGCTTGGGGTCGACAGGACAGGTACGGTACCCCGGAATTCGATTCAACCAGTGGTGTTTGGCGCTGGGAAGGCCACCTGACGAAGTACCGTGTTTGGTGGTGGAGAAGCTCCAGCTCCCGTTTGAGAGGTCCGTCTTTTTTCGCCGGTTTGCTTCATAAAGACAGGCCTGCCACGCGTTGCTGCGAGTGAGGTAGATTAAATGTCGTGTATCCGTTCAAAAAACCCGAGAAGTTGTGGATGAGTGAGGAATACACACGTCCAGGTATCGGAATAACCAGCCTTGAAGGCTTCACTCCTTTACCGATTGGAGTACTGCATACCATAGTATTCGTACTTTAATAAGGATACCTACCCCTCCAGGTTCACTGCTGGTGAAGTATGATGGACCACATCCCGTCTGCGACCTGCACCAACAACACCCCAGAAGACCCCTTCCCAACATGCTTGTCTCGATCAAGGTTAAACAAAGACATTTCAAAGTACAGCATCGCGCCTTACGCCTTACTTTGGCGGCCATCTCAGCTCGACAAACTCAGCTCGCTCAGCTAGCTCACCTCCACCTACGAGGTGCCTTGGCTCAACTCTTTCAGCTTCCCGCATCTCTCCACGATCCGCCTTGATATCCAAGTGTCCGAGTTCTCCATCGCGGAAGCCCGGCCGTTGCGCAACTCCTGCCTTAGCTCCGATACCGACAAGGACGATTAAGCTTTTTGCATGATCTGCGTGCCATCGATCTTCAATTGACACCGGGGGCCGTCACCTGTCTGAGCTTTCAGGAGCTCTCTCCGCGGCGCTCAAAAGCCCCGGTGGCCATGGAGAGTCAGGGCGCCTGCATTTGGCTTCTCCTGGTCCCTGTTGACCTCAGCAATTGAAACCGCTTATCCGGGAAGGTTATCGCCGACGCCCAAGTGCGATGATTTGGAGATTGTCCAGCAGAGGATTCGGCGGACATGGTGCGTGAGGGAAGCACAACCGCCCAGGAGAGACAGGCGACAGACTTGAGGGCGAGCGAGGGAAAGAAATAACAAGCGAGGAGAACCGGAATCCCGACGTCTTTGCAACTATTTCCGGCTTACACAGTCAGGTTCTGGTCAGCAGGTCCGTCGCCTCGGATCGGCTCAACTAAGGCATTGTGTACCAAAGGTCACGACCCCACGAAAAGGGCCGCAACGGTGACGTTTTCTGCCCATGGAGGGGTCATGCCTAACGACTGACTGTCTTGGCTGGTTCGCAACGTGTATTACGTTGCAGCGCAGCACTTTCCGTCCCGTCTGAAGAAATTATAAAAGTGGTTGACGGCATACTTTTTGCCTGCCTAACAGGCATCCGTATGATGCCGGGAGGAACGCTTCAATTTGGCGCATCTCGTCTTCTGGCCGTTGCTGATGAGCCGGGCATCGCGAGGCCACGGTCACCTTTTCCAAATGCCACCTGTTCACGATCAAGGCAGCATATGACTGATTCCCCTAAGTTCTGTCCACGTTGCAGGCAACTTGGTCGGTGTGATTCGCCATTCGCCAACTCGGAAAACACCGTGTCTCGCCCATACCCAAATCCATATGTGTTGTTATCGTTGATGCCCGCCTGAGGTGCCGTAAGGTACGACGGCTACATAACACTTGCCCTCCCCGCCATCTGGAAGGTACGGTACCTCTTTTCCAGACCACCGGACCCCTCTCCTCCACACCACACCAACCACCACAACCACGCTACACCCGACATTTCTCACGCAGCACCTGCGCGCATACTCGCCCGGAAAAACCACTATTTATAATGCGCCCTTACCGCCTTGACTCTACCGTCTGACTGCAAACACCAAACTTCACATCATCTCATCACGACCCCAACGGAGCGCTCGTGTGCTGCTTCCAACACAGACTTGATCGCCCCCTGCGCCCCGCAGTACTTCCATCAGTGTATCGTCGTCACTGCCCAGCGGAGTCTGTTCCTCCGACTAAAGAAAGTCCCCCGTCCCTTACCTCGAAAGTATCCATCTACACCCATTATCCACGAAAAAACCGAGCGTTCAACCCAACCGCACCGAACGAGATAGAGCGCGATCCCGAACCTACGACGATAGTGCACCACACGAGCCGAGAACAAGACGCAATCATGGCGGACTTCGTCGTCAGACTCTGGGAGTCCATCTTCACCCCCGGCACGACCCCCACCCTCCTGCTCGCTACCAACGCCAGCTTCGCCGCCCTCGAATCCCTCCTCGTCATCCTGTTCGCGGCCACCCGGAACATGCATTTCGCGGCACTCTTCACCATAGCAGGCGGCCTGTGGTATAGCATCAACTGGTTCGTCCGAGAGCTGGCCAAACACGCAGCGGAGGAGGAGGAAAAGAAGCGCGCCGCCGAGTCGTCCACGGAGGTCGCGCCCCCTAGGACGACGGACGATAGCGACACCGAAGTCGAGGGGGCGGCGGGCGGTCGTAAGAAGAGGGCTGTCAAGCCCGTCAGTGGGAGCAGCCAGGTCGAGACGGAGGAGCAGAGGCAGGAGGCGGACTTGAGGCATCGGGTGGCGGCCGCCGAGTCTGCTTCCGAGAGCAAGAACGAAGAGTCGAGCGTCAGCACCGAGGACGAGTGGGAGAAGGTCTCCGAGGCGGAGAACGAGAAAGAGAAGTAGGAACCTCGGCAGCGACCAGGAAAACTGGACCGAGGCTTCAGCCGGGCGGATGTCACGCTGAGCCAGACGGCATTACGACGCACTTAATCCCGTCCTGCGATCCGATGCGATATCATGACGATCGAGAGGGAAACACGCATCGGCGCGGCGAGACATTTAAGATACCCTTGGGCAGCGTCGCCATGATGATGAGTTATTACGATGACGGACTTGAGCGGAACGAAGCAAAACAGACTTGTACATATGGACTTGACGGCATACTCTTCCTTTCAGAGTAGCTTAGTACAAACAATATTGCTGACACAAGACTACTGCCGCAGCAGGGAACGGTGACGAGAGAAGTTTTGGCGTTGAAGATGCGCGCCTACGGCAAGCAGGAGTACGTGCGACCAAATATGAGAAACTACCTAAACCCAACTCCCAACGGTCGAAACCACAAGATATCTCTGTGAACATGAACGTCAAAACCACGCCCTCTTCCTTAACGCCATTCGATGCCCACGCTATTTTTACAACACCCTATACCGCCATCTAGAGATACTTCAACTTCCGGGTCGCAAACGCGGCCACGACGGCACAAATGGCTCCGATGAAGAGGCACACCGCAATCGCGTTGGGGCCGTCCGTACTGTGGTGCTCCTCCTCCGGCGCGTCCGAGAGCTCCGGGCTCTTACCGGGCTCCAGGATGGAAAACACGATGGAGCTGATGAAGGTGCCGATGAACTGCGGCAGCGTCGTGTAGATGTTCAGGATGCCAAAGTAGATACCCGAGAGCTCGCCCGTGGACGACGAGGCCTGCGGGTTGTCTTCGGGGCCGTGTTCGAGGTGTAGCGGCTGGTCCTGGCCGAGCGTCGGCAGCTCAATGTTGGAGGCGTCCGACAGCCGGCGGTACGCCGCGCCGCCGCCGGTCCCGCCTTCGCGGGCCCCGCTCAGCTTGTTGACCTCGACGCCGAGGAAGGCCGAAGGGGCCCACATGGCGATCGTCCAGGAGAAGCCGCACGCGGCCACGAGGAAGGTCGCGAAGCGGAAGCTGGTGGCGAAGGGGGCCAGAGACATGGCGGCGGCGAACATGAGGTGGCCGAAAATCCAGGCCGTCATGAGGTCGGGCTTCTTCTTGCCCAATTTTTCCAAGAATGGGGCGATGCTCCGGGGAGGCCGGGCCGTGAAGTTGTCATCGTCCGGTGACTTGACAATGAGCGGGAGCAGCCATGCGCCTATGAACGTTATCGTCGAGTAAATGACTAGGGCCATGCTTCCGATCCGGCCGATGTCACCCAGCGCGTCCTTGGAGTCTTTGCCATCCGAGGGAGCATCGTAGCGGAAGTAGGTCTCGCCGACCCAAGTAGTACTGTAGAACAGGAAAGGGAACCAGCCGATCCAGGACCAGAACTGGGCCCAGCAGATGGCTTGGATCCGGGGTGGTAGGTGGAGTAGAGTCGACCATATCTGGCGGAACACTTTGAACCTGCCGGTGGCCTGGCGCGGATCCTGTCGTGTGGATACAAGGACTCGTTCCTGGACGGCCCAGCAGGTGACTGCTGATGAGGAAATCATCATGAAGGTGGCTATGACTGTGAGTATTTGGAACTGCGAGTCGCCCAGCCACGTCCCGAATATGCCGACCAAGTCCACAGCTCCAGCTATGTAGCCCAGCATGTGCCCAATGGCGGACATTCTACTGGCTATGACACGAGTTAGAACAGCTTAGAAATTCGCGAGAGGAATACTTGCACCAAGCAGCGCCAGTCTGTTGCTTTTCAATCGGTAGTGTGTCGACGATCAGGCTTCGCGCGCAAGACATGACTGGTATCGGGTCAGTTGGCTTTTACAGGAAATACCAGTACGCTGAGAACTGACCAGCATTGATGGCGAAGTCGACCACATAAATGGCTAATACGGCGAGGATGATGGTGAATATCCGAGCGGTTTCCTTCTCCGTGACGAACGTTTCCACAATCTCTTTTGTAAAGCCCAGTATCATGAGGGCGACTGCGACAATGATTGCCCCCATCACTATGAAGGGTCGTCGGCGACCCCATTTTGATTTGGACTCGTCCGCGATGGCTCCGACGATGGGCTGTACGACAAGACCAGACAGAGGGCCTGCAACCCACACCAGTGATGTATTGCTTTTCGACAGGCCGAGGTTGAGCAGATACGGCGTACAATCTGTGGCCTCTTGTCAGCACCCAGGCAAGTGTGTAATTGACGTTGCAGCGACATACACGTCATCTCGATTCCCCATGTGAAGCTGCGATTCCGATGTCTTGTCAGCACGTAAACGGTACCAATTGCAGGCCTCAGGGCGCAACATACGTGATACCAAGCGTGTTGAAGGTCAAGAGGATCATCCGCATGGCCTCAGAGCCCCCCCGGATGGAGGGCTGTCCCGACCAACTCGACATCTCGGCGGGGTCCTGCTCCAAGACGAGAGCGTCGTCCTCGGCGTCGTCACTGTCGTCGTCCGAATCTTCTGATCGACCGGTTATCCCGCGAGAACCCGGTGTTCTCCTCGGCTCTTCGCGATGCGCTTGTGGTGGTTTCCGTAGCTTAGAGACGTCATCAAGCTCGTCGCTATTTCTGTCGTTGCCGAGACTGGAGGATGATCGCGAAGGTGTCCGTATGGGCGTGGATTTACCGCCCGAGTCGTCGAGAGAAGGTGGTTGACGAAAGGAATCATGCGACGACGTCGATGAGCTCGACGTGTGGTCCATTTGAAGGTCCCCGGGGGGACTGGGGAAAGGCCAGGTGGGCCAGTGACTTAAAGTAGATCCCGGGGGGATGTCAGGACCGGGCTGCGCGCGCGCGTCATGCCCACAATTGCGCAGCGTTTCTCTCTCTATCTTTCTGCCAGTGTCAGGGATGGGTTCTGGGCTTCCGTTGGTCCTTTTTTGGCTTCCTGGGGGTGATGTGCGACTGCGGGTGCAGAGCCAAGGGAGGGGTGGTAAGAAAGCTGAGGAAGCTCTGGTGGGCCGGGCGATTAAAATAATATGGAGCCTGATGCGCGCTGCAGCGTATTGTACGGGGGAGATTTGACTGGGTGCTGTGGAAGTATGCGCAAGGGAGGATTGTGATACGAGATTGGGGTCTGAATGAATGTGGCCGTTGATTTGTGGTAGCTGGAGACTGCAGCATTGGCGGCCGTGGCAGGCGGGATACCTTAATGTAATGATTAGGTACTGCGTATCGGACGGGACGGGAGGATTTGGCACTGAAGATGGGGGTGGTCGAAGACTTGACACACGGGCAATTCTATGGTAAGGAGGGAGTACTAGCGGTACGGTGCTTAGGTACGGAAAGCTTCAGTCAGGAGAGGTTGCGGGCTTGTGGGAAACACTGCGACATCAATCAAAACTTACTGGATTCCGGGGTCACAAATGGCGATGCGAGGGAGCATAGGATTGATGCAATACGTGGATGACGAGAGTACACATGTTGAGATGGTACGGCTCATGTCTCGTGTAAGTCACCTTGTGGAAGGTGTCTCCCTACGTCTCCTCCCTGCCTCTGGAGCTGCTTTTCTTATGCGCTTCTTTCCGCATTATGTCGTTCCAGTTGTTCGTTTGAAGCATATCTAGTTGGAAATAAGGAGCTATGGTACGATACCTTTATCAACGAACAGAAACTGACAGAGTTCTCTGGTGCTGGACTGGATCTCTGACGGAACTGATGCCTCGAAATCGAATGCCCTGGACTGAGAGCTCAATGACCCTGGTCTGGAGTTTGGCATGGATGTCCAATCAGCAAGGTCCAGTTCCTGGTTTCATTTGGGGCGCTAACATGCATCTAATCAAGACGAGAAACTACGATTCTTCTGTCGAGATTAGTCACTGCTGGCCGTCGATACATTAATGTCTGTAGGTTAATTTAAATTGCCGGTTGTTCGGTTGTAAGAACACGTCTCTGAATTGCAAGGTGACAGATACCTATGTCGGAAATAATAGCATCAAGCACGTGGCAGCTGAGCCATTGGTTCCTGGATAAGATATCTTGACTCTGGCCAGAAACGCTAAGCCACTGTCTAGGGCGAGTACCATCAGCACTCGTGAAATCGAGTTGCCGTTGGCTTGATGTCTCTGGGGTATCTGTCTGAGCTGAATAACTTCAATCTCAAACTGATCACCGTCTCTTGAACGCAAAGGAAGTCAGGGAACAAGTAAGTCGAGAACTGCTCGAAAGAAACCACGTTCATTCCTAACAGCCTATCGACTCAGCAAAATAGCTCCCCGAATCTCCCGTTACTTTTCTCTGAGAAAACAAGCTCCCATCGTCATTCAGGATGGCATCTCCAATTGCTGATCCGGCGACCCGCTACTGCGGACTCGTCTCTACGAATAGGGCAATGCCGCGCAGGGCATGCGTCAGACCTCATCGACTCGCTGCCCCTCCGGCATCTGCCGCCGCAGACTCCCAGGACTGCCCCGCGTTCAACGGCGTGCCCCGCCATCCAGTCGCACCTCTGCGATTTTGCGGTTTTCTTGCCCGCTTTCGCGGCCAGTCGAGCTCCGACATAGGCCAACGTGCGTGGTGAATGGTGCGCCGTGACGAACTAGCGCTGTTGCACACCACAGCAGCTAAACGGCCCAGCCCACACAAAATTTCCGTCCTTGGGCTTCCACGTCCAGTCCTTGGTGTTTTTGACTCACCGCAGAAACCGACCCTCCCCGCCGGACAGCTTCCGCGACGAAACACACAGAGAGGATACAAAGTCGCGCAGAGCTCTTCTTTTTTTAACCTCGACATCTCCGGCTCTGACCAATTGACCCGGGACTCGCTCGTTTCCCTCCCCAACTTACCTTCGCATCCCCGCCGGCAGACTTTCCTCCGTTGTGCGACCGACTACTGTTCCGACTGCTGCAAGAATCTTGCCGCATCATTGGCTTCACTGCGACGCTGTGCTCCATTCCCGCGCGCCCGACATTCTCGCCCAATCCGCGAACCCATCACGTCTTCGAGGCACCCACCGTTGATCCCACCCACAACGAGCATATACATACCTAGCCTGCAATGGATTTGGTGAACCAGTTGGTCTTACCCCTCCGCTGGAAAAAGCCATCATGGCAAAGTTCGAGGAGAAGCTAATCGCAGAGGAAAGCCTAGAGGGCCGCCTGCTGTTCGCGGTGCCTAAGAGTGAGTCAACCCCTCCCAGTGGATATCATGATCATGACCATGTGTACTGATAATGGACCCTGCAGAGGGCCGTCTCAATGCCGCTACCCTGAACCTGCTCGAGGGTGCCGACATCCAGTTCCGCCGTGAGAGCCGTCTCGATATCGCCCTCGTGAAGAACCTCCCCATCGCCCTCATCTTCCTCCCGGCTGCCGATATTCCCACCTTCGTCGGCGAGGGCCGTGTCGACCTTGGCATTACCGGATGGGACCAGGTCAAGGAGCACGATGCCGGCGTCATCTCCTACAACAAGTCCCGTCGGGCCTCGGTCGACCTCGACAACGGCGACCTGAAGCCTACCGGAGGTTGCGAGATGGTCATGGAGCTCGGGTTCGGCGCCTGCAAGCTCCAGGTCCAGGTCCCTGAGAAGGGTGCCTATGCCACGACGCAGGACCTCATTGGCAAGACAATTGGCACCAGCTTTGTCAACCTGGCCGAGGAGCACTTTGCCAAGCTCGAGCTTGGTGTTGATGCCGACGGCAACAGCAACACGTCGCCGAGAAAGCTGCGCACCAAGATCATTGAGTTGAGTGGAAGTGTCGAGGCTGCTTGCGCGCTTGGCGTTGCCGACGGCATTGTCGATCTTGTTGGTAAGTAGCGACGGGTTGCTTCAAAGTATTGGCAGAAACTGACCTTGTTCCAGAGTCTGGTGAGACCATGAGAGCTGCAGGTCTCAAGGCCATCGACACGGTCGTCGACTCCCAGTCCTGCCTCATCAAGTCCCGTTCGCCGTCCAACCCTGAGCTTCTCGAGCTCATCGCCGCCCGTATTCGCGGTGTCATCACCGCCCAGAAGTTCGTCCTCTGCCAGTACAACATCGAGAGGTCACGCCTCGGCGAGGCCAAGCAGATCACTCCCGGAAAGCGCGCCCCGACCATCACCACGCTGGACGAGGAGGGCTGGGTGGCCGTCAGCTCGATGGTTGAGAAGAAGAAGATTGCTCTGGTGATGGACGATTTGACCCGCGTTGGCGCCCAGGACATTTTGGTGCTTGATATCCACAACACTCGATAGACATTTTTTGCAGCATCTAAAAACATTTAGAACGACGACCACGAGATATGTAATACACGTGAGGGAGTAACGCCAACACACAGTACCCTAGGGCCGTGTCTTAGGGAATGGGCGGGAGTGAAGCGTGGAATTAGGCGAAACGCCTGTCGATCATCGACGCAATTGTCGCAGTTGTGGCGGACAAAGATGATGTACCAAAATCGAGCGTCGGCGTTGCTTGCGTGCTTGCGTCGCTAGCGTCGCGAGTTTGCGAGGCTCTGCACCTCAGCCCTGTCGATGTGCCGGCCCTGCGCACTGAGCCCCTGATCATCAGAAGCTCTCTGTGTGCGTCTGCGCGAATCGGTGCCCCCGTTGAGGCTTTGCACAGATGCAGGGCAGTTGTCACAGCTTGGTCGCCCTGCCTGGGTGGTGGTTGTGTTCTGTGTTGTACTCGGATGTGATGTCGATTGGACGTTTCCCGCTGATCCTCAACTGTACCAAGTGGGGCAAACTCCGTCACTCCCGTGTCCCGTCCGCAGCACACGCGTGAAACAGGGCGTAGGTAGTTGTGCTTTACTGTAAAGGCGATACGGCAGGAACAAAAACATTAGTTCGGGTAGGGAAGCGAGAGCGAGCGTCGGCGGCGGCTGCGGCTGATGGGCGGTGCTTGGCCGCACCGAAAGGCCCGACGCGGCCGGTTTTATGTGGACTGACTTTGGCCAATATTTAACTGTATTTACATCTCCGCATGCCGTCATCCCTGGCACTTTCGTCTCCTCCCCAACTCCCTGGGAAACGATACCGAAACGACGACGAGCAATCAATGCCCATCGAAAGCGGCTTGCATTTAAAACCTAATTGCTACGATATGCGAAGGAATCAGTCTTCCGAAAGTGTGTCGAGCTCCAACGGGGGAGCCATGTCGTCATCAGCAACAGCCACCAAAGTCACTGCCACGAGGGGCGGGGCCGCCTGTGATGCCGGCACGATTCAGCAGTCGACCATTTACAAGGTCAGTCTCGACAGAAGCGAGGTGTTTGGATTTTTCGGACATGGAAGCTCACGCAGCTACAGGGAATCGTGACGCCCATCATCTTCGTCTCATTTCTGCTCTCCCTTGTTTGGGTAGACATCAGATACACCCTCAAGAGATCACGAAATCGCGGCCATGATCACGGCGGCGGTTGGATGCCCGCCTGGCTACACAGCATTATGTATCGGCGCTCCCCGTACGAACACGTTCAGACGAGAGATCGATCGAGGACGCCAAGTCCGAAAGACGAACAGAGCGACTTTTACTATCACAGCAAACAGAAGAAGCTGATGCACATGGAAGTCGACGACGCCTTCGAGGTTAGACGACACGTCCTGGTGGTGCTGGGACTTTTATCTCTGGCTATATTTTGGGGCTTTTGGCTCCTTTCGAGTTGTTTATGGAGGAGCATATCACGACGTGGCTTATACGTTGTGGAGGGGTGAAGGGAAAAGCCTTGAAGCGTTCGTCTGCTGCGCATGTTTTCTGCTATGTCCTGATTGACGGGATGATGACGACAACTTCGGACGAACCACTTGCTGCACGGCCCATGCGATTCAGGGATTGATCCACCTAACGGACTGACCCGGTTGTTGCGATGGTGGGAATATCAACATCGACAGCATCGAACTGACGATACCAATCCAAGACCATTTGATTCTTCGGCAAACGATGCGTCGCGGCCAGAGTCGAAGAATTGTCTGATAAGGAATGTTTTCAGGGTTGAGGCGGATACGAGATCGTCACGAATCAAACTGAAGTTGGTGTTCAACACCAGATTGACCTCGATCCGTACCTAGTATTTCTCCAATTGTCGAGATCTTCAGGAGCCCAAAAATGATAAACGAATTCTTATTGAGAGGCAAGAGACTCTTTGATGCAGAAAGAACAACCTATCTTAAGCAGACCGAATGAATCCCGTTGTGACCCGTTGTGAAATCGTCTGTCCGATGCATTTGCAGATTTGCAGGCTGAGAAAGCTTCTAGTTGTCTCTTTTCCCGAGTCTCGACTGAGGAGAGATGCGATAGCTGATAGCAATAAACCAACCCAGACCCGGCCTGGACGTACTTGCGTTTCTCAGAGATTCAAACCGTTTCTGGTCACACAGTCCCGTCCTTTCCAGGTCCCAAACCGTTACATCCGATCGAGTCGAGTACCTACCGCGGCATAGAAGCGGGGCAGATCGCGGGGCGAGAGCTTCAGCACCGACTCGCTGGTCTCAGCACCCGGCACCTACTCCAGGGGTCGTCCGCGGGTGGCTCCCTGGCTAATTAGGTACTGGATCATCCCTCTTCCCCCACGCACGCGTCGTGCTCAATGCTCCTTTCTTTTTCGACCTTGAACACGAAAATTCACTGACCCCGCGTACCTCCTTCGCAAGCAAAACCACCTCACCCAGATGTATTACGTCCATCCGGTCGTCAGATGAAATAGACATGTCAGAGCTGGAGCCAGAGCCACACAGCTCCCTCGGCAACTCGTCGTTGTTGGGCGACGCACTGCGATCCGGATTATTCGCAGCAATCGAAGCTCTTTACGCGGCTGGTGGGTCCAACACGTCGACTCATCCCAAACCCGATGCTGGACGTCATCCGGACGCGACGAACCACGATGGCGCACATGCGCCGTCCCAGTCAGTGTCGAATGCGCCACTAGAAGCCGCGAGCGAGAAACTTACTGCGGTGTTGGATGCCTGGCGGGAGAGGGTTCAGACGCGCAACCTGGAGCATCAACGCGCCATTTACCACCTCCATCCGCCCGAAAATCACTAGGACTTCGAGAGATGGGTCATGTGTCAGAGCATGTCCAACGCGGATTCCGCACTCGTTTCCCGGCTTCGCGACATGTGTCCAAAGCTTGGATTCGAAGTGTTTCCCGTTGTCTTGGAGTACACCGGCACAACCTGCCAGTACAATTCATGGGTTTCTCGTGTACCTGCGGGCGAGCCTCGAATAGGAGAGGAGGGTTTTTGGAAGACGTATCAGCATGTGCGACACAAGCCACAAGTGTACCAATTCAGGAGCTTCTCGGGTATGAATTTCGCAGAGGAGATCGACTGCAAAGAGGGCAATGTCCTTGACGAAAGGCATGTTGCTTGGGAACGGGCTCGCCGTGGCGTCTTCCAGCAAGGGCCACACGAGCAGCGCCAGGTCGACGAAGAGCGGCGAGCTCGTGAGATGGACTCCAAGTGGTACCAAAAGATCATCCCTGGGACGACTGCCGACCTCGGCAAATACTTCGCACCAGTCAGTCAGACGCTGCACATCTACTATCCGTCATACTGACCATCTACTAGGCCATCATGATAGTACCTCTGAAAACGCAGCTGGACCTTATTGTTTCGGCAGAGTACCCGCAGCCCGTTGTGAATGTCTGGCGGTATCTGCTCAGACAATGCGAGGAGTCTGTGACACCGGCGGTTTATTTCAAAGGTCTGAAAGGCCTGTGTCAGTTTGCGCTATCAAAAGCAGATGACCCTACTTCCAACATTCGCAGCTTGCGGCTCTGCGGTATAAAGACACGAGACCGACAAGAGTGGGTTGATGCGATGGATCCGGGGCTTATGGGTGATCTGATCATGACCGCCCTGGTATTCAAGGACAAGGAGCTTTTCGAGTACCTCGCCGCCGAGACGCCAGTTCATCCAGGAGTCAACTACAGCTGGCTTTGCCAAAACGCAAACGCCTACGGCTATTCCGTGGCAGTTGTACTGAATGCGTACGTGCGTATCCTACTAACAGAGGTCACACTGCTAATACGACTTCAGACTACGTCGGTTTCTGTTCCAGAACCGCAACTTTTTACGAATTGCTTCCACTATCAACAAGATGCCCGCGTATCCGGAGGATAGCGATGAAAGCGAAATCGCCATGGACCTTGCGAAGGAGGCTATGGCTGTCCATCTGGATGGCCCGGTTACAGCAAGTCACGGCCGTGCCATGGCAGATTTCCTGAAGTTCTTCAAAGACTTTCCCGCCTGGAGTGCAACGTGAGTGATGTCCCGTTCGTGTGCGAGCAACGTTTTGCTGACAAAGTTCAGGGTCGACGCGGTCATCAGTCAACCTCGTGAGCTGTGGAAGAATACTTCGTTCAGCCTAAGTCTGCTTAATAGGATGCTTGAGGTGGCGAAACGCGATTCGCTGCCACTTGATCAGGTGAAAATGTTCTATCGAAAGTACGAGAATCTGATCATCACCACCGACTCACCTGGCCAGGTCGGTATTCTAATCAGCACCACCTTGAAAGACCGAAGCCCGGAGGCCAAAATCGCAAGACAGACTTGGAAAGAGCCGGAGCCGACAGACGGAAATATCCAGGATCAGACTGCTTCGCACCCAATCAGCTTCGCGGTCATTGCTGGTCTCTTCAGGAGCCTGGACAGCCTGGATATGCACGAGGAGGTAGCTAACCTCGTCGACCTGATCGTCAAGAACCGAGACGAAATCAAGCCCATTCATATGGCAACACTGTGGCTGCCATGCCTCAGAGTCCTGCAAGATCTTGTCGAAGAGACTCCGACATTCCAAAAGCTCTTCCAAACAATCTTCGAGCTCTACCATAAGATGGTGTTCGAGGATGACTCTCTGCAGTTCGAAGAGGCACCGGGGTCTATTTCGCCAATGTCGCCGTGCTGCAAAAACTGCAAGTATCTGGATGCTTACTTGGAACAACCCGGCTGGAAGAAGTTCCTCGTAGTGAAACCCAGGAACGTCATCGAGCACATCCAGGAGCGACTCCGCGAGCAGAACAAGCCAATTGAGACAACGGTTTACGGCAAAAACGAGAGTTCTATCACGATACAACTCAACAAGGCTTCTCTGGTCAACAAGGAGGTCGGAAATATCAAGAAGCTGAGAAAACAAGAGGCAACCAAGACCGTACGACAGTTCGAGCCCGAGAGACTGCTTCCATTTCTTGGAGAGAAGGGTGACATCATGTGGAAGCTCGGAAACGCAGACGCCTCAGATTCGTCGATGCAGCAGACTCCAGCTAGGACGGTGGACTCGCCTTCTAGCGGCGGTTCGGGATTGTCGCGGACAAGCTCATCATCCTCCGCGAATACGTCCATGGGCTCTGATGCGTCACCGTGCAGGGACACTCGCGACCCGGTCGCGAAGAGAGAACCTCTCGGTTCAACCCACAGCAGAGTGACGCCCAAGATAGAGCCTGGTAGTGAATCGGCGCGTGTAAAGGTCGAGGGCACACCCTCGAGCTCTGCCAAGCGTCCCAAAGACATCCGCGATATGTTCGCGTCCGTCAAGAAGGAGAAGACGCCAGGCGGCACCCAGAATCTTCTCAGCACCACTGGCCTGTCTACGAGAGATCGACTGAAGAACCTCCAACCACCGAGGCGAGAGCCCGCGCCCCAGTTCAAAGATTATTCAAAAATGCCGGACCCGACTCAGCGTGTTCGGGGATCACTCGGAAAAGCACCGGCGACGGAAGGAGCCAGCAGCAGCAGTTCGATCAAAACCGAGACCCCGACGACGAGGGATCCACTGGCGGCTTTCGGGGGTATCCGTAGTCGAGGAGGAGCAGTACGCAACGGCGTGCGAAAGTCCACGTTTGCGAGCGCGCCTGGGCTCGCGAACAGGGCCAACGCCACACCAGGACCGTCATCCGCATCGCCTGCGTCCTCATCACGCAGCTCCGGAGGCCCGGACTTCATGTCCGCCGTTCTGGAGGCGGAACGCGCAAGAAAGGGCCGATCTAACAAATCGACGTGGGAGGTGAAGACGGAGTCCGGAAACGTCGTCAGCTCCGGCACGGCCTCCTCGGCCATGGGCAAGTCGAGGTTCGATGGCCTTGATAAGGACAAGGAGAATATCAGGAGCCTCGGCAAGACGTCGAGGCGTTCGGGCATCTCCTCGTCGGGCATTCTCTCATCACGGTCTCCCAACGCGGGAACGGGCGCCGGTAGGGTTTCTACTTCTATGGCGGGAAGCAAGAGGAAGGCGGACCACGATGTCATCGACCTGTGCAGCAGCAGCCCTGAGCCGGCCACGAGCAAGCGCCAGAAGACGTCTGCTCCGGTTTTTGATCCCTTGGACGACGACCCTTTCGCGGATTAGAACGACTGGAGCAGTTGTGTTGTTTGGAGTACTGCGGATCACTTGTATTGAAGACAGGGGTTTGGCATTTGGTGTTATCAGGTTGCGTTATCTTGACTGGTTCGACGCCTAGGGACTGGGAAGAAGGCGTTGGAGGCTGTCTGTGTTATACATGTTGAATTAGGAGCTGAGCAGGATCGATACCCCCCACCTGAAGAATAGTTGCATTGTATTAGGATCAATGAATGCATTTGTCATTGCTATGCTAAGAACCAACTCCCTTGCAAATTTTTTGTACCCGTGTTCTCGTCCCAGAATCGTGCCTTGTTGTCATTTCCGTTTACATCACGTACAGGATATCGGTGTCTGGCGGGGGTGTCAGCAACAAAACAAATGGAAGGCCAAACTAAAGATCAGGGACTCATGTAAAGACTCACCAATCGGGTGACTGCTGGAAAGCTGGGGCAGCTGGGTGTACTTCTCCTCGAGCACATCACGGATGCTGTTGAGCAGCTGGACGTAGCTCTGCTGAGGGTTCGCCTTGAGGGCCGAGATGAAGGCGTAGGACATGGCGCCGGTGGCCTGGTTTGCGATGTTGGCATCGGCTCTGTATCGGATGGTCAGTCACACGCAAATCAAAGAACCTTGGTTCCCCGGGTTGGAAAGGGGGTCACTTACGATGTCTGACTGTCCTTGCTGCCGGACCACATGATGACGTCGGCAGGGGAGGTACGGGTTTCCTTGGTGCGCTCGTAGGCGTCGTCGCCGGCGATGGCGCGCTTGCCGAAGCTGAAGATGGAGCTGGCGACGCCGCCGAGGTCTCCGGAGGTGTAGGCCTGGAAGGCGTTGAGCAGACCCTGGCCCGCCTCCTTGGCCAAGTTGGGCTCCTTGAGGACGCCCTTGGTGGAGTATATGTACGGCAGGTCGAGGGCGGAGCCGGAGTGGCACGAGTCGAAGATGGCCGTCAAGCGGACACCGGGCTGCAGCGGCTTGACCATGATGTGGTGCATCTCGTCGTCGACGATGTGGCCGGCTTCCTTAAAGTCGATGGGGTAGATGACCTCGTCATAGCCGTCATCCTCGTCGCCGTCGATGTCCTCGGTCTGGCCGCCGTGGCCCGAGTAGTGGAAGAAGAGCGAGTCGTTGGGCTGGGCGCCCTGGACGAGCCAGTGCATGGCGCGCAGGATGTTCTGCTTGGTGGGCTGGCCCATGGGCTCGCGCTGGTCGTCGGTGAGGACAACCATGTCGGCGCGGTTGTAGCCATAGCGCTCGACGAGGAAGGCGGAGACGTTCTTAACGTCGTTGATGCAGCCGCGCAGCTCGCCGTCCTGACCGAAGTAGTTGATGCCGATGAGGAGGGCTTTCCTCTTACCCTGACAGTTGGAGTACTGGAAGCCGTAGCCCTCGGGGGCGCCGTGGCCGAACTGCTGAATTCCTGAGGGAGGGGGAGGGGGCGCGGCTCTGTTTCCGTGGGCCCAGTCGTTGGAGTTGACGGTGGGCATGTCTTGGGCGTGTGAGCTTAATGTTAAGGTAGGTCCGTGGGTTGGGTGACTTACGTGGTCTTCCCTGGTGGCCCTGGTTGACAGGGTAGCCGTAGACATCGAGGCCGGGAGGAGGAGGGTGAGAGGGAGCGGGATATCTGCCGATGTAGCTGTTGTCGGGGTTGGGGTTGGGCGGCGCTTCTCTGTAGTTGCCGTAGCCGTCCGGGGGACCGGGAGGAGGCCGGTTGTAGCCTCCGCCGTAGCCGCCGTGATGAGAGGGGGGCGGACCGGAGGGAGGCTGGTACCCGCCGCCGCCGCCGTAACCTCCACCACCGTAGCCTCCTTCATGACCGCCGCCGCCGCCGCCGTAGCCGTACTGTCCAGGGTAGCCTGACATATCTGCTGGGTGTGATGGGCTGTTGTTTTTGTTGATGGAGAAAGGTCGGTTTACACCTCACTGGAATGATGTGAGTGGCTGTTTCCCTGAAAGGCGGGGGAGGGGTAAACTGTGAGCCTAACCCACCTGAGTGAATAAAAACGTCCAAACAAGCCTTGAGCCCAGCAACGCCCAAGATTCAAGACGGAAGACGGCTTCTGCGATGAGGATCTGTAGATTTGCAAGTCTCGGGAACGGCACCAAAGACCAAGTGTCGTTAATAATGGAATGTTTAGAGGTTAGGAGGCTGGGTGGGGTGAAGGTCCGGGAGGGACCCAATTGAGGTGAAGTGAGTGAGGTGAGATGGATGTGAGGGGTCCGTATCCGTAAGCTTGCTGAAAGGAACCGTTTGGTTTGCTGGTGAGGATCCGTCCGCACTCCTTGACTCCGTACCTTGGAGCGGTAAGCTGAGGCAGTAGCTACCTTAGGTAGGGGATCTGAGCTGTCGTGGAGGGGCGACCCGCGAGGCAACCCAGGATGAGACGCCTTTGAAGTCGCAGTGGTGGGGTTGAACGAGACAGAAGGGGGCAGCAGGGAGCGGAATACTCGGTTCCAACTGCACCTGACGGGATGTGTTTGTGCAGTGCTTCAGCGCTTTTTTTTCATGGAAATTAGGTAAGCTCCAGATTTACACCCGCTTCGGTCAAGAGTTCTTGTTCATACGAATACAGCATGGTTCCAGAGTCATCGTATTCGTCTTCAACTTGAGAACACGTCGGGCATACTTTTCTTCTCTATGGACGCTGTTCAACTTAGCATCCTGCCCATCACGGCTTGGATTAGGACAACAAGGCATCATGCTTAAAAAACAACGCAATACGGCCACGACAACTTGCATCTGTGGCAGATGGCGAAGTTAGGCTGAATGCCTTCAACACGAGCACCAGACAGACGGAGCATGGAAGTCGACAAGCAAATAAGGTACTTCCAGCCCAAGTACCGAGTGACAAAACTGCCTTGCCCTCACCAGGCCTTCGACGACGAAGACAAAACGCCCGCAAGCCGGATCATCAGAGGCAAGATGAACATGGATGAGCTACAGGGGCCCAGCGCATCGCGCACGCGAGTTGCCTGCCAAGCCCGAGCGGTTGTCAGTTCTGTCTCCCGCAGGAGGGATCGGGAGGAAAAAGAAGGGACGAAGAATGCCCAGACTTTCTGAGGCTGCGGAAGCTGGCGGCGAGCGAATGAGACGGCCTGAAGCCTGCAGTGGGAGGGGAGCGGAAGGCGGGAATTCCCCTCCCAATGTGGTGCAAAGTAGGTATGAATGCCCGCTGCACGAGATCTTCATCCAGTGAGCAGCAGAAGTGGCAGCAACAGCAGTTCAGGGCTGAAGGGCAGGAAGCGGCCGTCTCGATTGGCGCCATGTGGATTCGGCCGCGTACGCTTGCAAACCCGTGGGCGGAATTGGCACTCGCCGCCAAGACCCTCACTCTCACGAGCCAAAGACGCTAGGCTAAGGTAATCAATCGAAGGGTCCTCTTAGAGAGTCGTAGGGCCGACCTGGCGTCATACCTCACATGCTGGCGGTGATCAGTCCAGCAAGAGGGGTAATGGAGGGGGGAAGTTGGAGGGAGACCGCGACGAGCGAATAGAGACCGATAGCAACTCAAGTTGTTGTCAGAGTCAAGAACGTATGCGACGACAACAAAAGCCATCGTGGAAATTATCAGGCCCGGTCCCCTCAAAGTTCAAAACAGCTGTTCGCGACATCGTTGCGGTGCTAGCCTCCCCCAGGATATCCTAGTGGGACATTTTTCCAAGGCAGCTGAACCAGCATCAGCTATTAATCCATCTATCTTTAGCTGTGCCCTGCCATGTCCATGTCCGGCTGGAGCTCTGTCTCCCCTCAGCCCATTCATTCGAGTCGCGCTGGGGGCGCGGACATCGGCAAGCCATTTCGTACAAGGCAAACAGGACAAGGTAGCTAGTAGGTTATGTAGGCAGTAGCTAGCTAGGTAGGCCGTAGTGAATCAATCAATCAGGCTGAGGCCACGCGAGGGGCTCTGGCCGGTCCTTACCTCATGTTTTTTTCTCCATTCCTGTCTCTGCTGCACCTTCACGTCAACAACAACAATAATCCTCCCAGCGATAACCCGAACGAAACGAACGGTCTGACGAACGATTGCCTCCCGTCTCGCATAATCCCGCTTTAATCGCCCTCCGCAAACGATCGCCTCCTGTCGCCCACGAAGCTTTCTCTCCCGCCCTCAAAATGGTGCGTTTCTGGTTGCCCCTCATTTCGCTCTGCTCTCGCCCGGTCAGATACAGCAGCTGCTTCTGCTGCTTGCCGACACCCAAAAGATGGACGGACCATTGACCCGATGTTCATATACAGCCGCACTTTCGTCTTTCCGAAGAACAAGTCAAGGACTACAAGGCAGTCTTTGCCGCTTGGGTACGTCCAGAAAACAACCCTGCCATGCCTAAGATGCCGCGGCGATCGCATGAATGACTGCCGGCTCTTGGGACGAACCTCGCTTTACTGACATGACGCCGATGACGAACAGGACCGCGACAACACCGGTTAGTCTCAACACCAGTGCCCCAATTCTCACGATGATTTCACAAAACACATAAACTCCCACCACCGAAACTCAACACACACATACGCATCATGCGACTGGCTCACTGACACGTGCGCCCACCAGACAGCATCGATGCCGATGAATTTCAGATCGCCATGAAGTCCCTGGGACTGAACCCCAGCATTGAAGAGGTCAAGGAGCTCATGAAGGAAGTCGATCCCAAGGGCAAGGGCGACATCAACCTCGCCGGTAAGCTCCCACTCATCTGCTGCTGTCGTACACCAAACCAAACAAAGCACCCCGCGCGGTTGCAACGCCGATCACCAACGTGAACTGACACCCCCGCCTCACAGAATTCCTCCAGCTCATGAGCGAGGCGCCCGCGCCCTCGAGCAAAGACACCGACACCAACAAGGAGCTCGTCGCCGCCTTCAAGGTGTTCGACAAGGACAACAGCGGTTCCGTCTCGCCGTCGGAGCTGCGCCAGGTGCTGCTCTCCCTCGGCCAGCGCGCCACGGACGAGGAGATTGAGGAGATGATCAGGCATGCCGACTTGGACGGAAACGGTTCTATTGATTGTGAGCTCCTCCCCCATCACCAGCCGGCCATTCGAGAGGCGATGCAGTCGCTGCTCTGCACAACCGCACTGCACCACACCACACAAAATGCACTGCGCCAGTGTGCAGCGGCAGCTGCTGGCTGCCCTGCCGACTGAATCTCGCTATTCCCTACCCCCGCCCCCACCCAAATTTCCTTGCCTAAAATTAGCCCATCGTTCGGAGGATTGCGGCTGACCTGCATGCGAAACAAACAGACCAGGAATTCGTCCAACTCATGGCTCCGAAGGACGGCAAGAAGTAAGCTTTTGGCGAGTGAGCGGCGGCGACACGGTTCGGGAAGCATTTCGGTTTTGGGAAGTTTTTGTTTTCTTCGTTTCGACGGGATGGAAGGGGAAGGGAAAAGTCACTGCTGCCTTGATACCCTTTCTCTAAAGGTACAGTGAGGTATTCGAGTGGTTACAGGAGACACATCACTTGGCGACAAAATCACGGCAATCACACACTCAGCACTCAAACACACAAACAAGTATCACAAATCATACTCTCACAATCTACACGATATCAAAACCTGGCAGACTTTTTCTTCGTATTTGTTCCCCAGCGTTTGGTAACTGCTGGTGAGTGAGACGTTGCTAATTGGAGAGTCCGTCTACGGAAGCGCGATAGTCCACTCGGTTGGAGAATCGACAAGGGGAATAAAACATGCGAAACGCAATCGCCATGTGGGTAATCGTAAGAGAATGCGAAAAAGGAGAAGTATGATCCGATGCGTGGGTAGTGTCGCCCGTCCATCACGAGGAAATTTTTTTGACGAGGCGCAGCAGCTGAAAAACGATCGCGTTCCCGAGGCCAAGTGTGAGGATAATGAATGCGGTTCGCAGAATAATCGAATTGGTTTTTGCCCGAGGGACGAAAGAAGCTATCGACGAGGTTCTTTCGCCCGTCCATCCATCTACCATACGTCCATCCGTTTCCGAACCAAAGAGTAGTAAGGCCGTTATCGCATTCGGGGGAATCTTTGTTGTCGCACTTGTGTTCGTGTGTTGTGGTATACAGGCGTTTTAGGTGGATTAGAAGCAGCAGGTCAGGCACTCCAGGCAGCACTCGCAGGTCTCTCCGCAGAGCCAACAGCAGCAGAGAGTGGCGATGCTATTGAATGATTAGTGAATGTTGCGCGACGACGGTGCGAGTCTCTTGTGTTTGCTTACCAGCCGTAAAGGCAGCCCTTGTCATCCTTCTTCTCCTCCTGGGGAGGGGGAGCCTGGCCCTGGGGAGGATAGTACATCTGAATCATCTTGTGAGCAAAACATCTTCTTCGTCAGGTAGGATCGAGTGTAGCCTTACGGGCTGCTGGCCAGGAGGAGGCATTCCGTAGCCCTGCTGGCCGGGAGGAGGGGGAGGAGAGCCGTAGTAGGGCCTGGCGCATGTCAGTTTTCTCGAGGTTCCAAGCTTGAAGAAGTTGCGCGCTGATGATGAAGACTTACTGCTGACCGGGAGGAGGGTATCCAGACATGGTGATTGTTGTTTGTGGTGATTAGGTTACTTGAGGTTTGTTGTTGTAGGAGGGTCGCAAAGTGCGATTGGTATCTTTTTTGGGAAAAAATAAGGCGGTCGCGGAAGAAGCGAAGGGTGGGTAAGAGACAGGCAAATGGAAAGAACGATGAAGACGGGAGGTTGTGAGATGCAGGGGAAAGGAGGGAAGGCAGGAAGGAAATACCTTATGGGATGGAACAAGAAGTCACAGCATAAGAACAAACGTTGCTTATTAGTAGTAAGTAATACGGAACGTCCGAGGTGAATGTGGTTCCCTGGTCCCCGTTTTCCGCGCCTTCGCCTTAGGTTCGACGTTGCGCCCAGCCGTTGGCGTCGGCGGCAGTGCTGCGGCGCGTCGCTCACCCGTTGCTTGCTCGTCTCTTTCTTTACGCCATCTTTGCTGCTGCTGCTGCTGCTACCTTACTCTCTTCCCTGCGCTGCTGCGTTCGGTAATTCATACCGTATCGTGCAATGCCTCGGAGCTACTTGGCTACGCCTTGCACAAAGCTGGGTTCATGAGGGTGGCTCAAGGGTCTTGTCCACCCAAAGGGGTCTCCTTCGGGTCCGCGGGTCTGCAGTCAGGACGCCGGAAAGGGAACCAATTGACATGTCAGGACGCGAGGATCGCTGGCAGAGCCGAGAGGAAATGGGCACGGGGCTCCGGCCGGGATACCGGGCTGTCACGGCAGGAGAGACGTCTTGGAATATGGTGATTGTCAGTCATAAGGACGACAAGGTACATGCGTGTAAGTTCTCTTGGCGTACTATACACGTAGAGCGTGTAAAAGATTGCGCATCTGCATACGGTATTTGATAGGGCATTCTGTTCGCAATTCAAAGAGGCTATGCAGAGAAACTGGCCAGCATGGGAATCAAGCGGTCATACCGGTGCCGTGTGGCGCTGGGCGAGGTTATTGCTGTGCTTCTCTTTGGGAAGTGAGGTTCGCGATTTCCTTGGAGATGGTAGCGGCGGTGGATATGTCGGCATCCAAGAAGCTCTTGGCGGAGTACGCGTACAGGTCGAAAAGCGTTAGATTGTCTGCAGCTCTTGGGCTCGGCATGCATTCCAGCAGCAAATGGGCGATCGCCAAAGAGTTCTTGAGACCCGTTGCCCAGCCCGTTGGAGGCTTTTTTGGGGGTCCTTCTGAGACCCCTGGGGACGGGCGCGCCCTTGTCGTCGGGTCCATTGGCCCAGCTGGTTCGTGAAGGCGATGCAGAGGCGGCTGTTCAGTTCAGTCTCAGTATGAAGTTGTTTTATCTCTCATAACCTGACGACAACCCAACCACATAACACTACAACACATCCATCACACGCACACGTCTATCTGACTCTTTCTTCTTTCACTCCTGCTTCGCCCGCACGCAGACAATCATCAGGCCAGGTCACCCTCACCCCACCCGGTTCGTCGTGGATGAAGGATGCTGCATGCTGCAGAAGATGGTCATCGACATGACAGAGCACCTTGAGGACAGACGTGCGGATAAGGTAGGTGAACAAGAGTCAGCCACGCCGACGCCGACGCCGATGCCGAACGGGACCGCGGGCTGCGGCCGGTGACTTTTTTTTTCTTTATTTCTTCGAGAATGATAATTTTTCCAGAGAGGGTTAGCTCGGTAATATGCGCAGAGAAATAGGACGCATCCACTGGTAATAAGGTAGAAACTCTGTTGCTAGGTAGTTTGGTGGGTAAGGCGAGCAAGAGCGGCAGGAGCTAGGCTTTTCTTGGCAAATCGTACCTGGTTTAAACCGGTCGGGTGGATACCGGCGGACAGGGCGGAGCGCGGGTGCGGCGACGACACCTCACTGGACTGAGGTGGACGACACTGACTCCACGATTCTCACCTGCACCCGATGAGGATGAGGCTCGCAAAAGGTGAAGCACGTCTCATGTTCAACGGGAACCCAGTCAGTCACTTCCAACTGACTCCTGACACACACGCTATACCGTCCAAACCAAACCTTCAGGAATCAGGAACACGGGGGTAGGCCAGCCTGATCACCTACCGTACCCCGGTCTTGTGAGGTTCCATCCCCTGTTCTCATCGTTTGGACCCCATGAACCCCTGCCGGCGCCTGCCCTACCGCAATGAAAGCTGCAACGGGAGGTAGAAACTGCCAATCAGTTGCCGTCCCAGATGATCCTGCTTCACTGCACTGCGGCCCTTTCATAAGGCACAGGTAACCAGCACTAGCGTAGAAACACCTTCTGTCTCCCCGCCCGAACATTCACCGTATCGTACCGCGATACGGAAAAGGGACAGACTACATTAGACTCAGGTACGTGGTACAAGCGTGCCTGAGCAGCCAGTGGAGGTAGGCAGGTGACAAACAATCGGAGTCTTCCCCTAGGTACCTTGCCGTTGAATCGAAAAATAGAATCTGCATCTCAGGCACGACTCCGGCTGGTCACGCTTCCATGCATTAACCTAGGTACCTTAGGTAGGTGACTAACTGCCTTGCGGCAAAAGTGAGGTTTTCCTTTCCCTTCACGGCACACCAAGCGCTGCCCGAGAGCTCCTGCAAGCTACCTTACCTACCTGAGGCGGACAGGCAACTTCCTTACCTTATCACCGACCGTGTGCCTGTGCCTGTGCCTCCCCACGTACCTGGACCCTTACCCGTACACAATTCTTCTGTACCTCACCTCACTTCACTTTTGGAGCTGTTTCTCACAGTCTCACAATTCGAGGAGTTGAGCTGCTTCCCCTCGCTACCTTACCTCACAAGCACTATCCCATCCCCAGCTATCTGCCCCGGGAGGGAACCCATCGCTCTCCTCCACACATCTGCGAGAGTCCACCTGGCGCCCTCTCGCCCTCCACGCCTACCGCAGTACAAGAAGGGCCAAGAGTTTTGACGAACATCGCGTGGACCAACGAGCTGTCAACGCATCACAGGTAACCGCCCGCTCCCCTCCTGCCTTTTGACGTGTTCCCGACACATCTCCTCTTCTTGCCTTCACCGCCCATAAAAACTGCAGAAAAGGCTTACGAAGCGACAGCTGCCCCTCGATCTTCTCGGCCTCTGCCGCCTCATCCGTCCTACACCAGTCACCACTCGCAAACTCCCGTATCCCCATCACCTCCCCTCCCCTCGCCTTACTGAACCGACATAACCGGTCCAAGCACGACCAAGGAAAGAACCATGTCTTTCTTCAAGAAGCTCACAAAGGAGTTCGAGGAGCTCAAGACCTCCTTCTCTGACGACAAGCCTGCCGAGAAGAAGGACGACTACTCTCAGCAGCAGCCGCAGCAGCAACAGCAACAGCAGCAGTACCAGCAGCAGCCTCACCAAGAGCAGACCGGTAAGTCAAATCTCCTCCCCTCGTGTCACCTTGACTTTCCCTCCTACCTTACCCTGCAAGACGAGGGGAAGAAATACAAAGCCCCCAGAATTTTCCATGCCTACCTATTTCAGCATATGTACCTCTCCTCTGTTCTTCTTCTTTTCACCTTTGGCTTCTCATCCTCAAGTCTTACCAAAAATCCCCTCATCCTAAAGTCTGCAACATCTCCTCCGTCTATCGTCGTCGTTGTGATAAGCTTACTGACTCGTGCTCTTTTACCAGGCTCCCGCAGCTTCGGTGATCACCCGCAGCAGCAGCAGTACGGCGCTCCTCCCTCCAACTACCCTTACCCCTCGCAGGCACAGCCTCAACCCGGTTACGGCGGCCAGCCCAGCTACGGCCAACAGAGTTACGGCCAGCCCACTCCTCCGGCTCCCCAGTCCGCCGCGCCCCCGATGGCCGCTCCTTCCGTCTCCCAAGGTTGGCTCTGCCAGTGGGACACCAAGTAAGCCGAGCACCCGTCCCGGCCCCCCTCATACCCGATCATCCTGCTGACCTTCCTTGCAGCTACCAGAGATGGTTCTACGTTGACCAGAGCTCCGGCCGCTCTCAGTGGGAGCACCCTTCTCCCCCCACCGGCCCCGTCGGCACTCCCAGCTACGGCGCCCCTCCCGTCCCTCCCTCCGACACTAGAGGATTCGGAGGTGACCAGGGCCACGGCGGCTACGGCTCCCCCGCCCCCGGCTACGGTGGTGCTCCCTACGGTGGAGCTCCCGGCGGCTACGGCGGCTCTCCTGCTCCCGGCTATGGCGGTGCCCCGTACGGAGGTGCTCCTGGCTATGGCGGTGGTGACCCCTACGCCCAGCAGCAGCAGGGTCAGAACCCCTACGGTGCTGATAAGGAGAAGAAGAAGAGCTCCAGCAGCGGCATGCTTCTCGGTGCTGCCGGTGGTCTCGCAGTCGGTGCTGTCGGTGGTGCCTTGATCGCTAACGCCTTGGGTATGTTACTTTTTATCAAACGTAGCTTAAGATGTGGACGTGTGTGCTAACGTGAGTTTGTAGACGACTCTGACGACGAGCACAAGGCTGCCGCCGCTCAGCAGCAGCAGTCCTACGGCGGCTACCAGGACCCCTACTCTGACCCCAGCGCTCCCCCTGCCGTCCTCCCTCCCACTGACGCCGACGGCAACTCCGTCTCGTCAAGCGATCGCGAGGATGTCCAGGAGGCCCGTGAGGAGTACGAGGAGGCTCTCGCCGCTGCCGCCGACTCTGACGCCAGCAGTAGCGACCACGAGGCTCTCGAGGAGGCCCGCGAGGAGTACGAGGAGGCGTACGAGGAGGCGTACGATGACTAGACAAATCAACGGCTTTGGCTTTGAGTGTTTACGCAGTCGGAGGACAAGTGGACTGCGGTTTGCTATGACGACATGACGAGAAATGATTGCTCAGCATTGCGTGGCATTTGGGATGGCATCAGAGGATAAACGGCCTGGTGGTATCGGGACTGTCTCTACCTTTTGCTTGCGACCTCCATAGCCCTCGGAATTTCAGATGCAAGGACATGTTCAGGTCCTGCTAGTTAAACAAACCCTCGGCCTTTTGATCTTGTGAGACATTGAGATGACCCCCAAAATCGTCGATAGACTGCAATGGTGTGGGCGGGGAGATTATCCACGAGAGACAGCTCCGTCTTGCGCCTACTTCTTTGACAGCGGGAAGGAGCAATACGACATCGGGCGAGGCCATCGGTAGCCACTCACACGACACTCATTCTCATCTTCTACCTATTTGTAACCTTCGATTCGTGACGCCTATGACAGAGACAAAACGATAAGAGGGCCACTCTCTGGCCACAGGGATAGGAACATGTAATTGGAATTCATGTTCCAGCTTCTTGCAACAGTGTCTCGGTCATCCCTTGGATCATCGACCGGATAGGTCCAGTTTGCATCTCAGACAGGCAGGGCGGCGCAGCTGATTTGCCTGGCCGAGGGCGTATGGACGTAAAGGCCATCCGCTCCCCTCCCAAAAATTGCTTCTTCTCCCTCCTCCTAGTGCCCGAGGTCATCCAAAAAGCGGGACACGATCGTACATTACATGATGCGTGGATTTTCCCGACGGATCTCCCCAGGATCTGAAAGACAACCCAAACCCAGGTGGAAATCATCGCGGCTCACCCAGCCGAGGAAGTGGAAAAGAAGAAGAAAAGTTCGAGGAGAGATGCAAGAAAAAGTTTACGGCCGTGCTGGCGACGGAGAGTGTTGCCGAGGCTGATGGGTAGGTAGTAGACTGGGTGAGATTTACCACGAAGTTGAGGTTGACGAGAGACAGACACTGCACTCGGTTCACTTACACCAGATCCGACAAGGGCATTGCCTGTCCAGCCTGCGTATCTTCCCGCCCGCCCGCCGATTTCGATTCGGCTCCCAGCGATCGCTCACCCGCCCACACACACACCAGGTCCAGCCCGGTAGGCATCCAGCGACTCAGGTGAGCACCCCCATTTCCATCGCTTCAGGCACCCGACGACAGTGATAGGCGGGACGTCTTTCAGCTGGCCGACCTGGGCCCCCTCCCCCCCCCAGAGAGTTCATGTCCCTCCGTTTCGAACGAGAGAAGCCCAGGGCAGGCAGGGCAGGCAGGGCAGGGCACCGATCCGTACCTGAACCAGCCCCACGATTTTGTTTCAGCGCGCGCAGGTACGGGTACAGGACCATTCCCAATTGATTTGCTTGAAGGTATCGTCCCCAGCCATCCCTTGCTTCCCGCGATGGTTTGTGCGTTTCTCTTGGCTGAGGGAGGGAGAGTGGTGATTGACTTTCCTCCGGTGGAAGGTTGGTTGTTCTAAGGACAGTCCAAACGATTTGGATCTTGGATAGAAAGCGTCGGATACTGTGCTGCTAATCAGTCCATCGTTTGCCCAAAAACACCATGTGGATGTTTGGTTTGGATGTTCGACGGCTCCTCGAACCACCCAAAAAAAGAGGCTGGGAAACCCTCACTCAACCCCCCACCCCCCAAAAAGCTGGGGTCGATATGAGGCAACGCTCCCAAATATGCGCAACATTTCTGCCCGTATCCGTAGTCCGTGCCTTTTTTCCCACCACCCCCATCTCATCGCGGGATACCTATCTGTATCCGTAGTGGGCTCCCTGCAAGTCAGAATGGATACACCCGTCCGGTTCGTCCACCCAGCCTTCTTCCCACGGCCGGCGCGCGCAAAGGTGGTTGGGTCCCCCCCGACCCCGACCTCGGGAAACCACAGACAGACGGAAAGCCAGCCTACCCTCGGCGCGTCTGGTGGTGGCCGGTGTCCGGATGGCTGGGTTTGACAGGTCTCGCGCGACGGCAACGGTCGGTCTCGTCTGATGGGTGGTGGTGGTGGTGGGAAAAGGTCTGTTCCATGGTCGCGAGTCTGAGCGGCCCGGTGGCGGTCGCACGCGTTCTTGACAGCTGCGACGACGGGACCAAAAGTCAATTCGATCAGGGAGCCTCAAACTGCATGCCACTACTATGTCGTCGGTCTGGAAGCGCGATGCGGGAACATGACTTTGCGGGTTGGAAACAACGTTTGATGTCACATAAGCCATACTGGGGGGTCATTTGTGAGGTCATGTTTGAACTTTTTTGATGTATTTGTTCTCTTGTCAAGCTTCTAGATGGCTTGGAAGACGTTGGGACTTGCGCGCAAACAAAGCAGTAACTCTAGAGCTAAGCCGTAGCCCGAGATCGAACGCGTATCCCGTTTACCCAAAAAAACAGTGTAGTGCGCCAGCCACCGATGGGCTATCCCAAAACATGCCTAGCCGTGATGGCAGATTCGAAGTCTGATCCGGTCCATACAGTAAATGCCAAAAGATTACATGCTGAAACAAATGAAAGCAGAAATGAATGAACGGCGGTAGATCTACCGCCAAGTGCCGTGGATCTTGGTCCTGCGGCTACTCCTCCGGTTCTTGAGACCGACCTCGCCTTGAAGCATGAGGCTCTTCCACCTCCGCGAGAGACAGTTCTTGTCCTTGCCCAGACTGCGCGCGCAGTCCTGCCACTCCGACTTGCTGAGCTTGAGCTTCTCGAGGACAAGCTCCACTAGTATCCTGTCGTCCTCTGCGCTCCACGGCTCGCCATCGGCCTCGATCTCGACGTTTGAGCCCTGCTCTTCTGTTGTGTGGCTGTCGCTGTGCTCTTGTGACGAAGCGCCGCCGTTGAGGAGGTGTAATGTGTGGAAGTCGGAACGTTCGAGGCCGAGAGGGAGAGCCTCTGGCGCGATGCGCGCGCGCTTGGGTGTCGAGGGGGGTAGTTGTTGCTGTTCTTGTTGTTGTTGCGACGCACTCTCGAGGTCGCTGTCGACGTCTGAGTCCGTCATGAAGGCGTCGTCGTCGCGGCCCATGTCATCGTCGGATGCGCGTCGGCGCTTGTTCACCCCGCGTGGCGGCGCGCGCTTGGCAATGCGCCTGCGAGGAAGGTTTTCGTTGTTGATGCCATCGGCGGAGACCTTAGCGCGCGGGCGCAGACGAAGCTTGAGAGGTGGCGGCGCATGGGCGAGGGGGGGAGAAGGGAGTTGGTGATGCGACGGCGGCGAGGGCTGCTGGGTCGCGTATTGGTTTTGATGGTGTTGGGGAGTAGTGAGGAGGGCTTGAAGGGAGCGGCAGGTGTCGAAGATGTTGCCGAAGCCGCCCTGATGGGAGAGGGAGGGAGGGCTGGCTGGAGGAGAGGCGAACATGGCGGCTTGGAGGCGGGTGAGGGGAGGCTGCGACGTGTCGCAGGAGAGGGCGGAGGGCATGAGCATGTTGGCGAAGTGTCGAGATGGATGCGCTTGTTGCGAGTTGTTTGGTTTGCGGGTGTTGGATGTCGGTGAGGGTTTGCGACAGGCTGGTGTTCTCTGTACGTTCTGATGCGCGACTTTGCGACTGGGCAAGGGCGAGGGTTGGAATGCGCCGGGTGGTGGTGGAGAGGGCGAAGGCGATAGGTAGGTATCAAGGGCAGGAATATTGAATCGAGGGACTTGATGAGATGGTGATGCGGGTTGTCTGGAGTATTTGTTTTCCGGGCGCTCTTAGGAATGCTCAAGGGCAATAATGAGATGGTGTTTTGTGCGTGTCGGTGTGAGAGTTTCGGGCGGGAGGCGGTGGGTGAAGAAGGGAAGGTTGGCTGGGACGGACCTGGATAGCGGCAGAAGCGGAGGATTAATGGGGGGAGGAACTAATATGATGCCCGGCGTGGGAAAAGCTGGTGCAGTGTGCTGTGGTGTGTGCGGTGGGTCCACCTGACAAGGCCCCCTTCCAGGTGGTCGCTGTGTGTCCAGCGCAAACTGCATCTTTGGGGTGGGTGCACAGTGCTTGCGGTTCTGGGAAACAGCGCCATCGCGCTTGCCCCGTCACTGTATGGGGCACACGATACGTATCTTTTCCGGCAGGGATTTTAATGGATGTGGGAAGGAGAGAGTCCGAGCTTTTTTCGACCGTCCCTTCCGTCACTTTCACTTTTACTTTCACTTTTACTTTCACTTACAGCGTCCCGTACCTATCTGGCTTAGTCAACGAAGGCTGGTACGAATACACACCTACGAATACAAGGGCCATCAGGTGAAGGGTCTAGAAATGGTACCTGAGAAGAGGTGTGGATGATCATGGAAGTCCCCGAAACAGCCCGCATAATGGATTGAGAGACACCAGCACGAGTAGTCGCAAAGTAGACTCGATCGCGGGCATGGCTGGGGCACCACGCCAACAGCTACGCAGTACGACCTCTCGACTTTCATGTCTCAATTCCCTTCCCTCCGGCTGTACAGAGTACGAATACCTCGAGTCTGGGACGGCTTGTTTGCTTCTTCTCATTCATCGCCCGCCCCCTCCTCCTCCTCTTCTTCTTCCTCCTTCTCGCTAACCTGCAGTAGCCCCTCTTCTCGTCGGGCCTGCATCCTCGTCCCCATCTGCAAGGGCCGTCTCGGAAGAGCGAGAACCTACGAACAAACCACCCCTTTGCTCGACTTTTGCCCTCTTTCTCCTTCTCTGCTCTCGTTCTTGCGCAACTTTGACGGCTCCGACTCCTTGCTTCTTTCTCCTACTCCGCGTCCCTTTCTCTGTCTCTCCTCCCGTTCATGCAAGGCGGCGCTCTTGAATAGGCCTCATCTTTCCTGTCTTGCCTTCATCTCGCGCGGCCTTACCCAATTACACCTTTGGACCATCGCCTACGATCCCATCTCCCTGGGCTCTCCGGCCGAGAAGACCTGCAAGAAATGTAAGACACACGACTCTCACGGGCATCATCTCGACCCTGCCTTTATCTCCTCGTCTCTATCCCACTATCGCTATCCAATGTGGCTGCTCGCGTCTTCCCCAGCTTGGCTATCACTGCTGGTGACTGACATCCGCTGGGGTTCGACCTCCGCTCAGACAGACGCCAGAGGTGCGGCTCGATCCCTCCCTTCTGTCAATTCTGGCACGGAGGACACACAGACGACACCATCTTGTACTATGTAGTCGAAGGTCTCATCAAGTCTGGCTTGAGTCAGGTTCTCACTGTAAAGGCGTTCATTGTCTCTTGACAATGGACCAATTCCCCTCTGATTCGGGCCTGCAAATTGCTTCTTGTCAATCAGTCTCCCTCCCGCCTCATCTGAATCTAGCAACCGCAGTGCCCGAAAGGTCTCTTCGCAGATGGCGATGTGAGTAGAACTGCAACTGACAAACAGGCACAGTGGTTCTCTCGGCGAATTCGGACGGCGGATTTACACTCTAAATGTCCCATTCAAGCCGCCTGCAAAGCCGGGCCACGAAGGGAAAACGTGCTCCTCATGCCGTGCCACCACCACATCCATTTAGACTTCATGATGTTGCGTTTCCAAACAGCTCGGTCTCCCACCCCCAAGACGCTTCAGAACTGCACAAAGGGATCTGGTCTGTATCAGGCCAGCTGCCTGCCTGCTTTATTGGCTTATCGCACGCGTCGTCCTCGATCCAGATCCCAACGGGCCGGCTGGCTAAGCGAATCCTCTGGCCAGGTTTTCCTGCCTCGCGCGACATATTCCGATCAGCCCCCGAACGACATCATAGTTCATGGATTTCGTACACCACCACCCTCTCGGCTTGCTCCCTCCCCCTTCTTTAGAGCCGATTATTAAGAGAAGCAGGCCGGTGCCATTTGGGAGCTTGTTTTCCTGTGTGCTACTGGAAGGGAGTGTTTCGTAACTCCTGACCTCGACCCTCCCTCCCGGACAACCATGACGCATGACTCACGGTGCTCCTGACCACCCATCAAGTCGGTTGACAGCTCCCGAAACGTCCGCCCAATGCGTTTCTAATCTAATCTCTTCTGCCAAACGCCCTCATGACACCCTTTTGGGCGCGAGGTGGCCAGCCATAAAGGTGGCCACGGGGACGTTTCTGAAGAACATGTGGGTAGTGGTGTCAATGGCACGTTGTTGTGACAAAGAAAGGCCATGGCTGCCCGCGAGGCCGATATCGTATCAGGAACAATACGTGCTCCGCAGTACAAACAGGCGCCCTGGCTTTCCAAAGAGGGGCTTCTGTTTAATGGCTTGCATCAGAAACGTGGGTATTCGATCGCTCAGCCCCCCCGCGCTGCTTCCACTTTCTCGAGGGGGGAGGAGACCACGAGGGCCCCATCTGTGGAGTGAGTCGGGCACCGGGACACTCTTTTTGCTAAGCGAATTTCAGAAATAGGATGTGGGCAAGTCGACTTGTCTTTTGTCTGACGAACATCGATAGTCGAAAACGCCGCAACGCAGGGTATGCGATCAGCGACGGAGGCCGAGAGAGGGAAATCCAAATCAGCAGCAACACGAACTTCTGGCGCACAAGAGGTGAGCAGCCGGTCAGCAGCCAGGTGAGCCAAGGTGACGACAACGATACGACCCGCGATTGCCGCCAGTCGCCACGGAGACGAGAGCATGAGGGCAAACGTCGTCAAACAAGTCATCCTTCAACGAGGTGGGCGGTCGTCAAGACTGCCAAAACTTGACATGTCGTCGCGGTCCGCGAGCTTCGCGCGTCTAGACGCGTCTCCCGCACGCGTCTCGCGTTTAATTGCGTGCAGGAATCAATTGACGAATCAGAGACGACCGTGCTGCAGAGATCTCGTCTCATTGGTCCATCCAACCTCAGACCGTTTCAACCCAGACACAGTGCCGGTACGGGTTGTGGGTCTCCCAACCTTGATCCCTGCCCTGCCTCTCGCTTGATACGTACCCGTCCGTCTTATCCAACGTCGTCACTCGCGGCGCCGACGTGGACTTCTGACCTGTTCCTCGACAATCCACTTCCACGCACACGACGTCTGCGAGTCCACGTCAGGGCTTTTGTGCGCTTCTAGACCTGCGGGACCGGGGGCCCGACGAAAGGCGGTGCCACGGTGGCGGGCAAGGGCATGGCATGGCCCAAGATGGGCTCTCTCCCCAGGGGTTCTTCTCTGTGTTCTCGCGCCTTTTCCGGGCTCTTCTTCCGGTTTCCTGATTTATCTGATGTCGCTTCATCCACCTCAGTCGTCATAGCAACCAGGTAAGTTTGATGAGGCGTCCGGGGGGAGCTGCGTGTAAGTCGGTCGACGACGTGCCATGTTGGCAGACTGTTCGATTGCCTCGCCTGCTTTCTCGAACGTCGTCATCGGCGACTTGGCGATTCTTGCAGAGAAATTCGAAGAGAAGTCTATCGCGGTATGGTTCTCATCTAATTTGACCTGGGGCAGCTGGCACAGATCCTGCCATGCCTCGTATTCCACCTGAAGTCAAATATGCCAGGTGTAGTATCCTTATTTGAACCTGTGACTACGGATTTCTAATCGTGCGCGGTCCGTTTCCTCCGAGGCGTGGGTGAGTTCGTTCTATGACGTTCCCTTCGCTAATCCCAGACCAGTCTGTCGGACAAATGAGCTACCATGGTCTCGTAATGCGCAGTGACTCACACGCTATTCGTGACAGAATAGTCGGGACTTCTTCTAGAAAGTGCTTCGAATGCAGTATCGATACGAGTGCCGTTTTATGAATACGCCAACACGTGTTTCTGCGAGAGGTCATCTCTGCATCAGGCCAAATGCCAGTGTACCTGGAATGCATGCATCAAGGAGATGTTTCATTGGGGGTCAGTCGCATTTAGGTAATCTCCAACGACAGATCGCGGAGTAAAGGCCCAGACAATATGAGAGGCAACACTGCACGACGTCTGCTAGTTCTCAAATATCACCAGCCTGTTGTTTTGTATACATCACGATATGTCACATCACCAACACAAGACTCGTTGATCTTTGACCATGAACGAATTACAGAAGTCGTCTTTACTGACAACTCAGCAAGGTTGTGATGACAAAAGTCTCTCCCGTTACCAATTCCCAGCATTCATATCGTCTCGACGTCGTTTGGTGGGTGACGATTGACGCCCAAGTATCGATGTCTTTCTTTCAGTCCCCATGCGGTCCGGGGTTGTCGCTTTCCCTGCTCAGGGAAAAGCAGAAGACGATCTAGCTCAGCAACCCGACAATCTGAGTCAATCCGATAAGGACTGGGGCAAGATAGAAGAAGCATTTTGTTTGAATCATGCGGTAATTCCAACGAACGGTCCAGCCGTTGATAGAAATCCAATAAAAAGACCAATAAATACTTTGACGAACTGACGCGCACAAATCTGCGCTGGTGGAACAGCTGCAATCAATGGTGTGGTCGGATTCATATGGCCGGGTTCGCATCTATATACACATGCGTGCAGTATACTCAGTTTTGGCGGCACAAAGCCGCACATTCAACGCGTATCACCTTATAGGTGACAAACATAGTTGACTTCTCGATCGCCCCACCCCGTTCCTCTTCGTTTCCTGTCTCGTATTCTTTCTTGTCTTATTTGGGTTTTCTGCGCCGCTTGCGTTGGCTTTGCTATTTGGATTGTGAGAAATAACCTCGATGATATCAACCTAAACCGAGTTACCAGAGCAAGGACGTGTCATAGGCCTAGCCTCCCGGCAGTCCGCCCCTGTCAAATACGAGCAGGTCATTAAGCTGACCCTTAACTGGAGTAGATACTAGTATTTCTTGATAGTAGCGTGAGCATGGACGTGAAGGTTTGAGATGGCACAGCGAGTCTAGCTGAACCCTAAGAGCTAGGCACTTCCGTGCTGAGAGGGCGTCTTGTTAGAAGGGCCTCTGCTGGTTTAATATACTATATCAATGCCTTTTAGTCTGTCAACTATGATCTGCGGAACCTTGAAGTTTTCTGATGCTCTTTTCTGACGACACGCCTGGAAGAATAACATTTTTAGCTTATTGGTAAGGAATAGTTCTAAATAGAGCCACCTAGTTCCAAGCAGATTCGTTAGACTTACGTTGCTCGTTCGAAGTCCCCAGCCGCTTGGGGTATTATGGGCTGGCCTGCTACTATAAAGAATAGCAACCTGATCTTAACTATCAACTGTCTGCTTGAAAGTGAATGAGAGCTGAGAGTAGGTCTTACTTACGTTTGAGCGTGGGAATTTGATGCTACGCTATCTGAAGCCCATCACCCGATACAAGGATCATTCCAGCAAATGAAGCAGTCGACTGTCACTTGTAGCTATTGATATACAAAAGGAAGAGCAGTAAGGTAGATGAGGCCTAATGATCAATGATCTTTTTGTCGCTGTTGTTAAGTGACTCTGCCGCAACAAAGGCTAAGTCGGAGTAAAGTAGACGTAGGTAGAGCCTGTGATTGGGCAACAATTTAGGACGCCATAAGCTAGACTTTCTGCTATCATCTACCATCTCTGTCCACTGCGTATCTGGAGACGAACAAGCACACAGCCAGACCCTTCGGAACGCGAGAAAGTCTCTCAAACAAATCTATTCGTCACTTGGTTGCGCTGATTTTTCATGCAAGAGCGCGGTCCTCGTAACGTATTCGACTACTAGAATGTTGACGCCGGCGACTAGGTACATGGATTTCGGAGTCGGATATAAGACCATAACTCGGCGGTGAAGCTCATCGTCGTTGAATCTGACTGGATCTATTTTCTCGATGGGGAGGCTCAAATTGAAGAGTACAGCCGTAGCACGTTCTCGTTTCCACGACTGTGACAATAAGTGCCTATAAAAACTTCAAAACTGAAGAAGGAACTATTTTTCTCGCCATGAACGGGAATTCATTCACTCTTCGTTGAGTAAAATCACCTACTCTTCAGCGCAGAATTTGAACGGGACACCACCCAAAGGTGAAAAGCCTAGGCTGAGCGAGACCTTGCTGTATTGTTTACGAAGGGGCAAGTCATGCCCAACGCCCGCGACTTATTAGACACATAAGCATGAGAAACCAGGAGAGATGTCCAGAGACGAGGAAGAACGGCACAACGTGCGTCTTGTGGACCAGAACGGCTCCACGACACGAATCTGGCTGATGGTTGGCCAGGCTGAAGGAACAACCGCGAGAGAGTTGATAATATAGCCCCGCTATACTGTTAACGGCATCACCGTGCTTCTTGATTCTACTGGATGCACGAGGGGGCATTGAAAAGTTTATGAAGGGCTTGTTAAACAGCTCTTGGTTCTCTACGAAACCGACCAATATGATCAAGGGATAAATGACGAGAACTTGATGGAAGTCGTGCGTGTACGAATTTTCTCGCGAAAGCGATGGGGATCTTCGACTTTAATACTATCAAGGTGAGGTTTTGGTCTGTGACCCAAAGGAATCGAGGTAAGGTGTGGGTGGCAAGAGGATTGCGAAGTGAGAAACTTTGCTAGCAATACCCAGAAAACCACGACTTGAGGCAATGCAATCAGATTATCCGGCAGGTAAGAGATTGGAAGAGGCTTGATCACACATATTTCTACCAGAAGGCAGCATTCATAAAATATCGTCATCTTCAAACATTCACTCATATGGCCTATATACAACCATTCATGCGCCGTCGTCTACCTCACCACCACACAAGATCCCACCAGCCAATCCATAGCTGTACCAGCACACATTCCATCGCTGAGCGCATCTCATCTTTCGCACATGTGCCGTCTCGTCACCAGGAACCCAGCCCAGTTCATGCATCGTATCATTAATTATAACGGATCCAACATATCTTGCTGACGCACCGTCCCGGAGGTATCACCACCCATCAATGACCTTGACGTACACATGCAACCCCTTGGCCGGGCGCGCGGTGACGCCGCCCTTGATGGTGATGTTCTTCTCGTCGTACTCCTCCTTGTTCTTGAGGCTGAACTCGAAGCGACCGATCCAGGAGGCCAGGATGCACGCGAACTCGGCCTTGGCGAAGCCCTGCCCGATGCAGCTGCGCGGGCCGTGCAGGAAGGTCATGAAGGCGTAGTTGCTCGTCGCACCGCCGCTGGCCGCCGTCTTCTTGCTCTCCGGGTCGGCGCCGTCGCGGGGCATCCACCTGTCCGGGTCAAAGCGGCCGGCGTCGGGGCCCCACAGCGCCGTGTCCTTGTTAGTGGCCCACGGGCAGAGCATGATGCGCGTTCCCTTGGGGACCTTGTTGCCGTCGATGACGGTGTCGACGGCGGCCTCGCGGAGGGTCATGGGGACGGGGGCGTAGTAGCGGAGGACCTCGTTGCAGACGGCGTTGAGGTAGGGCATGTGGTCGATGTCGAGGGCGGTGATGTCGCCGGGGGTGCCGGGGATGGGGAGACGCTCGCGGATCTCGAGGCGGAGACGAGATTGGACTTCGGGGTTCAGGCAGAGGCAGTAGATGGCCCACATCATTGCCGAGGCGGTCGTTTCGTGGCCGGCGGCGAGGAAGGTCATCATCTGGTCAACGAGGTTGTCCTCGGTGAAGCCGCCGGATTCGAGGGCTACGGAGAGGATGTCGATGTCGGTGAGCTGCTTGCGCTCGAGCTTGTCCTTCTTCTCGCGGATGAGCTCGCGGCAGGTGGCGCGGATGTTTTGGGCGGCCTTGGCGATATCGCCGTTGCGCTTGAATGGCAGGGCGTGGACGAGAGGCCCGGGAAGAAGGAGACCGAGGACGGCGAGGATTTGAGCCTGGCGACTGGGCTTGAACACGTGCTGATACGTCTGGTTAAGGGGGTTGGAAGGGTCACGTATAGCTCCAAAATCGCGGCCCATGCCGGCCATACCGATGATATCGAGAGTAGTCCGCGACGCCCAGTTACCAATCTCCAACACGGCGGTCTTGGGACCGAGGGCCGCCTTCTCCGGGTCCGTGGTCCCATCGGCCGCAGGCTTGGCCGCCTCGGTCAGGACGGCGTCGGTGATGGCATCGACACCCTCGCAAGCTTTGCTCCAGAAGAGCGGGTACAGATCCTTCACGTGGCGGAAGGCGAATGCCGGCATGAGGTTCTTACGTTGGACCTTGTGGTTGTCGCCCTCGGCCAACAGCACACCAATTCCAAGGATCCGGCCGATCGAAGATCTTACGGCCGTGGGCTTGTGGAAGTCGTAGTTATGGGTGACCAACACCTCGGCAAGGGCCTTCGGAGAGGTGATGAGCAGGCGCTCTTGGTTGAATAGGCCGCGGTAACGAATGATGCCCTCGTGGGGGATTGTGTTGATCCTTGACGTCACTGTTAGCATCTATCGCATGCTGACAACGTAATGCTTCTCTGCCGCTGAAGAGCGACAAAATATCAGCTCACCATTCAATCATAGGAATGCCAGTCGGCTGGCGCATGATTCTGGGGTACTGTCCCATCAACCAGTGGTTGTCCTTGGGGCCGGGCAGGGTTCGAAGAGCCGAGAAGTATTGGGGGTAGAGGAAGACGACGAAGACGCCCCAGGCCATTATCTGAAGCATCCAGGCGCTTACGAAGGTGCTCAGGAGGTGCCATCTCGAGAATACTGGTTGGCGCAATGCCAGCAACACGGCGATGACCGCCGAACTAATCGACACTCCACGCCACGGAAACATGGCGTTGGTTGTCGACGTGCTTCGAGTGATGACGACAACGACGACGACGACAGATGGCGAACGGATTTATATCGAAAGACACGGGTCAATGCCGGATCAACTTTGGAACTCGGCGAAGTGTAGATCGACCCTCGAGAGCTCCCTTGGTTGAGAAATACTGTCTTCGGCGTTGATTAGAAGAAGGATCATCGACAGAAACTACAAAAGGAGTAGAAGGAAGTAGGAAGAAAAACGCAAAAAAGCTCGGGCTCAAGTAAGGTTGGACAACGTGAGGTTGAGCAAACACTCAAGCTACCTTGAGTTTAAGCTCAAGTGAAGGGTGGGCGAGGGCGAGGTAGATCCCGCGCAGGCTGAGGGCCGGTCGATCGGTTTCATGCGTACGGGGTTGCGACATGGAGCCAAAGCATCGCCAGCACATGCACATCCATGCAACGCACGCACGCACCGTACTCTTTTTTTTTTCTCTTTCTGTGTGTTCTTTTGGGTGGATCTTTTTTCCATGATTACATACCTATTATACCGTAGCTGAAGCAGGGGACCTGGGCGTTGGCCTAGGACGGGTCGTGAGACGATGGAGACCAAGATGGGATGAGACGAGACGAGACGGGACAGGCCGGACGGTAGGTAGTATTCAGAAGTTGCCAAGCTGGCAGGATGGAAAGAATGGAAGGAATACGGTTCCCGAGAGTAATAGGTGGTTAAAAATATAGCGCAAAAAAAATTGACTGAGATGGTGGTTGAATTGGTCGTTTTCGAGGTCCAATAGTGAATATCGCAGGTATCGAGGACTGGGGGCCAAACTCGATGATGACAATATGGCCGGCTGTTGTTGGTTACCGAGCTCTAGCGGTCTTGGCTACTGCAGCTTGGGTGGAGGCCGAATCGGTTCGTGACCGGGACTGTCAAAGGTTTGATGTAAGGGAGAGGCTTCAGGTTTTCACTCCTTTTCACCTCGAGGGAGCAGACTTGGTTTCGGTTCGGCAAGCCGGGTGTGTGTTTCTCTTTTGATGTCAAGATGAGTTGCTTTTTTGCTTTTGAGCGTGAGCTGCCGAGGGGGTTCATCCATGAGGGCGGAGAGAAAGGCAAGTTAATAAAGTAGGACGACGACCTCCGGATGGACGAGCGGGAACGGGGTTCGAGATGGATGATCAGCACTTGAATGGAAGACCGGCAGAGGTACGTAGACCATCCCTCCCCTTTGGTCAAGGTTCTTCCGCCGCGTGGGAGGCATCAGAGAAGAAGGAGGGGCAGACTTCGAATTGAATCCCTTTCTCGTACTAGCTTGCAGTCAATTGGTTGGTATTGCCTAACCCAGGCAGGGTAGTCTTGTTCTTTCTTAGACCCAAAGGCGAAGTCAGGGCAGGGTACGTGGTCCGCTGCGTAGGCCCAGGACGGGGGTTTCTTGGGAAAGGATGATGATGCCGTAGGACCGGGGACTAGGACAATTTGTTCGCCCGATCCATCCCGCAGCAAGATGGAGTTGATATGGATTCTTTAATTCGGTATTCTTCAAGCATGACTTTCCCCAGCATTTCGTATCTGTCGGATGAGCTTCTGATTGGACAGCGACAAAAGAGCCAAGTCGCATAAGCTTCCCGTTTCAATCCGGTGGACTGTGCTGCTCAAGACAAGACAGAAAGTGCAGCAGCCATGCCATTCCATGCCTTGGACAGCAGGTGACGAGGCATTGTAATTAGGTGAACAGACAAAGCTGACAAGTCCAGCCAGTCCATCTCACCGGAAAAACCTTGGATATCCGCCTCTACTTACTTCTAGGCAGATGTTTAGAGTCATTGATTTCCGAGACTCCGACGACGCAGAATCACACAAGCAACATGCGTCAACCAGAAACACGAACGGGAAACGTTTCCTCCACGGGAGAAACATTCAACGTTGGAAAACTCCGCTGCGGAGGAAAAAGAATAACAGCTTCACATTACACAGCCACGATACATCGCGAAAACTCCCGTCCACGGCAAGCTCCTTCCACAGCAGCGCAAAGATGCAGAAGCAGAAACACGGGCCTCCGAGCACACATCTGACAGCTTTCGTTTCCGCCTACCGTCCGTGACGATGGTTAGACGGTTTCTGTTCTCCTTGCAGCGGCACGACTAAAGATAGGCGGCCTTTTTATTCTGCTGCTGCTGCTGCTGCTGTCTGTGTCCGTCTGTCTGTTCCATGCCGTTTCCGTTGCAAACGAATGCAACCAACCAACCAGCTGACCATCTACACACGCACACCGAGACTTACACCGCTGGGAGAAAGACGGCTAATTTCATTCTCTCCCTTCTCGTGTGCAATACAACAATGCATCGAAAAAATGCGGTCCGACTGCGCACACACGGATACCCGAGCAGGAATCCCGTTCATGAAAAAAGCTGCGCTCGCCGTCGCGCGGCCGGGCCACAGCCTCCGTTCGCCCCCTCAGCCAGCCCAGCCCAGCCCAGCCCGTCGTCATTCCTACGTGATCCGTCGCGATTGGCTAGTCTATGCGCTGCGAGCCGGCGCCGTGCCCGTTCTTTCGCACTCGTTTAGACACGAGTTGATCTTCTTAGCTTCGAATCAAAGCCAACACAGTAGTCGTACCATAGTAAGTAATTAGAGGAGAAAATAAAAAAGCGACAGATGTAAACCAGAAAAAAAAAAGCCCGACGCCCAAATCCGTCCCTCGTTCCGTGTCCGTTTGCATTTTTCACGCCCGGTTCCGAATCCCGTCCCAGATCCACTTACAAACATCCAGAATGTCTCCCGTCTTCTTCTTTACCCTCCAAATCCATGGATAACCTTTGTCTTTCATCGCTTCCTTCATTCGGGTGTGGTGACCCCCATACATCCATCCATCCCTCCCCGTCTGATAATCCGTCTTCATTCTCCCTCCCCCCCCACCCCCCGAATGATTTGTGTTAATACACTTTTCGCCGCATGAACAGAGTACCTACCTACCGCAGTAGACACATGCCAGTCCAGTTCCTCAAAAAGGCAATCAAGACCAAAATAACCCCGCCTTGCTGGATATCATGAGATGGAGGCAACCCGTGTCATCCAGTCATCCAGTCAAACCGATGGACTTACTTACGCCTTCGGTGACAGCACTCCCACCGGAGTATCCCTCCCCTCCACCCACTGCACCCCGGATACTTAAAATCACAAATGAAGCCAGTCACTCCGGCCTGGCCCTGCTGGCCCTGCTGTGAGCGAGAGACCCTTCGCCGTGCTCGACGACTTTGGTTATTCACGTCTCCGGCCCCCCGCCGGGACAACCCAGAGCCCCGACAGCATGCTCCCGTCGGAGTCTCATTTGACCGTTTGACAAAACCCGGGCCCGTCAGCCATGTCTGCCTATCCCCGACATGGCCCAAACTCTTGTCATCCTGCAAGCTCGTCCTTCCGTTTTGTCTCCATCCAATCACGTCCCAACCACGACGAGGCCTGTGTCGAGTCAACTTGCTCCCGGAGTCTTCGTTTATTATCCTTGCAAGCAGCGCTCGCTATTTCACAACAAACATATTTCGACGTGGCCCGGCTGTAAGAGTGGGATACTCATGTATTCATCCGCTGACTACCTTGGCTAATACAGTATCATTGCCTGCTTCGGGTGTCCTGCCGCGCTCTTCTCGCAAGATGGCTCAAGTAGAAATGCCCGCTGAATACTGCCGCCTATCGAAGTGTTGTTGTCGTCCCCTCACTGCCTAGGTGTCTGTTGACCCTAGACGCAACCTCCTCTCCAATCCACCGAGTTCTGAATCATGTTATCATGGTGATGCTGGTTACCCACCCCCAAAACGCCTCGAGAACGCCCTGATAAACCAAACCCTACCGAATGCCGACTGAAGCCGATTCGTAACACCCAATAAAAGAAATATCGAAATATCGCCCTGAAAAATCCAATGCCATATCCGTTGACCGATATGGGCATGCTGATATCTTTCCCAAGCTCCTGAATATCATCTCGGTTGTCCCGTCTGGGCTCCTTGATATCTTGCCTGGGCCGTCTGGTGTGTTCTCTGGCGACTGTACTACTGACCTCCCCAGTGAGTTGTTCCACCGGCTAATGGATTCGAACTGTTTTCGCCCAGCATCATACGTCGGTGGGTGTCTTCGGAGATCCCGCTCTGCCAGTTTCCGGGCGGAGGTGCTGGCAGTGAATTCCGGTTCGCTGAGCTCGGGAATCCGGCGCCCTGCCCTGAAGGGGGGACGCCATAAGGCATCGGCGGTGGCACGTACGATGGCGGTACCATTGGCGCCGAAGAAGAGGCAATATCCGGTGGTCCGCCAAAGCTCGGTGTGTGATATTGGGTGAGGTGCCCTGTAGAAAAAGGAACAGAGGACGGGCCTCCACCATGGCCTCGGGCCGGCGCGTTTGCGACATGCGTCCTGATCGCGTTGAAATTATGTGACCTTCTCTCATGGTTGGTCGAAGAACCGCCGAAGGAACCCGGCCGGATGACGCTGAACGGTGGCGAGCCGGGTCCCCGCCCAGGTCCATGTCGTGGTCGAATTCTCCGCCGACTCTCTCCGCCATCTGTTGGAGGTGACCGGCGCTCACCGGCCGTAGCACGGCCCGATTCGTCCGAGCCATGATTTACCTCTCTTTCTCTCAACGCCCTTTGCCGAAATAACAAGTTGGCCAAGTGAGTGTTCGTCGATGTCATTTTCGGTTCCGAGGGCAACTTATCCCTGCAATACGGGCAGCTGTCCGAGTCCTCGAACCATTTTTTGATGCAATGGTCGCCAAAAATATGCTTGCACTTGGGCAGGCGAAGGGGCGCCTCCTTCACGCCTTCAGGTGTCTCTACGCCAAAGTCGTTGTAGCAGATTATGCAAGCTATGGATCGTTAACTTCGAATCTTCACTCCAAGCATCCGAAACTTACATCTTTCACTCTCCGAAAGATCCGAGACGTCAACGCTCTGTAGCGACTGAATGGCGGATATGGACGCAACCATTTTGGTCGTCACGGAACCACGCATCATCTGCGCATTCCGAATATGATTGTCGTCAATGTCCCGACCTACCGAACCCATGGCATGTTCCAACATTCGAAATTCCACCTCATCGTAATCCCGATCTGAAGGTGGCGATGTTCTCCGCGATAGCCTGCGTAGCGGAGTTGCAACAACTCGCCGCCGTTCTGCGGGCGGTGCTGCAGGCACCGGGTTGTTGAGTGACGTGGAAGACCCCGAAAAGCCGCCTGGCACAGCGTGAGCAAAATAATCAGAGAAGACGTAGTTGTTATTTGTATGCGTGAAACCCTTACCTCCTGCAGTTGGACGATATGACCGGTATAGGAATGGGCCATCGCTTGATGGCGGCGCAGATCCGAATTGGACGTTGGTGCTCGTCAGTGGCGCCTGAGCCGGAGCAGCCGTGAACTCTGAAGCAGGGGGCTCTGGGACTGACGGGCTTTCCACGCCTGATTGCGGCGAATCTTGCACAGGTGCCGGCGGCGTCGATGTCACTGGCGGCGTATATGTGCCAAGGTGGTTGTTATTAGTGGAAACCGAAGACTGTCCAAAAGCGCTTTCAGAGCCCGGCATTTGAGGCTGATGTCTGCTCGGGGGATTCGTGGGGACTGGACCGTAATGAACGGGGGGAAGCTGCTGGGTCGAGTACGGCGATTGCAGCGCGCGGAGACCACCGACGCCGTGAACAGGATTTTGCCAGTTGGGGCCCATACGCAGGCTAGGCATCGGGTTGTAGTAGGGAGGTTCCGGTGCAGAGCCAGCCGGTCGATGATACGGCGAGGATGTTGCGTGTCCCAACATGGCAGGTTGCCAGTGATGCGGTGGCAGATGTGATTGGGATTGCCAGTTGTTTGCTGAGGCGTGAACTGGGTCGTAATGTGGGCGATGCGGTGGGACGCTGGTGGTGTGACCGTAGGTCTCGGTTCTGTTGAAGTACGGGCATCTGGGCGGTTGGGTATTATAGGGGAGCTGAGCGTGGTTCGGGTGTTGCTCTCGATGATGGAAAACGTAATCCATGGTGTCGTCCATGACGCTGGTATTTCCTTTTTGCTGTAGTATTCCCGGTGCCTTGAGTTGCAAAAAGATGATTGAACCAACGGGTAAGATTGGGCTGCGAGGCTTCAGGCCGTCTCCAAACACTCGCCAAACTCAGTATGTCGGCCGATTTCCCCCGTTTACATGCACCTGCACGGCGTCGCTCGCTTGCTTTTCCCGGCTTTTGTTTGTCGAGCAGGAAGCGAGAGAGTCGTACAGGATGCCGTTGGTCGAGGCAAACTGGCCGCGGCGGTGGAAATGGAGATAAAGATGGTTCGTTGGTGAGTCGTCGTGGACTGACACGGTGAGGGGTTGCATAGGCGTGCGAAGCCGTCAGAGATGGAGGGGCTTGACCGAGCGTCGTTGCTTTTATCGGTCGGCGATAACCAGATACGAAGAGGCACCCAGATTTCCGTCTTCCCGCATACCCATCGAAGTAATGCGACGTGTTTGGTCCTCCAGAAGTGACGTCGGTCCCAGAAAGTCCAACTCCAAACCCAGTGTGTCGACGAGGCAAAGACAGTGTCGAGGTGTGAGAGGAGAGTCAGGTAGAGAGGGGGCGGCGGTTAAGACAGTGAGACGAGTCGGTGGTTCATACCGCATTCGGCGGTAGGAGAGAGGGGTGCGTCGTCGAGGAAAAAGCGAGTTGCAGGCGTCTCGTATGGCCGTAAAGGGTTAAGATAGAACCGGATGTAAGCGGTGCAAAAGTAATGCTGGGGGAAAAAACACTGCTGTGTCGTCTTCGTAACGAACGAAATAGGCGGTCTGTGTCTTGATTTGCTTCCTCGCTTTGGTGTCGCAGGCGGCGGAAGAGTAGGGATGAAGGGGGAGCGTGTAAGAGGATTGAGCGTGAGCAGCCAAGGTGGGGTTGAGTGAGGGCGGCGGGAGGTGTCGGGGATATAAGTAGCCTGTATTGGTTTAGGACAGAGGTGCGTCGGTTGTGTTAGGTTGTTAATGAAGCAGAAGAATCGGCAGAGGGGATACGATTCTTGTAGATTGCACGCGTTGTGACGCCGATGTCGCCGAGCAAGGGATGGAGTCGAGAGTCGAGGGTCGAGTCGGAGGAAGATGAGGAGGAGGTCATGAGGAAGAAGAAGAAGAAGGAGGAGGAGGAGGAGGAGGAGGAGGAGGAGGAGGAAAATAAGGGAGAGAAAGAGTTCAGAGGCGGTCGGAGAGGATCGGTGAGACCACGATGAGTGTGTTGGACGTGGAAGCAGCAGGGGAGGGAAAAAAAGCGGCGGGGAGGGAGGGAAGGCGCGGCAAAGGCAAGGAGGGGGCAGACCGTCTTGGTTTTGTATTTCGTCGCAGGCAGGAAGGAAGGAACCTTGGGGAAGTAAGGTACGAGGAGGAGAAGGAGGAGGAGGCGGAGGAGCCAGACCAAGTGAGAATAATAAGTGGAAGACACCAGCTGCAAGACCAAACCAGAACAGACCAGACTGGTGGACGGTGGATGGTGGACTGTGACCTGCGGGCTACCTACCTGAAGGACTACGACGACGGCTGCGGTTACGGTTACGGGACTTGGACTACCTACATTTACCTCATCATGGACCAAGGCACAAGAGAACGAGACAATGGACGGGAGCGAGGAACCTAAGAAAGTGTCCGAATATCGCACCTCACAAGGGAAAGGAAAGGGACCGTAAATGGTACGGCAGGCTAAAGCCAAAAAGCCCACTTTCCTCCGAATCCCTCTACTTTTTTGTTGGTATTTTTTCCTCCCACTCTCCCTCATTATTTCAAGTTTACAGCTCACACCTCACACTTTTGAACCCCTCATCCAGCTCAGGCAGGACAAGATTGACACTGGACCGGGAAGACCGTACATGTGCAGAGTCAGGGTGCCCAGCCTCATCACCCTGCTTCTGCTTCTGCTTCTGCCTCCGCCTCTGCTGCCTCCCCTCTCTGGCCTGCCTCGACGTGAGCATGAGATGGGTGCAGGCCGGGACAAAGTGAGGAGGTAAAGCAAGGCAAGGTCTGGACCGGCTGGGTTGGCACTACTGAGAAAAGCTCCATGACCATGACCATGACCATGACCATGCCCATGTCCACGTTCAGGTCAAAGTCCATGTCGTTCCGTGAGGTGGGTAAAGCGGTACGGGTTGGGGTTAGGAAAAGGATTGGACTGGATTGGATCCAAGACAGCCAGACAGCCAGACAGCGAAGCAAAAGGAAAAGGCACTTGACAAAACACAGCACACCTGGCAAGCACCACAGCGCATCGCAGCAGCAGGAGCACAGCACAGCACAGCACGACATGGGCGGAGCAGGAAAAGAACAGGTCGGCCCAGGCCAGAGTGAGGCATGGCGCGGCACGGCACTGCGCTCAATGTGGAAGACGACGGACGGCCGGACAGGCATGTTGGGGGCGCCGGGGAGGGGAGGGAGTGAGAGGGTACGCAGTGTGTATTACACCGGGGCCAGCAAAACCACGAGCGAGTGCATGTGTGTGAGAGAGAGGGGGTGAACTGTGAAAAGGTAGGTCGCAGCGGGAGTGAGTGAGAGTGAGAGTGAAAGTGAGGGAGAGAGTCAGAGTCAGAGTCAGACATAGGTAGTCCAGCCCGCCTCACCAGTTGAAAACGAACGGGCGAGCGCCGAGTTTAGGTGAGTTACAGGGCCAATGAGCGATGAACATCCGTACCCGGGTCCAGTTTCCAAATGTTCGTACTCATTATTATTGCGGTGCAGTATTGTATGCAAATGCCATCATTCGCCCACTCATCAGCCGTCTTGCCCTTGGACCCGATACCCGATACCCGACTCAGACTCAGCCAGCTCCTTCGCAGCCCTGGCCCTGGCCCTGCACTGTACTCTGCAATGCTAGGGCAAGCCCAGCCGCCAGCCAGCCGCCAAAGCAGGCAGCCCGGTTTGCCAATCAGGCCAGCAACAGACCGGATCAGTACGAGGGACACCGGGCGCAAGGTACCTCAACCTCAACCTCAATCTCAACTGAAGCTGGGAATCTCGGTGTGGTTGGTTGGGTGCATGCGGAAGAGATGCGGCGGTTCTGATTGCGACACGGGTGCTGATGCTGATGCCGAGCAAGAAAGAGTTCTTCTATCTGCGGTGATGATGGCCTTCTTTCGTAGTTAATGGTCAAAGTGAGATAATACATATTACCAGGTGGCCTTGCCCGGCAAGGGTAGGCGGTGGGTGTGTTTGGGCAATCGTCGTCTGTTCGGATCCCACGGGTGTCAGTCGGCGGCAAGGCACCTTTCCAAAGAGGCACGAAGAGCGAGGTGTGATACGCCAGATGCGTGGCCGGGACGAGGTCACAAGCACCGAAATTGTGTGGTGGCGGCAACATCGAATCCATGTCCCCTGGCTGTCTTGTGAGCCATCGATATTGACACAAAGGCAAGGTACAAGTTTCTTGGGCAGTCAGCCAGGTGGATGTTGTATCGGGTGGACCATTCATTGATACACCTGGATGGCGGCGCTGGTGAGTGAAATGATTGATTTCCCGGTGCGTCGGAGCATCTCGAGAATCATGAACAGGACAGGATGGGATAGTCGTAAATCGCCCAGGCTGGACTCAGTAGCAAGGGCAAAAAAGGGCCGTGTATCAGAAAAAGCGGGCGTTGATGACAGCTCGAGACCATCATCACATCAGCATTCCAATCAGTCACTCAAATGAAATTCGCTTCCTATTCTCTTCTCTGAAAGCGTCAGGTGCGCCCTTCCGCCATCCGGCTTGCTTCAGTGTCATCAACCGCTTTGTTCATTTCAAGCTATTGCCCGCTGATCTGACCGGGGCTAACACGTCTCACTGGTCTTGGCCTCCGCCAGAGCTGTAGAGAACGGAGCATAAAAGTCGAATATGTGTATATGCGTGACTGATGACAGTCGACGTACGAATGAATACCCATTGCGTACTCCCCACCTGGCCAAGTGGTTGGGTCTCGTTAACTGCTGCGGACTCGACCATCAGGGCAACATGGCTGGACTGGACTGGACTGGGCTGCAGCGTTAAAGCGATGGTTTAAAAGGTTGATAACCCTGTATCTTCGCAGAGTGACAGAAACATGCGCCATTCGCACGCTCGATGTGCATGGATGTCGACTAATCCAACAAAAGTGCTGGTTTGGTGGCACCACAGACGCAAGCCAGCGTCGACCTAGGGAGGCTATTTGCTGGCTAACAAGTGTCGTCGACGTCTCTGTCGTCGTTGGTGGTTGATTCTCACAGGATGGTCTTCTCAGTCGAGTATGGCTTACGGTGCGGGAGCAAGCTCTGCGCCGTCGACGTTTGTGTGTCGGCGGCCTAGCGGCAGGCCGGGCAGAGAGTGAGAGACTAACAAAATCAAGACCACTAAGGCAGGCTTGTCAATGTCAGGTGTTACAAGTCAACTTTTTGACGAGCCAGTTGAACGAGGCTCGCGGTGCCAGTATGTTTTCGGTTTGTTATACATGAATAGAGCCTTAACACCTGTGCAGCTGGCCTCGGCTCAGTTCAGCCACAAATACGCACCATGTTACTTTGGTGCCGCTAGGAATACTCTATTCACTCAGTGATAACAAGCAAGGTACTCGTACTGTCGTCTCGAGACATCGGCCTCCCGCCTTCCGTTACCAGAAGGTCACTTCAAGCCTATGTAGGTACCTAGGCAATACAGAGTAAGGTAATTCCATTTCCGACCATTGTTGGCAAGCGGGTCCTGGGCCGGTAAGGTCACGGTACGACCACCCCCGCCCCCCGGACCCCCGGGACCATGGATGGACGCTTCAGACTTCCTCCCTCCGTTTGCTCGCAACCTTCGGCCGTCAAGGCCCAACTAAATGCTTAAATTAAGCCGTCCGTCCTGTCGCCAACCTCTTCGCCGTCCGTCGCCACTCCCCGTCACTTGCTTGTTCTCGGCCCAGCTCATGCGGCAGCTCTCGGACTAATCACTAACCATGGTGCGAATCCATCATTCCGAATCACTCGAGACGTCCACCAGCCAGCTAGGCAGCATGTCACCCTTGTGGTTGTTACTCACCATTCCCGGCCGTCGCGGATGAACCTGACCTGCTCATTTAGTACCACGTCTCCGCAGCGCAGCTTTACCCCTCTGCCGAGCACCCGCCGCCTTGATATTGAATCCCAGGGGAGGCCTGGCAAACCCCACGATGCAGCCGACACCCTGCTTTTTTCTCGCCGAACATCGCTCTCTGCCCAGAGCAAGTCCTGGCTAAGGAGTCGCGAGAAAATTTTCTTCCAGGCCACGGGATGTTGTCTCGCCAGGAGATGGCGCACAGCGAAAACCTCGTTCGTCTGCTACTACGCTGTCTCGGTGGCTGCATACACACTGGCCCGCTGCGGAATGCGCCCGCGGTTACGACCTAGAAGAAGGAAATGGGCCATGTCTTGCACCCAAGGGAAGACGGCGTATCGACAACTGGGCAGAAGAAAGGGAGGAGATGCAGCAACTTTCTCAAACACATACTGGCTCTCGGCATTTCAGCCTTTGGATCACGCACACAGAGCAAAAGACTGCTACCTGGCCGTGGCCAGCATTATCCCAGGCTCCAATACGCTAGGTGAGGCATGCCCACGGCCCGCCAACTGACCGCCGACTTGCCGGCCGGCATAGGTGATAGCGATAAGAGGGGAGGGGATGTAAGAGCAAGAGTGCGGTGGAGGGGCAATTGTCGGTGGCTTACACCCACCGTCCATCAGCGTCTTTCAATTATTGCCCCTCCGTCACACCCTTGCGTGTTAACTCACTCTTACCTTCCTCCCCTGCTCTCGTTTTCGGCGTTTCTCGTGCTCATGCGACCCGACGTTTCGTCACTCGCGGACGTTGGCGGTGCGGTGGCAGACATGAGTGGAATGGCCAGACCTACCTACCTACCTACCATAGTAGGTATCCGATTGCACTGCGGGGCTCTCGTGTTAATAAGTATCCGTAGGTACGCTGCCTTTGGAGCGTTTGCGCCGAGCTTTTCACACCCCCAACCACACTTTTACCACCAACCACTGGACTACCGTCATGACCGGAGACGCACCCGCCTCCGGCCATCCATGGATAATCAAGTACTGCGGTACTTCCCTCACCTGCACCAACGACGCACTTTGACCAGGCCTTGATCGCCACGGGCCCCATGCTCGCTTGATTGTGATTCTATTTCCTAGAAGGGCAATCTGGACGCAGCCATCTGCAATACGATACTGAGCTGTGGAAACCTCACCTTCAACAACCGCAGTTCACTTGTCGTCGCCAGCTCCAATCACCCTTTGTTTTCTCTGGAGAATACGTCCTGGCCGTATCTCAACCAGCTACATACGTCATCGCAAGTCCCGGTTCTTAATAACAGGGGCAGCATGAGAGAATAGCAAGGACCCCACGGCTTCAAGTTCGGGCAGCCCCGGCTATGCCCCTGCTCCGACACTCACGAGATGTGAGTGGAAAACACTTATCGATTGGCTGGCGCCCCTTTTGGTCACAGACTCCGTCTTTGATTCGCTTCAGTTGCAACAGAATCCCTGCGACGATCACCGAACCCTAGTTCGTGCTAAGATAAAGGCACCCCAGTCAAACTGGTTGCTACCATCCCCTCTTCGTCACTCATTCCCCTCTACAGAGTTGGCCGGCCTCGCACCACTTCAAATAACGCCAACGTACTTTCTCAGATTACGACTCCAAGCCACATTGTTTGATACTTCAGATGTTCGTCTCATAACATCCCTCCTGCAGGGTATCGGGATAGCAACATACGGATGATCCGCTTCACTATTACCTGGGTCATCGCTGCTTAAACGCGGAAAACATACAGCCCATTCTGTCCCAACCTGGCTTGCTTCCCTGGCATATTAAACGTGACAGCTGGTCGAGATGCACGTTCGTAGTACAGCCTTTATTTCAGCATTCATCTTCATATGTTTCGGCGACAGGCGAAAGATAAACCCTTGCGATTCTTGAACGGAGACCCGGCCCCTCCGCCGGCACCCTAGAGCACGTTAAACGCGCAGTCAGACCAAACGAACACACTAATATACAGCGGAAGTTTCTCTCAAATCCCGGCCGCCGAGTTATCTGGCTTGCCGACGTCTCCCGCCACTTTCAACCAAGCCATTCCACAACTCAGCTTTCTTGCCTCTGACTATCGGAGTTCTTGAGGTGTCCCGGAACAAGGGCCCGTCCTCATAGAGTCAAGCCCTCTGAATCCCAGCTGATTAGTACGAAGCGCCTGCATTGTGTGTTGGAAGTAAATGCTCGGTGCAAATCTCATGTTCTGCAGCAGACTCTTTCGTGGAAAGAAAATGCAGCGACTGGAGAACAAAACGAAGGACTTCGACTTTGCTTCAACCGACTATGCCATTCAGCGATAGCACTTGTGTTCTCGTAAGCGCCGGGCAGCAAACCAGACGGGCTCAGAGACGAATTAAACTTCATCCTTGAATCAAAGGTCTTGGCTCCTCGAGCCCTTACATACGTCGGCGATGAGCCCCCTCGATCCGCGCGCCTGCAGCAAGCTCACGCCAATAAACCGAAGGACATTGCCGTTGGCGACATCCTGCTTACATCTGGTTCGTTCAGGGCACGAGTGCAAAAGAGCGGCAGCATCGGAAGCTTGAGAGGTCTTGCCCGGGGATATATCCCACGCCGAGCGGGGCTAGACTTTCACTCGCACATTCCAGCTCCGAAGCGAAGCTCCGACGGGCTGACTCGCCGCCACGCCCGAATGCCCTTGGCGGACGGGACGGGCGTCCACCGTGCGGCGGGATAGACTCCGGGGAATGAGGTGATGCTGAGTTGGGTAGTCAGTCGGTCTCGGGTTGGGCGGGTCCCCCGCTTTCGCCCTCCCTCTCTATCAGTTCACTGCATCACCGTCTCACGCAACTGCAAGGATCCCCTCCTGCTCGAGCTGCAAGCACTCAAACCCCACCTTCCCCCGGGCGCATACGGCGGTCCGCGGAGTTTTGGGCATAATGCGGTGACGGATTTTACGACGAAGAATTCCATTTTCTTTGAGTGAATGTTCGAAAGACGTGGTATGACGGATGTTGTCAACGGAGCCTGCTGCTATGGCTCTACACATCTTGTCATAGCCTCTCAATACGTGAAATGCAGTAGGTTTACCAGCCTATGGCGATATTCCCGGGAGACTTTGGAGATTCTCTGACTGATTCCATCAGTCTCTGAAGATTCCAAATCTGGAAGGATTCTGGGATCCATATCCTGAAGTGATATCACAGTGATCGATATCGCTGACTCAGACGTCTGTATTCTTGATAACTTCTTCATACTACGTCAACCTCGACTGTTGCTCTTTTCCATGTGGATGAGTGGACACATCTCAAACCACGACGATGGTAAGGATAAGTGTAAGAGTGCGGTGGCTGAGGGTCATCATTTCAAACAGTCTTCCGTCTTTGGACGAGGATCTCATGAGACACTCAAGTATCTGGTCTCTAAATCTGATTTGCGTATGTTAGACTACCGCACTTCTATTCTGGGCAGACTGAGAGCCATTTGAGCTCTATGGAGGTAATCAAGTGGCTTCTCTTCTTTTGAAACCCCGCACATACTTTCGATTGTATACCAGTTGGCCAGGCTTGGTTAAACCATGGCGTGGTGAGCGGTGTAAACGGGTGAAAGTCCGTCATCTCTCCGATGTTCAGAACCGCTTCTGAAAGTTCATGATAAAGGTGTGGTACATTCATAAAGCCAGGGAACTGTGTGGCATCCAGCTTATGGAAATCTTTGAGGAGTATGGAGATGTTTATCCAGGAGGGATGTTTCAATGATAAGCCCAGCCAGTCGCGACTTCTTATATCAGAGATGTCAAGTTGATTACTCCTGTTAACTTCTTGTTGATCTTCAGACTTGAGAAAGGTTGACTCCATGGTTCTACGGTCTCTAGAAGTTGGACTTTTAGAAGAACAACGAAAGTTACGGAACCTGGCGTCGGACGATGTTGATGAAACGTCTGGCAGAGCCCAACATGCTTACAATAGAAACATGAAAGAACACCTGAGAGAGTGTCAAGTTTGACTTTGAGCGTCCCGAGACTCTCCCCGGCTCTATTCGAGGCATCGCTACTAAGAGCGTTGAATCTAATCTAGGCCGAGACAATGTCACAGCCTTGAGTGACTTGTTATCTCATCAAAGAAAGCATGTCCTTAACTCATCTCATATTGTATTCTCTGAGAGATCGATCCCCTTGTCGAGGATGACAAAACGCTCCCATTCGTTGAGTATTCTTCCCACATCTTCATTGGATGATGACAAGAGATGCCAACAATTTATTGCGCAAAAGCGTCAACAGCTAGGCCCCCCTTTTTGCCATTTGGTCTGAGCTTTCAGCCAGAATGGGACCCAATATGAGTTCTTCCTGTTTCTCAACTTTGCAGACTCTGCAACTTCGTCTGAACAGCCTGGTGGAACTGCCATCTGAAGTACAACTCTTGTCATTCACCTGACAAGTTGATTCATAAGAAAGGCATTAGACTGACTTGACCGTGAATGGCCGCATTGCAAAGCGCACTGAATCAAAGCCGTGTGCCTTAGGTCTACAAAAGACCACCCACCACACGAGTGAAGCTCTCAACTTGGCTAAATTGACTCGTCCATCTCTACGCCCTTTACTTGCGAGTCTTGATAGCCGCACGTCAGTTACAAACATATCTCTCTAAACACTCCTGCCCTCTCGCTTGTTTTGTTTTCAAAACTAGCGAGGAGTTTTCGCGTTTTGTTTTCCTTCCCACAACTTTCCTTTCCCCCCCATCCTCGCCAACTTTGCAGTTATCACTTCCTTCGCTACATTGGCTACAACTCGAGATCGTCGCCCAGATGGTCTCCCACAACGAGGCTTTGCTCTCGACACCGGTCTCTCAGGTCCCCAACCCGTATGATCCGGACAAAAACATCATGGACACTACCCTCTACGTCCTTGGCGAGCCTCTTTACGAGGAGAGCAACTGTCGTGACGACCGACAGTGGCAGGAGCAACGCAACTCCGAGAGGAACAGTTCACAGTCACGTTACGACTACGGCGTCGAGCCTGAGAGCTACGCCTCTCGTCCCATCAAAGCTGAGAGCCCTACCTCTGTTGCCGAGACTTACTCATCGAACCAAGCTGGCTATGATCAAGCTGAGGTAGGTCCAGTCCACGCCTGAGCGTCGCTCATGACGACCTGACAGACTTGGCTAACTCACGTATAGACCACTGAATCTACTTACGATCAAGCTTTGAACCACACTCTCTGGGACCATCCCTATCTTCGTGATCACTATTCCAACCAAAACCAGCATGCTTCCGCCGCTCAGGAGTCCTCTGCCGCGCAGGGTTATCAAGATCATCACCATCATCAGTATTATGACAGCCAGCACCGCCAAAGTCAGCTCCATGAAAGCCAGCATTATCAAGATCAGCATTACCCAATGCAGGAGCATGTGGATCAGTATCCCCAGAACCAGGAGTATCTGGTCCATCAGTACCCTGAGTATCATCGCGATTATGATCCTTCTCATGGCCAGTATCCGTACACTCCTCACCAGCGCGACTATCACCAGTACGGTGAACAAAACGAGAACCAGCAGTACGACCGCCAGGTATGTCAATCAAAATCAACACCGCTTCCGTAATCCTGATTTACGATATTAACAACCATCGCAGTTCATCAGTCAGGCGTACAGCCCCTACCCGGCGGTCCTTCATGGTCAGGCCACGGCTTATACCCAAGTCCACGCTGCAGTTCCTTCAGAGAACAGTGCTTCTCCTCGCACCCGGGAACTCGCTTCGGTATGTAATCTCAGAACTCCCTTATGTATCTTCAGGAATCAGAAACCCTGCTAACCTACGGACGACTCAGGTCCCGATGTCCAACACGCCCGACTTCAACTTTGTCGACAGCAGTATCCGGCCTGCCGCGGTCTCTTTGTCAGAGCCGCAGGCATATGTTTCCCCTTACGGCCATGTGTCTCCTCGTGGTAATTATCATCCACGCTGCCAGGCAGATGCACGAGATCGAGAGTCCCCTGGACCGGATGCCCCTGGCCCTGGTTCTGAGAGGTCCAGCCCGGTTGCGCCTCAGGTTTCCCCTTCGATCCCCGTTCCCGCCGTGCAACCGCAAGAACCCTCGTCGGAGAAAGACTTTCATAAGTCATGGAGACCTGCTCCCAAGAATACGACAAAGTGCGATGTCTGCAATGGTCGTGCGTTTGCCCAAACTGTACACCAGCGATGCACCAGGTGTACCGCTGTTATCTGCAGAACCTGCGTCGAGCAAGGCCACATAAGACGCTTCAAGTACCATACACAGATGGACGTCTTCGACTTTAACTGGGGCAGAATGCGTCCCTCTTGGCGTATGGTGAGGCGAAACAAAGCGAATGCTCGGAGCAACCAAGCTGACGCTGCGGACGACGCCGACCAGCCCACTACCAGCACCTCCTTCCTTCCTTCGGTAAATTCGCACATTCTCTTTTTCAAACTTAACTCCAACTAATTTTTCATCTTTACCAGTCCGACGTCGCAAATAATATTGCTCCTTCCACCCCTGCCAGGCAGGCCATACCCGCCAGCTGTTACTACGTCGACCTATCCGACGAGGAAGACGACCACGACGAACAAGAAGACATGGGACCTCCCAAGAACTCGCCTTCATCTGACGGAGCTTCCTCCGACGGCGCTTCTTCCGGCGACCGCGAGTACAAGCCTGCCACCAATGAAGGCTTCTTTTCCGAGCCAGGCCCCAGTCGCGAACAACCTTCCGAGTCTGCTCTTGGAGAATCAGAGACAAGTACCACACCGGGCTTCGTCAAGTCCCTTGGATCAGTAGGCCTTGCCAACTCACGACCCGTCCGCACGTCCTCGCTCAATACTTACGAAAGAATGCGCGCGCAGCCGTACCAGCGCTACATTGGGCAACCGGGCCCAGCTACGGGAGACGATGCCATGGCTCCCCATCGCCGTCGGGAGAAAGCACGCAAGGAGGTCAAAAACAGCCCCCGTAACAGACGTCGTTTATGACTCGAAGATGGTCACTTACACTCTCTCTCCTCAGAATAACTACACCGGCCCGCGCGTTAGCTTCGTCAAGGCCGACCACACGATGCCCTTGCTGGATCCTCACACTCGCCACGACTCCCTCGATTGTCAGAATCAGCGTTCCCGTTTTGCCAACGGCACTTCTCTCTATCAGAATCTGAATGGATCACCGTCGACCCAGCAATCAACCTTCGCCAGCAAACAAAATGCCAAGCTCAAGTTCGAGAAGGACAAGAAGATGATGCTCTTCTTCGATCTGAATGCATCTGACATCCACCGCAGAACCTTCATCCGAAACCAAAACACTGCGCAAGGTGGATTTGCCAAGGAGAAGAATTTGCTCACCGAGGTCACCAACTTCTGGTTCTCTCACAATTCTGCTCAAGCCTTCCGCGCCACGGACGAAGTTGAGGCATTTGCTCTTTTGCGTGCACACGTCAACATTGCTATCCGTCGGCTCAACATCGAGTCTCACGAGAAACTCGACCAGTGGCTTGATACTACCGAGAAGGATGTTCAGGAGAGAAGTGGCAGGTTCGTTCCTAACGCAATGAAGCCTCAGGTGAGTCTCCTGCATTTTATAAGGAAGAATAACCAAATTAACACGCTACAGGACCCCAAGACGAACGTTCTGCACGAGGACTTGAACTGCTGCGTGACCCCAGAGTACATCTTGGCCGCAAACGCCCTTCTTTCCATGCGCTTCTCCTGAACATCGACATTTCCTATTTCAACTTTTCGCCGCCAGTCATTCTTGTCACCAACATCAACGTTCCCTCTGCTTTATTGCTTTTCATAGCTTCGGTTTTGCTATTTGGGCTAGGAAGTAACGGGTTGGCTTGTACTCGAGGCCCAGTGGCCTCCATTTTCATTTTTCATTGAGTTCGTTTTGGGCGTTTGGAAAGGAAGGAGGTTTGGAACCGGTTTGGGTCGAACGTGGCATGAGATACCCATCCTTTCTCTTCTGTTCTGTATCATAGGCTAGGAATCAGAGCTTCCGGAATCGATAGGCTTTATACTTCGACATTGTGCAATTTTGAGGTGCCTTCCAGATAGCGACACATTGTGCTCGTTTGTTCATGCTGTTGTTCCATCACATTCCAAGACGACCAAAAAAGTCCTTTGCATTGAATGACAAAGAAATCGTGGAAGAAGCTGAAACAATGATATGCTGAAGTCATGACGATTTCGCAGCTGATTCAGTTCGATGCCGCCTGGGTCGGAGCTCTCAGAGGATGTTCTTGAACGGGCACCTTCCTCCTCGGCGAAAACCGATACCGAAAATTTCCTCTCCTCGTTTACGTCGCCTATTTCGACGTCCTCAAATGCAGAGTTTTTCGGCCCATCTCAAGTAAGGAGAGGTTTTTGATGTCACGAAGGGAAGGAGCCAGTCAACCCACGTCCGCCTGCTCACCCTCAGGTATTCACCACTCTCATTCGCTTCACTCTTCATCAGTCAGATCTGTGGACACGGCAGTATTTTACAACGGCCCTGCCAGCGGATCTCGAATGCTTTCCGTCCAAATTTCCGTGTTGCAGATCGGACGTTGACCAGTTCGCATACATGCACGATGCCGACAGAGATATTCAAGATGCCTGGCTTGGAGAAGCGGGCGTTGGAGGAGCACCTGAAGGCCATGTTCCCTAGACATCACTTCATCAGAGTCAGGCATGTACGTTTTCTCCAGCCCGCCCTTCCCAGTGATTAGAGCTGACTCCGTGACGCAGTCTGCAGGGAACGGCACGTAGAGCAGCCGCCTTCCTCGGAAACTGACTCAGGACGAGAGAAACGGAATCGAGTTCCTTCGAACCACGAACACGACTACGGACGAGAGCGATTGGAGTCAGATGGAGAGGGGCGACGAAGAGCAGCGAGACTCGCAGGAGAACATAACCAACGTGAAGGGAACTACCACAGACGAGAAGCAGGGAGACGTCGCACACGCCGGCGAAGATGAGCAGGATGAGGGAGAGAAGGCTGAAGATGAGAAGATGAGAAATGCATATCTGAGTGGTCTATCGAACTAACAATACATTACTTTCGTCGCAACATGATCATGAGGTGGCTCGCGCCGATGGTCTAAATAACTAGTATCCGAATCCGCTCTCCCACCAATGCTCTCCCTTGTGCCAGCGCCCAATCGCCTCCATGTCGGGCTTCCACCACGACGTCTCCCCGCGACCGTAACCCAGAGCTCGCACAACAGACACAGGGACGGGCTCGACGAGCCAGAGGCCGGTCTCGGCGAAGTCGTCCGCCAGCGGCTTGACCGTGATCTGCAGCCACACGAACACGAAGAGCAGGTTTCCAAGCCTTCGAACGATGCGGGGCAGCTTCGCGATCTGGGGCTTGAAGGTCGTGCAGAAGCCCTGCTGGAGGAGCACGCCGACGCCGGAAGCCCAGAAGAAGGAGCAGGGCTTCAGCCAGTTCGTCTCGGGGATCGCCGTCACGCTGCCGGCGCCGTGGAGGAGACCGGAGAGCCAGAAGGCGATGGCCATGATAATTAGCTTGGTGGATCGTGTGCCCTTCTTCAGGTAGCCGTGCTCGACGAGCCAGTTGCCGGGGGCGGAGAAGGAGTGGCGGAAGGTCTGGTGCCACCAAGCGCCCCAGAAGCCGGCCAATCCTCTATCGAAAACTTGCGAAAAGGAGCCGAAGACGGAGGAGTACTGCCACAACTCGCCGCGCATGGGGAAGAATTTGCTGAGGACGTAGTATTGGAACAGGTCGTGTACGGAGAACACCATGACTATGGAGGCGTATAGTGTGCAGATAATTCCGGAGTGTCGGTAGAGGGACAGAAGCCAAGGCGGGGTGCCAGCGAGATGAGGAGGCAGGGGGAACGGAGCGCTGCCAAAGATGAAATAGGGGTCCTCGGTGCTCTTGACTTTGAAGATGTCGAGGATGATGTACGCCATCGAGATGGGGATGATCTTGCGTCGCATGAAATCGCGTTCGTTCTTGTAGGTTTGGCAGCCCACGAATGTCTCCAGCGGGATCGTGTCCATCTTGACGAGTTCCTCGGTGTGCGGGTGCTCAGGGGGAGCAGGGCTGGGGACGGACGAGACGGCCCAGGACCAGCCTACTGTCATTAGCAATGAGCCGAGGAGACCAAGAGATAACTCAAAAACTTACCGACTCCTCTGAAGTTGGTGTAGAGGTCAACCACCCAACCCAGACGCTCCATGAAGGTGCCGTTGTCGGGATAAGACTGCCAGTAGTACTCGTACTCGTCCACGTTGGCCTCAGGGGCAGTGACCTTGTTGCGTCGCTTCTTGCTGCCGGCACGTTTACGGAGTCCACTCTGCGAGCTCGATCGCGAAACGGGGGAGTTGGACCGACTGGACTTCCTCGAGGGCTTGGGCGACGATGTGTTTGTCTTCTTCCTCCGTGCGACCCTTTCGAAATCGAACTGCGGGGCCGTGAAGACCAAGTTGGTGACGTTGGACAAGATTCCCCAAAACGCCGACAAGCCGCTGGAGTATCCCATTGACATGTTGGTGCTGGAAGTCTCGCGCATAATCTTGATGTTGAAGGCGACGATGAAGGCGAGCACGACCCATCTCGCGGCGTAGACCCATGGTCGTTTCCGGTGCGGAATGCTCATGTACAGGATGGGAAGGATGAAAGTGCCAAAGATGCCATACGGTAGCACGAAAGGCTTTGCCACACCGGCGGCGACGCGGGCCTTGAAGATGGCGCGGTAGCTGTCACGCACGACCGCGGCGAGGAGCGGTGTGCTGGCGTTGACGAGGTCCGCGGCCGGTTTGGAGAAGTTGGCGACGAGTATTGGCGCAGTCATGTTGGGCACGCCCAACGTTGTGACGATTTCAGCCGCCATGGTAGATCTGGAGTTGTTTCTGTACAACCGTAGAAGGTTTCGAAGTATTCCAGAGTAAGCCGGATGACTGTGGCTGATCCGGGGAGCAAGAGAGAGATTGATGACAGCGGGAGAAGGGTAGTATAAATAAAACCATTGTCAGCCGCACCAAGCGACCAGTCTGACTCGGATATAGCACAAGATAAACGAGACGCCGCCGGTTCGCCCCGAGTACGGGAAGCTAGAAGAGGCAACAGGGCTCGGAAACCAGGGTTCTCCGGCAAACGGGCTTTCAGAAAGCCAAGTCCTACAAGCGTCGTGAGATTCAATGCTTTAGCTTCCCGACGTCTTACGGCATCCCGTCCAGCCAACGCACTATTCCAGCACCCCGCAGTCCTTATCAGGAGCTTGGGCGACCCCGGTTGGGAGAGAAGAAGTGGTATGGGATGGGGAATAGAGAAACCGAACCCGATTACGATTGGCAGACAGGACGGGAGGTGTCAAAAGCCCGGTCCGAGAGCAGTGAGAAGGGGGATGAAGATTTTAAGGCCTCGGAACAGGACGATTGATCTGGGCTCTGGTTATGCGAGATGTGGCGTGTGCGAGAGTATGAGTACGTGAATGAGTAGGATTGTATGGGTGTGAGTGTGTGTGGTGGTAAGAGCGTAGAGCGCGCGCGCGCGCGAGAGAGAAAAAGATTTAGGATGGTCAGTCTACAGAGTTGGTGTGTGAACGTGTGTCAACCCTCCCGAAGAAAATCTCAAGTCGAAGATCCGTTTCGCCGCTTTAGAAACAAAACGCTTCCCTCAAATAGGTAGCAGGATGAACAGAGATGGGATGACATTGCTATGCGAGCAGGGGTGAGGGGAAGAAAGAAGAGAAGGAAATAAGAAAGATGCGGTAGAAAATAACAAGGGACGAAAAGATGAAAGACTGGCCCTTGTCTGGTCCTCCACTATTCGCATCACAATTTGTGTTTTGATCGAGTCGAGTCGCCGCATCTTTTTCATCTGACGTCAATGGAAGTGGTCTAAGTCTCCGGTCGATCCAAGTCCCGGAGTCCACTTTAATCGCGGCGGGGTGGGTGGGTGGTGCGGTGTGCGGCATGCGGCATGCGACTCGCCCCACGTCAGTTAGGCGGCCCGCCACCACCCCAACGGCCTGCCTCGGGTGATGGGTTGGCCCTTGAAAAACACTGTGAATCTTACAAGTCTTGCGCGAAGGAGCACCGGCCAGGCGAGGTGGCTCCCTGTCGGATCCGAAGACGACGAATCATGGGTATTGGTGGGGGCGTAGCTGCTTCGCTGTGGTGGGCTGATTCGCTGGCAATCAATCGCCTACGACGGAATCCCGTCCCGCGGGCGGCATTTCCTCCATTACCTCAGCAAGCAATCTGGACCTGACTACCTTGCCTTACCTGAATACTTACTTCCTTCGTCCCAACACACTCGCTTGGAGTGCGTACACGAGTACGGGAAGCATGGGGCACTGCCACAGCTTGATGGACCAGTCGCAGCAGTGCTTCACTTGGATGACTACGATACCTGGTGCAGTTCTCAATGATAAGGACCAAAAAGTAATGCCTTTTCGTGTTTTTCGCATTACGCGGTACATCCTCGACCGCCCGGACTCGTCGCAAGACCCGAGATCGAAAGTGGCAATCCGATGGAAGAAATGCCCACGACGACGATGGCGACAACAATGGCGAGTAAGAACGCAAACGACGAGCGGAAGCGAAAACAAAGTGAGGCTCATCGGAGCTGGCGGTGTCAAACCTGTACGCCTCAACCTTGGATCGGAAAGCTTGGGAAGCCTGCAAAGTCAGCAAATCAAGGAGGGGGGCAATCGATCTTGCATCTCAATTCTCCGATCCCTTTACGCTGTACAGATCCTGCGCCCCAGAATCTAGGTTGCTACCCAACCATGTGCCCTTTAATCCAACATACTATTGACATGATGCAGAACCAAACGCTCCCCGCGACTTCAACTCATTCTTCGCACACCCTCCGTTAGATGTTTTACCTTCGGATAACCTGTTTTTGTCTTCTCTTCGGACTGACACCTTGTTTATCGGGGTAAACCACTCACCGCCGCCGACGCCTGCTCCATGGTCCTCCCCCGTCGCCACAGGCTCACCCAAACCGCCTTGAGCCACCGTTCCACCCACGTCACCTTTTGAGAGGCCCCGGCTTGCACGGGAACACCTACACCCACTTCCGGGGTTTCTGTTGGGTGTGATGCCGTCTTGGTCACCATCGGCGCCGTATGAATCGACCGCGCGGCCGGACTTGGTTCGGATGCCATGCGTTCCTCCTCGTCGGCCGAGTGAATTGCGCCGCGAAGCTTCCGCGGCTTCGAGAATTCCTTCTGCAATCGAGAGAACCGGAAGCTTCCATGACTGTTCGGACTTTTGCCACCACCGCCTCTGCTCCGCCTCCCGCCCACCGGCTTCACGATGGCAAGGGTGACGACGGTCATGACTACGCTCGCGACGGCCCAGGTGCCGAACGCCGCCACCGAGAAGCTGTAGACCGGTACGGGCGCCTCGGGAGGCCCACCGCCGGCCGTACCAGCGCCAGAGTCCTCGTTTTCGTTCGAAAGATCTTGAAACTTTACAATGTCCGTACTCAGGACGGTCTACTCGCGCACGTGTTTGGCCACGGCATCCGATCAGCACATGCCTTCTTTGTCGTCTCGGCTTGTCCATTCCAACACCTTGCACTCGGGGTCTTCTTACTTACCGATACCACAGTAACCGGTAGCAGGATCAATGCGATAAAGGACAGCTGCTTCATCGCAGACGAGTCATCAGCCGTCAGCTCTGCGATGGACCTCATCTGCTGGTTCGCATGGTGCGTCTGCATTCGTTGAATCTTGACGGCGATGAGTTACTTGGCGTACCCTTACAGAGGACCCCCTTTGCAACTCACGTATTCTTCTCGGTGTTCAGCGAGCTGATCGAGAGCCTGCGCCCTCTCGGCTAGATCTGCCATCTCCTCTATCACGGACGACAAGCTGACCCCGAAGTCTTTGATGTGTATTCGCATTCTCTCTGCGTGGCGGAGATCCAATGTTTCCAGGCTCCCGGATACTTGCTCTACAATGAACTTTTGAAGACGGCGGAGGACTCGAAGGTTGTTGTCGATTGCCATGGCGCTCTTATGACGCTGCTCCATCAGGTGCGCCATGTCACGTAGGCCCTGCTCGGGGATCGTCTCTGGAGGCTCGTCGTCATCTTCATCGAAGGGATGCAAGTAATCTTTCGTCTGCGAATCAGTTTCTCAGCGTGTCAACCCTATTCAGATATCCGAGTTATACAGACCAGGTCATAGAGTCGTGTCTCGAGATCCTGAAGATGCAGCGAATCCTCTCCGATAGACCACTCAGCGACGGCAACAAGACTGTCCAAGCTGACCCGAAATCGCCCGGGAACATCCAAATCAGGTACTTCTTCCAGCATTCCTGCAGCGTTCTCTTTCAAAGTGTCCCAAAGCAGATTGCGCTTTCCCCCGCCTTTCACTGGGTGGTAGCTCTTCGGGCTGGCGATCAACCACACTGCCGTGCCCTCCACGATGTCAAAGTGCAGATATAAGGCCGCCGAGTGCGTCTCCCACCGCGACGTTCTGTCAGGGTCCGCCCCCTTCGGTAACATGTAAAGGGGATACTGTCTGGTGCTGAGGAGTGTAAGGCAGAGCTGTACATGTTTGCCGCTGCGGCCTAGGCTCGCGATACTCCTGTCGTCCTGTGATAGAAGGTTTGTCGCGCCTCGGAATCCCGAGAAGTGCGTGCTACTCGCGAAGCCCCATGACTCGCCGCCGCTCGCGAGGAAGCTCAGAAAGTAGGAGGGTATCTGGTGATAGGTCAGGAGTTCCAGCAGGACCTCCTCGCCGAAAGGTAGCAGCAACGACGTCGGGGCAAGGCGTTCCAACAACCTGCTTTCTCGTGAGCCATTGACACCGACGCGCTCTCTTGCCGTGTGGCGTACACTATTCGGAGCGCGGGATCTCTCACGAGTGCCCGCGATCCCTTCCCGGCATCTGGCCGAGTCGGTAATGATAGCTTCCTTCTCAGCCCCGCTATATTGCGAATCGTGTGTAGCGTTGTCCCCTTCGAACCCTCCTGCACCGGGGAAGCATCACCGTCTTTGAAGTCTATGATGATCAGCGGCGCCTCAACGCCCAAAAACTGCGTGTCAAATATCTTGTCCTTGTTCGCCTCGTAGTGCTCTCGACGTGCCCGGATGGCTATCCGTCGCTCGTCTTCGTGGAGCAGTGACGCCGGGTATGTTTCCGCGACGGCGAGCTTTCCTCGGAACAGTTCTTCGTTGTGCATGTTGATGTGATTAGAGCAGAGGGTCAGGCAGTAAGTACGAAGAGGCTTGAAATGCTGAGGGGATGGTCATTGACGCGAGTAAATGGCGAAGCCAAGGTCGGTTCAGTGGAATTAGGTGAGATGGCACAAACAACAACCCGCTCGCTCGCTCGTCTTAGGGTAGGTATGCTCTCTGGATTTGCCGACGACTTGGAAGTCTTTGATCAGCTTGTGCTGCATGTCACGAGCGGCAGCCGCCCGGGAAGCGACGTCTTCGGTAACGTCTCGCCAGAATGTAATGCGCAGGTCTGGTCATCGGTGCGATAATGTACCTGCAAGTATGGAGTGACACGCGCCGGGCCATGGCACGAATCACGTATCAGGGGAGAGGAGATGGGGGACACGAATGAGGAAAACGTTCCTTGGCGACGTCTTTTCTCTCTGCCTGTGCTACTTGATAATCTTCGTGACCCGTGCCGTCTTCTTCCAGTTGAGTTTGCTCAGTTCCACGTCAATCCACCCCAGGACTTGGGCGAGTTTTGCTTGTTTCTTCATGATAACCTTCCTCGTAGCATCGAGACCCAACCTGTTTGCAGTTAGTTCGGTGAGTCCGTACCGCAACATGGCCTTGTCAGTAGCACCTACCAGGTGACATGAGTCTTCTCCAGCGCGCAGCTGTAGCCCGGATGTCTCTCCTTTCTCGCTCTGCTGGTGAGAAGCATGAAGGCCGCTTCGATGACTTTACTGATCGTTTCTGGGAGTTTGTGAGCTGGGGCAGTACCAAACACGCGGTGCACGAGAACGTACGCGTTAGCAAGCTCTCCGTAGGCCGCTTGCCCACGGGGAGACAACGCCAGTAGGCCATCATCTTGTCTGCTGTCTCCATGAAGGCCTTGTGAAGATTGGTGATGACCGTGTTGAGGGCGTTGTGCTTGGTGTCGTAGAACATCAAATGAGACTGGATCTTGAAGGCGTCTGCGAAGGTTAGCTGGTAAAGCGTGGACAAGAGTCGATAAACCCACTTATAATTCTCCTCTGGAAGTTTTGTCCCGGCTTGTGTCCGAAATCAACCGTGAGGGCGTCGGCCACAGCTGTTTTGTCTCATTAGCTCGTTGCCTGCTTGAGAGACATTTTATTCTTACACATTCTCTTGACGTTCTCGCGGTCCTTGACAATGTCGAGTGTTTGGCAGTCGATCTTCAAACCGCAATACGGAAAATGTGCGGATTCCGAAACTCGAGAAATCTTCATGCCCCTAAGCTCCAAGTCGAAGTTTACCAGCGTCTTGGCTGGGTTTACAGTGACACCATACTCTGGGACTCCGCCGTGCATGACTTGTACAAACTTGCGAGCCTTTTTCTGGTTTGTTGAGATGAACAGGAAGTCGTCAATCAGTCTTAGAAGTAGGCTGTCTTCTCCAACCAGGAAGGGTAGGCGCTGTTCCTCGAGGTCGGCGTAAAAGTAATTGCAAAGGGACGAAGACAGGACGGATCCCTGAGGTATGCCGTTTTTCTGTCTGTAGTATTTCTTGCCAACCTTGACGAGATTCTGCTGTATGTGAGATGCCATCAATGCCAGCAGATTCTGCTTGTCGTACTCCTTGCGTGACAGGTTGCCAACGAAGACGGCGTTCTTCCTCTTCAGACCGAGGCGGTCTTCGACGACTTGTGCGAAGCTAGCCGGGTCATTTAACGTAGCGGCAAGCGAATGCCATCGTCTTGGTAACTTGGTGTCTGGCCGCTTCTGATTTCGAGAGTCCACCAAGCTGGCCTTGACTTCCATGTGCTTCCTGAGTACATATCGCTCATTTCTTGGAATGCCTCCCATCAATCGAACGACGGCGTTTTGAGGAATTGTGTCGAAGGCAGATTGCACATCCACTTTCGCGAAGAAAAATTCTTGTGGTTCCTCTCCGAAGCTCGCCTTGAAAGCATTCAGTCGCGGGTAAACATCTCCCACGCAGAGCATGGACGAGCCCAGCTTCGTGGGGTTAAGTTCCTAATGCCAATCAATCAGTCAATGGAAAATTTTTGCAACGAAGAGCCGTCGTACCGCTTCCAGTTTAAGCACGGAGTGGACAGGACCAAGGATGGAGTTGATACTCGGCCCAAGAAGGGCACCCTTCCCATTGACAGTCGCCCTCCTTCGCAAGTTCATGATGGGTCGTATGGACTTGCCCTTTGGGAGCAGCCGAATGCGACTGAACCCCAGCTGCCTGGACCCAAGAATTCGTTCTGCTTCGTTCAATTTAACCTCCTCGAACATTTTACTCCTGAGGTTGGCCATAGCAGGCTCTGCAACGTAGCGCCAGATGTCGTGTCGAAAGAAGAAGAGCCGATAGCGGTCGGAGCTTGATTCGGTGATGTAGAAATTGCTGCGCAAAAGGGGTATCAAAACCGAATCGAAAACATAATACAAAAACTCATGCAAAATCTCAAGGCGCTTTTTCATGTCCCCTTGACTTGTCTTCAAGCCCTTCAACTTGGGCGGCGCGAGCCATTCCATGTTTGTGACCTAGTGGAACAGGTTAACCAGTTGTTCTCGAATCCAGTGTAGCCATGTTCACCTTTAAGCCTTCCATCACCTCTTCAAGCGACATGCTCTCAAACCTTCGTAATTTGATAAAATGATCAACCTTTTTGAAGATAGCGTTCCGATTGTGGGTCTGAGTATCACCAACACCCCAAAACTCATTCGGAATGATCTTCGCCAGCACAGCCCGGCAAAACGCGGACACGTGAGCGGTTGGCGTTGCCAGATCAGTGATGGTATCAAACTCAATTACCGGCGTGGGTGGTACCTGTTGCCGCTGCGTGTTGCCGATCTCGGTGGTCATCTTGCTTCGACCCGTGGACGTTGTTCGCTGAGTGCTAGAGCCTAGACTCTGAGAACTCACGAACTTTTGAGATTGACTAGGAAGTTTTTTCTCCAGCGGATGTTGAGCCTTGCTGTCAATTGCGGAAGGACAGTAATGACGCAGCAGCTCAGCATATGAGCATCGACTGTGAAAGAGTTGCATTTGTTGGACCAGTCGTTTCACATCTCCACGTAATCTTTTTGGTGTTTTGATTTGTCTGTCTTTGGCAACCTTTGCGATCTCTTCCTCGCGGAGTGTGTAGTCAGGAAGCTTTTGCGCCGTCTTGAGATGATCGACCTTTGAGGTGAACACGTTGTGCAGATCAAACTGTCGAGGAAAGATGTACATCATGACCTTCAGAGTGTTCTTGTCATTGTTCAGCTCCATATGGAGCCTTCTCTCTGCAGCAGCCTCCTCGTTGCAAGAAAGCAACGGGCAACGACTTAGAACATCTGCTCGTATGTCAGCGATACTGCGACAACAGTGTGGCAGAAAAATCTCACGTATATGTCGAAGACCATAGTGAACGGTGCCTCTGCCAGTAAGAGCTGCTCGAGCGTATAACATGCGATTTCTCATGAACGATATTTCAGAGGGGGACCTCTCATAGCCGAGACATGAATCCTTCTTGGGCCCTTCCTTTCCTTGCCGCTCAAACATGGGCGTACCGCTGAGCTGGTAAAGATTTCCAGCACCCGCCTGTACCGGCTTGAAGATGGCAGTGTCACTGAGCAGATCTATCATGATCTGCTCTCCTGACTTGCCTAAAAGCATGAGAAGCTGAGGCCACGGCGAATCTGTCAGTGTTTCGACAAACTGGTTCGTATGGACGGGGTGAGGCCTTGCGTTTTGGCCACGTCTGAAGCCATCACAAAGGAGATGCTTGGGCCAAGCGCCGAGCTGAACCCTGGAGAAAAGTTGCCACACGACGAAATCTACGAGCTGTGGGGAAGACTCAGTCAATGTTGAAGATGTCAGATCCGGGGCTACTGACCTCTCTTTGCATGTCGTTTGCCTCGTTTAGCCCTCCCGAAAGTGAAAGGATTGACTCATCGCCCTTTTGTGAGGACTTCCACAGCTCCCATCGAGAGTCAGGTTTAGCACCAGGCTGATGCTGCGTACAGACTATTATCGTATCCAGCAATTTGGACAAATCGTCTTCGACGGGAAGTGTTGCCTGTGTCAAGCTCGCTACCGACTTTCCAATGGACGCAATCTTCCTGCGGCGAAGCCTCGAGGAAGCCGGGAGCTTGGCAAGCAGATAGTCGCGAAGAGTCCACACATTGTCGTCACCGTAATACTGCAGAAGGACAGAATGCTTGACAGGAGTCTTGATGGGCTCGACCTTGACTCTCTTGGACAGAGCAGGCTTCTGTGGCGGTTGCTGTGCTTTTCTCTTAGGCGCCATCGTGGTGGCTGAAGCTCATGGAAAAATGAACATCGGATTGTAAGTGTGGTGCGGTTCACCCCTGGCGTTTCCCATGGATGACGCGGGATCAAGGTGACACCCCGATTTAACAGCGTACGGGTTGCGCAGTCGGAATCCAAGGTTGGGCGCTAAAACATGTCATTGCATGTATGTTTGAAATAAAACCGACAAGAATAGCAGTCGAGTGAAGCGCGCAAACGAGGTCGAGGTCGTTGATTGTGGTTGACAAGCGCGACGCGTCTGGGGTTGTGATAGGCAAGGGCCTAGGTCTGGGTGCCTCTGTGGACAAAGGCAATTCCAACGGCAGGTACCTAGGTACGTACTGCCTACCAGGTACCTTAGGTGAGGCGGCTGCACATGCACGACCTGGAAGCTTATTACCTAAGAAAACCTACCTTAGTAAGGTACCAACGTAGGGTCTAACTCTAGATGAATTGGATTCAGCTCGTGGGACGACGGTGCACGTCCAGTGATCTCTGTCGCACACGGGCGCCATCACAAAACGATGGCTTTGTGGCTTTGGGAATCGCTCACGGGCTGGAGCCACTGGCGTTTAAGCCACCAGGGGACGGGGGGCGGGGGAAGCAGGAGAAGAGATGCAGCGACATGGCGCTACCAAGAAGTCCAATCTCCAGCGGAGGTTTTCATGGTGAGACTAGCTACCTAGGCCTGGCGCTGATCTTGGTGACGACGTGGATTCAGTGGGGGTCCAGTGTCCCGTCGACTGTGAGGTGTCGCTGCGCCGGGTGGGCTCGCTGTGGAAATCAACAGGGCCACGGACTCCAGTCGTCACCTCCTTCAACCTCCTCCCATCTTCCGTTACACCTAACAGGAACCTGCATTACGCCGCGATATCCCGCGCTTCGCTTGCACTACGTTAATTAAAGATGTGCACCGTCAGTTGGCGCCTTTCGTTTGGATGAGATGGGACTGGGCTGGACGCAAGGGCGGAAAGCGGGCGGCCGGCTGTGAAGACCGATCAAGTATTCTCCTTATGGAGTACATCTGGATCCGTTGGTCTGCTGCTGTCCTGCCGTGCGACGTCGTACTACTTATCCAATATTTTGAAGGAGAGGAAACACCTGGGGGGGGAGGATCCATGCCCACGGAGGGCGCGGTATCTACCGGCTCCATCATCTATCTACTTGCTCCAAAGTCGAACGGATGTGGATGTACTAGACTCACACAATAATTACCCGATCTTACCTGCTGAGGCGCCCGCAAACACTTGCGCCTCGAGGCCACCGCTTGCGACTCCAGGGGCAAAGGGGAGGAAAGAGACGAGTCCCAAGGGCTAAGACCACGATAACCACAAGCCAACCACGCAGACAGGTGGTTGCTGACAAGCAAGCCACGGCTCTTGGATGTGGTCGCGGCATTCCCCAAGACAAGTGACTTGAAAGCTGCTAATTTAAGAGGAAGCAAACCTCTCGTGGCGAAAGAAACGTCACGATGGATATGATGATGGCTGTGCTGCCGCTCGGATACTGCCAGCGCGCTAAGTCGTCCGAGCCTGACTAAGGCGAGGTGAGGTAAGGGTAGTATCTCGACAAGACGCAGCTGGGGAGGCGGAGAGTTGAAGCTGGGAGGTACAGTGCTACCTTTAGTCCGTTGATTGCCTCACATCATATTGCACGTCTTAAGATAGGCACAGACGCCTGACCTGCTGCGGCTTGGGGACTTCCCTGCCCACGTTCGGCATACTGAATCCATTCTCTGCGTCTTCCATCACAGATCACCGACACGACATGTGCCTGTTCCTGCGCCTGCTGGAGTCTGCACATGCACCAAACAAGTCGTCAACGTGCTCGAACTTTGGACCGATGTGATATTGATCATGAATTTGTCATTACATGGTAGCCGAGATGGTGCTCCGTGATTTGCCTATCGCGGTTCGAATATCGACAAGTCGTAGGCAATACTGAATTGGCGAATAGGGAGCAAGTATGGCTCTCAGGCACAGGATGGGCCAGGAATCTAAGCTTGACTGTTTGAGTGAGAGCGTCGCGGCCGTCGAGAGGGCAGTTAACTCTCGGATGTTCCAGGCCGGAACCTGGAAGGGCTTGGCTCGGCAGGTTGCGACGCCGGCCGAGGCTGTGATGATGCATCGAGACGTCTGTCCCCTCTGGTATGTGCCTCAATGACGACTGACGTGCACAATCGACCAAGTCGACCCCGTCAATTTACTTGGGTCGAGACATGCCGCTGTCTCGTGGGTCGGTGCGGTGCGGTGCGGCGCTGTGCAAGGCAGAGTGGTGACATTTTGGCATGGATCCTCCTCTCTTGGAATGGATGACAAGTTGCAGTCATTTTGCTGTGCCTGTTCGCGAACAACAAACCGAACCGAACCGTTGCATCCAAAGGCCCCACCCGCCGTTTCTTAAGGTACAATAAGTTCGAAGCTCGCAGCGGTTTGCGAAAGGTCTGGCCGATTGGCTGTGACGTCGGGTCTCTTCCATCGTTGCTAAGTGTTTGCTTGGCACTCCCGCGCTCCTCATTGCTGTATCCGTGAGGCCTTGAGGCTGTATTTCCCTGGAAAACCTTGACAAAAGTAGGGTGCAGGTGCGGATTTGACTTTGCGGATATAGTTGGAGGGAGGCTTAGGCATGGGGAACTCAATGCGCTCCCGTACACAGTACATACGTACCGTCCCTTTCATATCGAATGTCTTGCATCGAGACTTGACTGCCCACTCACGAGACCATTCGAGACGGGACGAAGCGAGGGCCATGGGACGCAGCAAGATCAGATCTTTGTTTGAGAAGAAAAAAACAAACAATTCTCTGTTTCTTTCTCGTCTGCAGGAATTTTCTTCAGGGGAGACCAACCCAGACGAAGTAGGGGAATTTCGCAACGTCGTAGCAAGCAACGGCCATCCTCGATCGAGATAGAGATAGGTAGTGACGAAACCTGTCATGGGTGGAGTTGGTTTGTTTCTCTGGGGCGTTTTTGCGACCTTGTCCCGGACATGTTTTCCAAGGTCCAAACAAATGCTGTGGAGGCCAAGCAAGGAAAAGGCGGATTCAGTAAATTTGGCAAAGCCTTTGTACTGCGGTATGTATTCGTAAAGCTGAAGAGTGAATTTAGACCATCCAGATCCGTCAATTTTTAGTCCAGCAGCAGCGACTTGTCCGTGATAGGAGAAGACTGGAGAAGACCGTTGCAACGGGAAGTGACTAGATAAATATCCGCCCGTAGTTGGGGTACCTTAAGGTAGACGACTAGCCGTTATCAAAGTCAAAGAGCTTTTCATGTTGGAACGGGAGCAATGGAAAGATAATGTCCACTTAATTATTGTCCATGTCCAGTGTTCCTGTCCGGCCTCTGCTCCCTCTTTCCCGAGTCTCTGGACTTGCGCGCCTTTGCATCTACCCTACCTAGTAAGGTAGCCTCCAACGCCTACTAGGTAGGTACCTTTACCGTCATTCTTTCCACCTCTTCTCCCTGCCCGGGACCTGACTCCTCACTCAAGACTCAAGCCCCGGCTGCCATGCAGACCGAATCGAACATGCTGACCGATTGGACGGCTCCTTCACCTTTTCCTTCCTATCCAATCCCCACTTGCCGTCTCAGCTGGCCCATCCAAAGCTCCTTACCTTTAAACCTACCCAGCCGTGCCTTCACTTTCCTGGTAGGTATTGACTATCCATCCTTACCTCAGCAACTTAGGTACCTTAAATACATACGCAGTAAGAAATATAAGACAGCTACTTATGTTGTTGTAAGGTGATTTAGGTAGGCAGGTAAGAGCCGTTGAACCTGCCCTGCCTTCCGTCGTACCTTCTGTTGCAGTTCAATTGCCGTGACGTGTGCTTGAATACCTACGAATGCATCGATAGAAAGCGCTTCCACAAGATAGATACCTTCAAATAGGTAGGTAGGTAGGTTCCGTCTGTATCCATCCAGTCTTCCATATTGGAAGGCGCCGTGACAAATTTGTCTCTTTCCTGCCGACTCTGCCATTTCCATCTTTTGGGGCTCTTGCCTTATTTCTCGACCTGCGAACTCCTGGCCGCGCCTTCCTTCTTGCTTGCTAGGCGTGGTAAAATCACTACGCCTACACCCGCTAAAGCGGGACACGCCTCCCGTTATTCCCCCCCAATCTACCTACCGGTCTACCTACCTCCTCACTTTTACACCTCCGTCTCTTCTCTCCGCTTCGCTTCACTCTTGTGAGTAAGTGCAAAGGTCTCTGTGTGTTGCGGCGCGCGCGTGCGCCTCTCCCTCCCTACCTCCTTCTTGATCGCCAACTTCGTTCGCTCTTGCCATCCCATCTCGCTGCGTCCGATTCGACAACACCAACACCACAACACCACAGGACAAAAAAAAAAAAAGACGAGACCCCGGGGAAAAAAAGAAGGGACCCGAAACTTACTTTTCATCGATACTCGTCTCGACTGCAGAGAAATATCCAATCTCTCCATAAAACCCCCCACAGACCAAAAGTCGCACCACGGCTACGGATACTCCTGCGGCAACCACCCTTCCATGCATTAAGATTTGCTGTCGATAGGCCCCGGACACTGCCAACGTTCGCCAACCAGGGACTGCCCATCGTCTCTCCAAACTGTCGCTGCCCACTCAGCTTGCAGGCCAACACATCAATGCTTCCCAACCCAAACATCCCACACAACCTGCATGGGTCTATGGGAATCCTGACGAGCCAGTCCACCCGACACGCCTGACGGATGTTCAGGCCACAATGGAAGCTGGCAGTCCAGAAGAGGAGGACCGCCTGTCCGCCGTCCTGCAACTCCAGCAACAGCATCGGCACCACGGCCAGCAGCCTCAACAAACAACCCACTTCGCCCACCAACTTCATCGTCAACCCAACTTCGACTCGACCTACGACTATCACGACCACGACTTCGAGACCGACGACGATTTCGACCCTTACCGCCACCCCTCCGATCCCTCCTCTCGCCGTACCAATCCTCACAACTACGTCCCCACGAGCCCAGTAGCCACCGACTTCCACCTGCAGACCCAAACCTTGGATGCCTCTGCCGCCAACACGGCTGGGGCTTTCGCTGTTGACGGTCATGCTCACGGCGTCGTGAACCCGGATGATTTCTACCGAAGCTATCGAGGTGTGCAGTCGGCAGATTACCATCAACGAACACCTTCATCAGACAACGACTACATGGCGACCTCAGTCTCTCGAGCCCGCGATAACCCGTCCGTGCGGTCAAACGGCAATGGCACTAACTCCAAGCACCCGCCTGCGCCGGCAGCCCGAGCTGCCCTGCGTCCCTCGCAGCGATCTGCCTCTGCCCCAGTCGAACCCGCCGTCCCCGTCGCCGCCGCTGCACCTAGGTCGAACACGAACCGAAAACCGAGCGTCAAGGACTTGACCAAGAGATTCGACCAGCAGCCTTCTTCCACCGCGGGACCACGAATCCCCGTTCGTGGTGTTCCATTACGGCCGAGCAGAACTGCGACGAATGACAAGCCGACGCCTGGTGGGAACGGGTCAACATCATACTCTGCATTAAGGACTTCAACGAATCGGGAACTGACATCCGACTCCAGTCGAGGAACCACTGCCCGGGGCACCCAGCGCACCAAATTCGTCGCCGAGGACCAACTATCAAACAACTCGCAATCGTTCGCCAGCCGGATTGCCAAACCGCGAAACTCGCCCACGCTCTCGGGCAACCCGCAGGCATCGAAATCAATGACGAACCTCCAGCACAAGTCGCCGACGTTGTCGCCATCTTCTCCGCGAGCGCCGGGTCTGTTGTTCGGCGAGATACTGCCAGATCAGCGTGACAATTCAACCGCAGGCTTTGGCATCGAGGGTTCAGGGTCGCGTCCGCGCAGGACATCCGAGTCGAGTATTCACGTGGCCAAGCTACATCAACGCACAAAATCTGATCCAGATCTCGAGCCGGCTTCCCCAACTGATTGGTACCGCACCGCGGCCACAAAACCTAATGGCACAACAGGGCGCCCTGCGCAAAATGCGAGAAGTCACATCCGGGCGCACAGCGATGTCGCTACCTCCAAAACTGGCTCGCCAATGATACGCAAGGCGCTGCCGTCGCGTCCGACACCAGAAGCTCTGCAGGCTGACAGGGCTGCGTCACCTTCATCGCGCCTCCCTGTCTCAGTCCGAAAACTAAACACTTCCAGCGATTCGACGAGCCCACCTTCGACACGGGAAAGCTCTAGGGCCAATTCTCCATCGACATTCAAGCGACCGCCTCCTCCTACAAGCAAGACACCGCGGACCACGACGCCGGTCACTCGCGCCAAGACGCCCACTCGAGCGAAGACACCGACGCAAGCGACGCCGGGACGCAAGCCTGCCCCACGCGGTCTCATCACCCCGAACAATAACACTCGTCTGACGGCCTACGTGGCAGCGCCCCCGCCCAAGCTGTCACCTCCCCTGCGCAGTTCTCGCCCTCGCCAGTCTGTATCGACAGCAACGACTGCGAGTTCCCGCATGAAGGCTGTTGAAAGGGCTAGGTCACCGCACAAAAATGCGCCCAAGCAATCCTCGAAGACGGATGAGTCGACTAGACGGCGTAGGATATCTAGTGGACCTATCGATTTCGAGCAACGACGGGAGCACATCCGCCTCGCGTATACTAAGTCTATCCGCGACAGTCAGGCTCGGGATGCGAGACAAGCTGCTAAGCGCAGAAAGGAGCAACTAGAGGCGGCTGCCAAGGAGAAAGAACAAGCTCCCCCGGTGCCTCCTGTCACTACCGAGTGTCCGCAGGCCAAGGATGAGGCTGTCTCTGAGAAGCCAATTGAAACGAGCGAGTCCCCGGTGGACGCGGCCGTACATGTATCGGAGGACACCACGGCGGATGTTTCTGAGAATGCCCTCGTGGACTCGGAACAGCCGGCGCAACCTGACTTGCCAGAGCAGCCGGCTCAGCCATTGACAATTTCGACAGCAGTGCCACCTGTTGTCTACATCGCACCGCCTCCTCCGCCTGCTGTGGACTCCCCCACGCTGGGTATTCCGGGCAGTTTCCCCGCGCTCAGCCCTCCTATAGAGAGGGAAGACATTCCTCAGTCTGCCGTCTCAGTTGCGACCGAAACAACGGAATTCGACATCGAGCCGCAAACCCTCCCGCCCGTTCAGCTTGAACCGACACATCCCCCAACAGGCCTAGGCCTAACGATTGCTCATGCTGATGGAAATCACGAGCCTGCTCAGATCGAGGAGGTGCGGCGACCACCAACGCCTGAGAAGGCCGAATACCAATACCCGTTCGAGGAGGAACCGGTAGCCGACGATACGGTCTCCATCAAAATCTCTTTGGACCCTACGTCTCCTCAGCAGTCGCCGGAGCCCACCCCGACAAAGACTGAGTTCGATGATCCCTCCATTCCTGGTGCATTCACTAGCTCTCGCCCACTCTCTGAAGACTACCAGCCGGCGCCTTTCTCGAGTCCTCCGTACGAGACAACGGTCAAGATATTGCGTCGGGAGTCCGAGTATGATTCGCCACGACAAGATACCATTCCATTCCCAAGGATGGAATCTTACGATGATATTGACAGCCAGAGCCAGCTTGACGATGCGGAAGGATCTGTCTGCGACGTGTCCTACTTCCCAGAACACGTGGAGAAGGATATGAGAAAAACCTCAAGCGACACACTTGAAAGGCCTGAGGACTTTTACAATGATCGACAGAAAGACAATGACTCTTCCCAGCGAGCGTCAACCTGCGAGTCTTCTGACGCGCAAGATGACCCTCACAAAACGAGCCTGGAAAGTCAACAAACGCCTGACACTTCCCACAGCTTGATGGTTCCGTCTATACATCCATCTGCGAATCGGGTTAGCCAGCAATCCGCATGGACAGATTTCTCGGTCGATAGCAACGAACCTCCTGACCATCGGATCTCGGCTTTCAACGATGTTTTGCCGATTCCCAAGCCGCCATACCTGACTGATTCCATGTACGCCTCTGGTTCCAGCAGGGACTCCTCGGCTCGTCAGAGCGAGCATTACAGCTCCGACTTTTCGCCTTTGGACACTGGCAACACTCAGCCCATGGAGGAGCCAGTAGACGTTCAGCCAGCAGATGTTCAGCCATCAGGCCGCGCGCATATTCACCAACTGCCTGAACTAGACACCGGAGAGGGCTTTTCTGTCCCCTACCCAGATGCGAGTTACCCTTGGCCCCAAAAGGAACGCAAGGAACGCAAGTCTGTACCGCGTCCGGAACACGAGCCACCTCCTGTGCCATCAGCCAAGTCGGGATATGAAGGGCGACGGACAGCGGTTAGCAGCTACTATGCCGATACCCTTCCCGGAAGTACCATCGTGGGCTCTCGCCGTCCGAGTGAAGATGCGTCACGCCCTGTGTCAACGCCACATTCCATCGATCACATGTCGATAGAGACCAAGGATCAATCCCTCAGCGGTCAGACCCCGGTAGATTCAGTATCGACACCCCTTCGAGAGAAAGATGGCCCTACTGGAAAAGAAAGGCATCGTCTTGTTCAACGACGGAATGTCATCAAGGAACTCATCGACACCGAAATGGTATTCGTGAGAGACATGAACATCGTGGAAGAAATCTACAAGGGCACTGCTGAGGCTTGCCCGAGACTTGACGACAAGACCATCAAGCTCATCTTCCGAAACACCGATGAAATCATTAGCTTTCATACACTGTTCTTGACGCAGCTTAAGGATGCTGTGGTTTCAGTCTATGTTCCTCACGGGCGTCGGTCACCTCTGCCGAAAGAAGACTCGATAGCGCCCGATCAGACAGGAAACTCTTCAACTAGCTCCGCCGCACCTGAGCTGGACGATGACAGAGATCGAGCCACCGCAATCGGACCCGTTTTCAAGAAGTACATTGAGCAGATGAGAGTGGCGCACGAAGGCTTCTTGAGGAACAGCGACCACGCCGCGAAGCGCTTGATCCAGATCCAACAAGACCCGACGGTGAAGGTCTGGTTGAACGAGTGCAATGAAGTGGCTAAGGACCTCACTGCAGCCTGGGACCTGGATTCTCTTCTCATCAAGCCGATGCAGCGCATCACAAAGTATCCGACTTTGATCATGACACTGCTCCAGCACACCCCTCAAGACCACCCCGACCGAGCGGAGCTGATTTCGGCCAAAGAGGTTCTGGAGTTGGCCATCATCGAGATAAACAAGACGAAGAAGAACTTTGAGCTCGTCGGACAGATCGTTGGTCGCAAGAGGAAGGAGTCTGATGTCAAGGCTGGTTTCGCTCGAGCTTTCGGCAAGAGAGTGGACAAGCTGCAGGCTGCCAGCTCAAGGATCCCCGAGGACGCCGTCTACGCAAAGCTACACGAGAAGTTCGGTGACGATTACCTCCGACTCCAGGTTGTTCTCAGAGATGTAGAATTCTACACGCGGCAGGTCAGCGCCTACGTCCACGAGTTTCTGCAATACTTGTCCTCTATGGAGCTTGTCATGAGACTCCAACCAGGCAGCTACCCCGAGTTGGAGAGCAAGTGGGTGCAATTCAACGTGTCAATGAGGGACATTGAGAAAGTTGCACTGGAAGAGCATGTGAGTATTCGTTGATGACCTCGCTTTTGATGTTCTGCAAACTGACTTGAAACAGCTTCAGCAAGTTAGAAAGCATGTGATCGAACCGTTCGAGCATGTTATCAAGGCTTATGGCAACCCCTCACTGGCAATGAAGAAGCGGGCGAAGCGTCGCTTAGACTACGAGAGATCGGAGCAACTCAAGAAAGGCGGCAAGACGGTAGACGCTAGACTTAAGGAGTTGGTGGAACAGTACGATGCCCTCAACGAAACCTTGAAGAAGGAGTTGCCGCAGCTGTCTGCTCTGACTGAGAAGATTGGCAACATCTGCCTTGGTAACTTTGTCAACATTCAGGCGAACTGGTACTCGATCTGGGTTGAAAAGGTCAAGAAGGTCACCGGAGAGATGGGTCCGCCACCCGAGGTCGCAGACATTGTTGCGACATTTCAGCGCGACTACAAGTACGCCCAGGAGATGTTTACAAACATTGGGATCTTGAACCCGGCATACAAGGGCAGAACGTCTCAGTCAACCACAGCAAGCACGGATGACGTTACTCTCACATCAAAATTGCGAACCCGCCCTACAGAGCTCTCCCCACGAGGCAGAGGACTGTCGGTAAATGGCGACCACGCGCCTATGCTGCCTACTCCAGATTTCGCCAAGCGCCACAGTGGACAGTTTACTCTCTCGCCATCAGCCGCGCCTCTCAGCCCACACCAGTTCTATTACCGGGACTACTATACTGGTGCCAATGGACAGCGTCCTTCCGTAACAGCATCACCTGTGACTGGAGACCAGTCGCCCGCACCACGTGCCAATTTTCCACCATCGACTCGCCCAGGAACTAGCAAGAGCCATGATTCAAATGGGCTTCCTCGACAGAGCTCTGAGTCTACAGTGCACTCTAACCCTTCACACCAACCCCAGTATCCAGGTGGTGAGTCGAGGCGGTTCTCAGGCCTGTTCCACTCTGCTCTGCCAATGCTAGATGGTGCAGAGGAGGGTCAAAGATCTTCAAGGGCATCATCTCGCGAGCGGACACCTGCAGGCAATGGGTATAATGTGCTCTGGCTGGCAGCTTCATTGTTCGAGTTCAACATTGAGACTACAAAGCACGAGGCTGGGTACCCATACCTTACGTACCAAGCTGGAGAGGTAAGCAATGAACGCACTTCATGCGTATGAAACCATAGAAAGCTAACCTGATCTTCTAGATCTTTGATGTCATTGCTGAGAAGGGTGAGCTATGGCTTGCCAAGAACCAAGATGACCCTGACGACCAAGTTGGTTGGATTTGGTCAAAGCACTTTGCAAAGTTGGCCGATTCATAGAGCCTTTGCATACGCACAGCTGGCGTTTTCAAAAGTCCTTTTTGGCGATTGAATTTCATCTTGCAACAGCAAGCTCATGTCTGCGTGCAGTCAGGCACATGCGCGCTGACGGATGCTTGTGTGCCAAAGGCAACTTGAGCTGGGACGGCTTTGTCCCCCCATAGCGTGTATTATTGCTCTTGCAAAAACCAAAAGACGCAGTCAGCAGATGGGATTCATTTTTCTTATGTGGAGAGACGGGTGGGCTTAGTCCTCTCAGAGTCAACGGAGGCAAGCAACCCCAAGATGTACAGTTTACAAGCTCTTTTTTCGGTTTCCCCCCATTTGTTGCTCGAGATGGAAACGACATGGCGTTTGATAAAGGCGACATAATGAGGTCTTGACGGATGGTATGCGACCATGTCAGCTGATATTCGTCACTGACGGCCTCCTATGAAGAAGGGAGGATCAGCAATGAAAACTTTTGGGAGCGTTGAGCGTTGTTAGTCGAGCCTGGACAGGGAGGGCGTACCAGGCGTTGGGGTCTAGCAGTGGGACTGCAGACATCATTTGTAGTAGTTTTTTCAATATCCAATGGATGTGTCGGAATTAGACTTGCTGATCCTCTGGACGTGAATCTGATGTAAATGTGGACTGGCGGAGCAGCCTCAAGCGGTCGTCTCGGTTACACATGGCGTTGTCGCCTTCATTTCATTGGGAATATTCACTTAAGTCTGGGGATATATGGCTAATAACTGGCAGCAATCATACACTTGAGGTAGTCCGGGCTTGACATGGCCATACCACGAGTCGCGATGTCGCTTTTGTTCTTGACGAAGTCTCAATTTCATGCCTATCGTAGGCCACTCTGACCTCCGGAGAGGGAGCGGCAGGCCGTCGTATGGCCCACATAAGGACCGGGTTCCGGCGATAAGTACGGAGACACGCTGAAGCGAAGCTTACCAGAGTCGGCTCTCACTTTTCGTCCTTGGTACTCCGTTGTAAGCTCACACCAAACGGATAATGCACTACAGAAGACTGGCAGAGCGTCACAGCTGAGCAAAACAGATGCTGGTGGTGGTGCGGCTGGGGCGCGCATGGCCATGAATTCGCAATAATTGAACCTGCCGTCGAGATTTTCAGTTGCGTCGTTTGCAATAACCCGACTTGCCGGGGTGAGCGTGGACATGGGCAGTGGGCGAACACGAGGGTCCCGATCAGCAAACAGGCCAATGACGAGTGGCATGCGAATCATGGCCGTGGCCTTGGGCTGGTGACCTGTAATCTTCCAAGGCGTAGGATGGAGCGACGAGAGTGGTTACACGTGTTGCCGCAGGTGACCGGGACGGGCAAGATGCAGTAGGTCGCAGCACGATGAAGATCCCTGCCGTCCGCCATGATGCGGTGCAATGTCGATTACGACAGAGACAGGGCTTTCGAGGGAACTCGGAGTCGGAGGGCGCGCTCACCGGCGAAACGCAGTGTCGTAGGAGAAGAGAAGAGAGCTCTGGGAGGAAGATGAGGCGAGGCGGTAAAGATGCGTTGGCATTTTTTTTTTTTTGGCAAGTTGTGCTGATGAGGAATGAGGAGGGGGTTGAGAGTCGGGATGATGCCCACATGGATGATGGATGTCGAAGGTGTGGCACTGGCATTGGCACTGGCTCAGTGAGACGGGATGTTTCTGACTTTTCAGAAACATGACACGCGGGAGCCGGGACGGGTGGACGGGAAGAGAGTTGAGAGTCACAGACGGCAGTCCGTGTCTTGTCCAGTGTCTTGCCGGCTGTCCCTCTCAGTATGTGTGGCCGGGTCTGTGTGGTTGTGCTCCTCGACTTTCACCTGTCGTCTGGTGAGTGAGCAGTGAGGGTGAGGGTCGGGGTGGGATGCCAAGTGGTTCGAGGTGTGCATCCTGCCTTAGGTAAGGCATCCGTACGTAAGCGCGGAACAGGGTCTGACACCAGTTGTTTGAGTACGTACTGATTCGAACGGCCCCAATGGCAAGGATATCGGCAGCTTGGCTCTGCCGGGGTTTGGTGTTTTGGCCAATCTTTGGTGTTTCCTCGCTTCTCCTCGTCCCAGCTGCTTGCTAATTTTACGGGCATCCATGGTCCATCTCGCCTCTTTTTCCTCGCCTGGTTGCTCACTCGCAGGCAGATGGAGACTGGAGTTCCCGACATGTCCTCCCCCTCCTGAACCCTCCACTCCACTTCCTTCCCCCGGCTGATCCTGGTAATCTGGACATTTCGCGATACGCAGCCAGGCTGGCCTGACAAGTAAGGAATAGCGCAGCTCTCCCAGCGCCCAGAGCACATCGTCCCAGCCCCCCCCAGTTCGGCCAGTTTTTGGAAGGACCCCCCCAGGACCTAGCTACTGCTTATTCTCGGTCAGGTAAACAATAACACAGACTCTTTACAGTTCCAACACCACCACCACCACCACCACCACCACCACCACTACCACTACCACTACCAGCCTTACCATTTTAATTCAACCATCACGGAAACGAATCCCCGTGCCGTGACGATAACCCCGCGATTTCGAATGTCCCGTCAATCAATCGCCCCCTAATACTTGACGACAAATGCGCACGACGGCGTTCCCGACGCCGCTGCGATCATGATGCCCCGGAGCCCTGAGAGCTCTCGGCGGCGAAGAAGAGAGCGCCGTGATGATCGCGATCAGATTGCTGGCAGCACCATTTCCACCATGCCAGTCCCAGGCCCGTCTTCGCAACCACAGTCATACCCCTTACCGCAATCGCTTCCGCAAAACTATCCTCGGTCGCAATACTCTCAACCTTATGCGGCCCCTCAAAGATACCCCGAGTCCGAGAACTACCCTCCCAGACCTCAGCGATACGACGAGCCCCAAAAATACGGTGACCCCCAGAGATACCCTCAGCCCGAGCCGTACGTCCAGAACGAGAGATATCCCGAATCTCAAGCCTATCACGAACGCGAGCTAGATGCTGAGTCGCAAGCATTATCATATGGCGACTCCGAGAGGAGGCGCCCGAGAGGTGGTTCGAGCTCTTCGGCCTCGTCCTCGACCTCGTCATCCTTCCTCAACATCTCAGCCAAGAGCCCAAGATTCGGCGGTGTGTTTAGCACCTTTTGGAAAACCCCCTCGGAACAGCAGAAGCGCCGTCGCAAAAAGAAGCAGAAGGCTCGCATTTTGTCGCTAGGCAATTCCTCTTCCTCCTCCGTCAACTCCGATTTAGCCTACGGACGCGGCTACATTGAGCGCGATAAGAGCCAGCTTACGACCCCGATACCGTCGGTTTATGCCAGTCCTGCGATGCCCATGCATCGCGAGCCTGTTCAGGCCCGTCAAGAACCGCCGCCTGCGCCGCGGTCCAAGACCGACGAGGAAATTTTGGAAATTGGGCGCCAACTGCAAGACATTGCGAGGAGGCAGAACGATGCCGATAGCCGAGCAGCCAGCAAGTCTCGGACGTCCCAGCTGGCTGGCGCAGCCGGTATTGCGGGTGCCGCCGCTGCTTTCAGCCACTTTCGTAAGAACAAAGCCAGCAGCAAAAGCCGAGGGGCTGGTTCCTCGAAACTCAAGGACAGAGGCTCTTCCTCCGACGATGATTGGGAATCCGCTTCCGATGATGAATCGTCTACGGATAGCTCCGGCAGTTCCGACGCCGGCTTGGTTTACGGCGCCGAGATCAAGCCGTCAAAGTCCGCCAGGATCTCATCTGAGCCTCCCGAGCAGATTAAGCCACCCGCGCGCAAGAACACCGTTGTGGACCCGCGTCTCTTTGGTCCCTACAACTCCCTTCGCGGCGCCGTGAAAAGCCCATGCGGTTTCGGTGAAGAGGACCCCCGATCTACTGGCTCATTCCGCCGACACCATGAGGAGACTGTTGCCCAAGTCCAGTCGCCAAAGACTGGGAAGCAGCCAATGCAGCACGTGTACCCTGTGCCTACCTCGGACCCGAACAAATTTGACTTTGATCGTAGCTCCGTAACTTCGTCCCGACAGGAGCTTCCCCAACAGTCGCGGCCCGCTCCCGTTCCCCTGCAGCAGCCTATCCCCATTGTCCCTGTCTCGTCGAAAGTCTATGATGCCGATAGATTTGTAGAAGATGAGCCTCGAAGTTCCAGACGCCAGCCACCCAAGGGGAGAAGCGCTGCGGAGAACGCCATCGCAGGTGTAGGCGTCACAGCGGCTGCCATCGGCGCGGCCATGGCCGTTCGTAGGGACTCTGCTGAGTACCTTGAGCGTCGCGATGACCGCCGAAGCGAGTTCCGGGAGAGGCGGGACGAACCCCATGAGATTCGAGAAAACCGGCGAACGGAAGAGCGAACAGAACGACCTGCGAGGATCGAAGTGGAGGATCGTGAATCCCGCGATCAACGTGACCCCCGTCGCTCGACTCGGCGCAACGATGTCCAGATCATTGATGACCGAGACAAGAGACAAGCTGTCCGCGACGATTTAACCCGCAAACCTACCGAAAAGCGACCAATAGGCACAGATCCCCGTCCAGAGGTGTACCGACTGCCCCGTGGCGACGAAATTCGAGTTGAGTATGACCCGGACGAAGACCGCCGACGCCGTGAGGTTCCCAAGGAGGCCCGTGAAGAACAACGCAAGCCGGAAGGTTTCGCCGAACACCGGGACGCGCAGCGGGCGGAGAAGCCATCTGAGTTACCTCGAGATTACCATGGGGTGGAGCAACCCGAGGTCCCTGTTACACAAGCACCTATTGACCCTTTCCAGTTCCAGGTTGCTGACGACGCTTTCCAAACACCGAAATACGCAACGCCCAAGAACGCAACGCCGAAAAGGCCACTGACTCCCCAGGTCGTGACTGTTGACCGCGAGCCTAACTTCGACGACTCGCCTCCGAGGAAGCCAGACTACTCCGACGCACGTATGAGCCGCAAGGACTCCTTCGAGCTCGAACAAAGGTTAGAACAATACCAGCAGCAGGGCTTCAGAGACCGTTCGAGAAATCCCGAGCCGCGTCGTCGTCGAGACTCCTTGGAGGAGGAAGAGCACGCCGCCAAGTCTATCTACGACGAAGCGAAGCATGCTACTGCTCCTTTGGCCGCAGCCGCCTTCGCCTCCGCGATTGCCGTAGAAGAGGAGAGAAGCCGAAAACGCAGAAGCGACCATGTCACCGAAGACGGCTCACGCGATAGATCCCAGGCTACCAAAGATGCCGTCCAGGAAGAGGCTGACAGGTACTATCGTGAGACTGTTCTCGCTCGCAAGATCGCCGAGGATGAAATTCGGTCTCGTAGCTCGTCGCCTCATGACAAGTCTGTCGTAGGTAAATGGCAAGATCGTGAAGGCCCCGAGGCGGTCACCATCGTAACGCCTCCTGAGATGGACCACCCTCATGACAAGAGTCCCTATGACGGGCCCAACGCCGACGTCCGGATCGACCACATCATTATTCCGGACGAACTTCACCGTTTCCGCCTTCCACACGGACAGCTTGCTACTGGATCGGCGCCGGTCTTCAGATCCCGTGACCCGTCTTGCGACCGTGAGCGGCCACTGCTAAACCTCGTTCTCCCCACGCCCCTAGTTACTCCCCGCGCTACACCCGCCCCCGAGCAGCAGAAAGAGACAAAACAGACGGCTAAAACACGTGAAACGACAAAGTCTCGGTCGAAGGAGAAGAAAGAAGCGCCGGCAGACCCCGCACCTGAAATCGTTCTGGGACCAAAAGGGGAAGTCATGGAAAGACCAACGACACCGACTGCTAAATCAGTAACTTGGGGCGAGAACCAGACGAAGAGCTTCGAAGCTGAGAGCCCCGAGCCCCCTAAGGCCGCACCATCCACGACCTCTACCAAAACCAAGTCAAAGAAGCGCTTTGGCAAGAGCTCGCCATGGGGCATCATTGCTGCTGCAGTTGGCGGGGCGGGGGCGGCAGCCGCAGCATCGTCGGCAACAGCCCCTGAAATCCGTGATCCTTTCGAAGAGAAAAAGCCGGATGACGATAAGGCCACTCACAGCCCGCCGCAGTCTCCCAAGTCGCGCGCCGTGGAACCTGCAAGAGAGCCGGTCGCCGCACCTCCTTCTCCAAAGCTCGTAACGTCTTTTGACGAAGAGCAAGACCTCCCCCCTGCGCCTGGCCCCAAGCCATCCAGCCCACAAACATCTCAGATGCCCGGATCGTTTGCAGATGACATCGAGTTCGCCTCTGTTCTCGCTGCTGGTCTGCAAGATACTGGCTTTGACCCTAACATTGTCATCGACAACCCTGCCTACATGAGACGTGACAGTCCCCCAGGCCAAAGCGAGCCTAGCGTCTACCAACAACCTTTTGCAGAGACTGTCACTGACCTGGGCGTTTACGGTCCTGATTATGTGCACAATAGTTCATCTACACGTGGTCCCGGGTTCGTCGTTGGCGAGGTTCCGGAAACATCGGCATCTGAGAAAGATTTGAAGGTTGGAAATGACACAAATGGCTCCTCTTCACAAGAAAAGCATGACAAGGGCAAAACCAAAGAGAACGCTCTCTCGGATGAGGAACGTGCTACCAATGATTCCGAGCCTGTCAAGAAACTCAGCAAGAAGGAGAAGCGCAAGCAGAAGGCCGCCAAACGACAAAGCGCTGATGACGCGCCGGCGGAGGTATTCCAGGATGCGACTTCAGCTCCAGAAACTACACCTCAGCATGAATGGCATGGCAATGACAAGGACGTACGTCAAAGCCCTGAAACGGTTGTTGCGCCTGGTCCAAAGTCTCGCGGTCTCGAGGACGCTCCCGCCTGGGACTTGTCCTCCTCTTCGCATCAATCCCGTTCATTCGAAGAGCCACTGTCCTCTCGCATGGCTGGCTCTTACGATGAGCGTGCATACCCTTCCAACCGCCCCTTCGACGAGCCAGATTCCTTCGCTACGACTCGTTCCTTCGATGAATCTGCCTTTTTCCAGCCGTCCCAATCCTTCAACGAGCCATCATCTTTTCGTTCAGATGAGGCAACGTCACATGGACCAACGTATTCTGATGTGCCTGTCGCTGACTATGACACTGCTTCCCCTACCAAGTCAAGCAAAAAAGAAAAGAAGAAGAGTCGGTCCTCTAGATCGGACGTCATTTTGGTACAAGAAGAAGATGGTCGACCAGCGGAAGAGTTTGTCATCAAAGAGTCACGTACATCCCGCGAGAAGTCGCCAGAGCTCGATGAATATACTCCCGCAGAACGCCGTGAGACTGGCGACGACCCAGCGGACACGCCCAAGAAGAAGAAAAAGTCTAAGAAGTCCAAGCAGAGTTCAGACGAGTGGACCGATGTCGAAAGGCAGGTCGATGACGCGTCTGGGGTTGGCAAAAGCGAGAAGGGCACACCCACCAGAGTTACCGACGACTGGGACGATCGTCCCACCAAATCACGGCGAGATCGGTCCAGGTTTGAAGACAACGACGTGAGCTCTGTCGTATCCGATCCGTCATCTCGGCGGGAGAAATCCGATCGCCGGTTCAATGGCAGCAGATATGAGGACGACGATGCCAAGTCCGTAGCATCTGACGGCACGAGTCGTAAGAGACGGAACCGCGATGAAAAGAAGAGCCCCAAGGACGATGAGAAGCGTAGTAGCGGCTCGTTCTTCGGCCTGTTCAGACCAGCCAGCGGGAGTAGCAAGGACACATCTGGCAAAGATGAGAAGTCTTTTTTAGATAATGCCGGCACCCTTGGCGCGGGTGCCGGCTTGGCGAGCGCCGTGGCAGCTTTGGGCTCCATGATGTCCCGCTCCAACGCCACCGAACCTCATGCGGAAGAGTCGCCTATTGATCTTCGTCCTCTGGAGAGATCCGTCAGTCCTCCTCAAGACGTCGACATTCTCGACCCCGAAATTACACAGCGGGTTATCAGACCAGCTATTGACCCTCAATATGGCGACCTCCTTCCTCTGCCACCCAGCCCAATGCCGCCAAGCACTCTCGGTTCCCCGACGCAAGAGCTGGATGAACTACCGGCATTGCCCGATAGCCGTCCAGAAACACCGCCCGATGAGCGGAGACGTCAACACGAAATGAAGACCCATGTTCGACGCCGCAGTAACCTGGAAACACCAAGCAAGAGCCCCAGTCAGACAGCAGTTCCATTCAAGCTTCGACTGGGGCAAAGGTCGACGCCGTCGTCTCCTGGTAATTTGGGACAGGCTGTGTCCCCAATTTCACCTCCAATGCTCCCAACATTTCCGGAACCTCCTCTTTCCAGACGCCCATCTGCCAGACCCATTTCATGGGAGCGGGGCAGTGAGTTCAAGCCTCTCTACCTACTTGAACATGCTCGTCAGGAGCACGCCGCTCAGTTGATGGAGCCACCCATTGACTTTCCAGAGCTGCCTCCGAGCGAGCCATCATCTCGCGAATCCCCCGCTCCAGAATTCGCGATTCGCGAAGACGACACCAACTACTCCCAACTGCTGCAACCTTCACCGTTCGAGCCGGATGAACTCCGCATCGATACCGGTGTTCCACAGTTCCCTTCCTCGTTTGGTTACTACGGTTCGCAGGAAGCAACACCGACGAAAGAGCAGACATTGCAATACACTGGCGCCATCTTTGGCCCCGAATCACCCGCTCTTCCCGCCACTCCGGACCTGGCCAGGCAGCTCGATTTCTCAGAGCACGAGCAGGTAGAACTGCCAGCTCTTCCTGACAGTCCTGCAAGCGTGGTCACTGAACGCGATGCTTCTTTGGATATTCAGCCTGCCACCCCGACGCTTCAACATGACTCGATGGAACTGCCTGCGTCGCCCACAAGCTCTCCGACTGAGGCTGAGTCGGTAGAAGTGCCTGTTGGTCCTATCTTGATGCCCGAGTCACCTGCCCTACCAAGCGATCCTGATGCAGCTAGACAACTGGACCTCTCCGAGCACGAACTGGTTGACCTGCCAGCTCTACCTTCCAGTCCCGTGATGGACCAACAGATACTGCGCACTCCTCCTTCCGGACTAACAGCCGACCGCAATTTAACGGAGTCGCCGGTTTTTTCAATCGAGAGCGAGGCTCCGGCATCATCCACTGCCACCAAGTACGCCCCTGAGTCACCTGCTCTGCCCGCAACGCCAGACATAGTCAGGCACATCGATCTCTCCGAGCACCAACTGGAGGAGCTGCCTGCTCTTCCTGTCAGTCCTGCGTTCGACAATGAACTTTCATCTCCATTCACTGCCGTCAAGTTTGCTCCCGAGTCACCTGCGCTTCCCTCAACGCCAGATGCAGCCAGGCATATCAATCTTTCCGAGCATCAATTGGAGAAGCTTCCTACTCTCCCCGCCAGTCCTGTAATGGAGAATGAGCCTTTGGCGTCATTCCCTACCATCAAATTTGCCCCCGAGTCACCCGCTCTGCCCACTACTCCAGGTATAACCAGACGTTTTGACCTCTCGGAACGGCAGCTGGATGAGTTGCCTGCTCTTCCCGCCAGTCCCGTGATTGAGCCCGAGGTGTTTTACACTGGCGTTAGGTATCTACCCGAATCGCCCGTGCTCCCCTTGGTCCCGGACGCAGCCAAGCAGCTGGACATCGCTGGACGTGAGTTGGACGAGTTGCCTGCTCTCCCTGGCAGCCCTGTGAGTGAGCCCGAGGCGGACTCTACTGGCATTAAGTACTTGCCGGAATCGCCAATCCTTCCACGGCTTCGCACAGCTGGACAGCTGGATATCGATGCACGTGGTTTGCATGAGTTGTCAGACTTGCCTGCGCTTCCCGCTAGCCCCGCAATGTCCCCAGTTGCCGCAACAGAGCCAGAGCCAGAGCCGGTTGAGGCCATGTCAAAGGACAGAAGTTCGTATCTCCTACACATGACGCCCCCGTCAATCATCAAGAATCTAATGGAGCATGATCTTCCAGACACACCGCCCAGCCCCACGCCTTTCAGGACTCAAGATAGCGCCGAAACGATGCCTGCCATTGAAGAAGAAGCCTCCTCCCGAGCTCGCGACATTGCCCTAGGTGCTGTCGCAGGAGGCGCCGCAGCGGGCCTCGCAACGGCCGCTCTGGCAAGGGAAGGCAGTGCCGATGACAAACCGACAGACACCGAGACCGCCGCTCATAACTTTGAGGCTGCTGAACCAGCCGAGCCACTTGTGGAGACGAAGCTGTCCGAGAAAGCAAAGAAGAAGAGAAAGAACAAGGAAAGGAGAATGGACGACATTACAATCCCTTCTGTCGAGACTACTTATTCTTCCGAGCCACTGGACCATGGAGCAGACTTGTCAACAACAGAAACTGTTCCGCCCAGTTCCACCAGTAACGATTTGCCACTGAGAGACTTCGTTCCCGCCATCCAGACGGCAGACCCAACAATCCACTTGCCCGAGGCGAGTACTTCCGCTTCTGTCGATAACAGCACAACTCCTCCCCTCCCAACAGAGGTTCCTCTGCCAAGCACATCCGAAGAGGAAGTTTCGCGTTCGCCGGCCCTGCCGTCAGCCCCCGGCGTCGCAGCTCCAACGGAGGTCACATCTCCCACGGCTACTGGGGAGGATCGTGTGATGAGCCCCGTGTCCCGTGGCCGCTTCGGTGGCTTTTTCAGCCGCTTCCGGCCAGCGCACATGCTTCTTCTCCAGAGGTCAGGGTACAATAGCAGCAATCCGCCCTCTCCTGGGGCATGGAGCGAGGATGAGGTATTTGAGGACGAGCAGCCCCCGGCTGTGATTCGCGCGGGCAAGACTTGGCCGACAGAGACTCCTTTGGCCGAGTCACCTCTGAGCAGAGCCGTGGTGTCCAAGGTTCACAGTCCTGAATTTCCCACACCACAGCCTGATCATCACGGCAGCTTGCCTCCTACCGACCTTGCCTTGAACACTCCGGCTGACCCTCCCACTTTAACCTCTGATGATGTGCCACGGTCGTCCTCGCCCACCGATAACACAGTCTTATCAGCCGAGCCTGCCCAGTCCGAGGTTCTTTTGCCTGCGGCTGGAAACGATGACAAAACTCCTTCGACAGATATTGTTGGAAAAGACGAAGAGCCGCATCATGCGGAGAGCAGCAAGCCCCTCGCCGCCACCATCACCGAAAATGCTGCCCTCGAAAGTGGCGATGTTCCTTTGGAGAAGAAGCTTTCCAAGAAAGACAAGAAGAAGCTTAAGAAAGCTCAGGCTAAGGCTATCGAGCTTGAACGCTCTCCAGATTCGATTGAGAACACCAGCTACTCTCCTTCTCTTGAGAAAGAAGCAACCGCAGCTGCTCAGATCGATGCTGAGGCAAACGTTCCTCTCCCCAACCTTGAGGCCCAGCTTCCCCTGGCCGACGTTGACGCAACAACTGCTTCGGTCGAAGCTCCAGCAACCAATCCCCCGCATGAGACTGAAGCAGCGGCTTCTTTGCTCGAAGCCGAGGCGCAGGTTCCTTTGCCCGACACCAACGCTCAAACTCCCAGACCTCGAGATGATAAAACAGCCCTTCCCGCCGACAGTCAAACAGTTCCCATCTCACAGGACACTGAAGCGGCGATGCAAACACTCGAGACTGAATTGCAAGCTCCCTTTCCTGCAACTGAAGAATTGGCCACGTCGCCTGGCCATCAGCAAGACCAGCATGTCACCGTGGCTGGTCCAAGTGCACCGGCGCCATTTTCCGAGCCTTCAGTTCCAGAGACGAAGAAAAGCAAGAAAAAGAACAAGAAGGCGAAGAAGGCACTGGAGATGGAAGACAAGCAGACGCCCACCATCGAGACCGACAACATGCACACTTTGGCCTCGGTTCCCGTCGCCCTGATCACTGGAGAAGAGGATAAGTCAACCGATTTGGACAAGGCTACACCTTCACAAGCTACTGAGGGCCAAGTCCCTAGCCCCAGTCAAGATGATGAGGAGCAGCAGACGCCTGTCCCGGTTTCCAAGGACCAGCCCGTCGAAACTAAGGAGCAGCAACCTCAACTTCTAGGCGCTGAGGAAAATGCAGCCTCTGTGGACGATATCTCATCGGAAGTACAACCTCCTGTTGTCGAGCTAGATGACAAGCCTGCGTACTCGGGAGATAGCATGATGGAGCAGCAGGCTCAATTCCAAGACATTGAAGAAAAGGTAACCAAGGTGGACGGGCCGCAATTCGAGTCGCAACCTCCCGTCAGCGAACCAGACGAGAAGCCTCTGCCTGTGGAAAACATTCTTCTGCCTGATCCAGAAACTTCGATTCTTACCCAAGCAGGCAGCTCTGCTCCGGTCGACGACGCCGTCCTCGAGCAAAAGCCAGACCCATCTTTCCCGGAGGAGAAACCGACACGTTCGGACGAACACTCTCCTGAAACGCAGGCTCCAGCTGCTGGAAAGGAAACAATTCCCGCCAACTTGGACGATACCCTCATCGCACAGCAAACTCCACTCCCTGACGTTGACGATTTTCTTCAAGAGCAGGAGACAACCATTGCCAAATCAGATGACAACCTCATCGCGCAGCAAATCCCCCTTCCTGACATCGACGAATCTCTTGGAGAGCCACTGCCTGAGGCACTGAACGTTGAGCCATTGGCAGAGCCATCGTCTCCTACCCTTTCCAAAAAACAGAAGAAAAAGAAGAAGGGCAAGAAGAATCAGGCTGCTGACGAAGGTTCCCTCACCCCCGGACAATCTACTCCTCTCGAGGCCGACACTGTCTTGCGTCAAGAACCTCAGATTCCTGACACGGAGACAAAGCTCGCTGACGATTCCGAGCTCTCTGCGGAGCCTCGAGACTTGGAGGTGAAGTCGACGGATGTTTCTTCCGAGCTCGCTCGAGACGGTACTTCATCCACGACTGACATCAATGACTCTTCCAAGCCCGAGGTCCTCGTCCTTTCTCCGACAGAGAAGTCCACCGATGAAACTTCTTCGGCCATTGCTGAAAGGCCTGAGACTTTCTCTTCATCCACGAATGAAGGCAGCAAAGACCTCCACGAATCCGCCACTTTGAGCACGGAGCCATATGCCCAGCCTTCTCAGCCTGAGTCACCCAGCAAGAAGAAGAAAAAGAAGAAGAGCAAGGCAGCTTCACTATCGCAGCCGGACAATTCGATCTCTGGGGAGACAGCTCCTGTTCAACATCCCAAGTTCGATACGCCTGTCGTTGAAACACCTACTCCTAGAACCCCAATTGATGAAACTCCGGCCGTTGAGACTCCGGTAGTTAGTAACCCTGTAGTTGAGACTCCTGTTGTTGAGACTCCTACTGGTGAGAAGACTGCCACTGAGACTCCGGCTTTTGAGACTCCTCTTGAGGCCCCGGTTGTCAATGAACCGGTCGTTGAGACTCCTGTTGTTGAGACTCCTACTGGTGAGAAGAATACCGCTGAGTCTCCTGCTTTGGAGACTTCTCTTGAGGCTCCGGTAGTTAACAACCCTGTAGTTGAGACTCCTACTGGTGAGAAGACTGTCACCGAGACTCCTGCTTTTGAGACTCCTCTGGAGGCTCCAATAGTTACCAACCCTGTAGTTGAGACTCCTGTTGTGGAGACTCCTACTGGCGAGAAGACTATCGTTGAGACTCCGGCTTTTGAGGCTGCTGGTATCAAGATTGCGTCTGTTCAAGATCCGGAACTCGAGATTTCGAAACCTTCTCATGCTTCAAGTTCTCCTTCTGGAACTCCTGTGATCGAAAGCCAGGTGGTTGAGACTCCTGTTGTTGAGACTCCTACCAGTGCGATCTTGGACGAGAATTCAAGTAGTCCGGCTGCTGCTGAGACTCCTGTGATCGAAAACCAGGTGGTTGAGACTCCTATCGTTGAGACTCCTGCCAATGCGATCGTTGATGAGACTCTCGTGATCGAAAGCCAGGTGGTTGAGACTCCTCTTGTTGAGACTCCTGCCAGTGCGATCGTTGATGAGACTCCCGTAATCGAGGATCAGGTGGTTGAGACTCCTCTTGTTGAGACTCCTACCGGTCAGACCACTGCCGAGACTCCAGGACAGACTGATGAGGCTTTGGTCTCCAAGCTTCCCGTCGAGAAGACTGAAGCTACCGTCGAGACTCAAATTGATGACACTCCGGTTAGCAAAAGCATTTCGGCCGAAAGCCCATCGTTCAAGGCACCCGTCCCGCAAGAATCGCCGACAATTGATGAGGCATTTGCAGAGCCCGAGGCCGAACAGCCTGCCCCAGCAATTCCGCAGGATATTTCTCTCCAAGACAAAGATCAGCATCAGCATCAGGGCACCCAAGACGTGATCGCGACGACGGACACACTGGAAGCGCCGCAGTCCTTGCCCGCAGACAGCGTTGATCAGGCCGACAATCCGACGGAAGAGTCTTCGAAAACTTCCAAGAAGTCGAAGAAGAAGAAGAAGAAGGAGAAAAGCATGTCGATTGCAGAACCCGAGCCCCCTACCTCTGTTTCTGACGACCTTCCCCTTGACGTCGCTGACATCACAAACGCTGCCGAACAAGCGACCCTGCCTGGCGAAAAGACAGTCGTCGAGGAAGTGCGCGTGCCAGATGTGGACGTTGGGGACAGCCCATTGCAGCCCAAGAACACCGATCTGGAAGAGTCACAGGAAAGCCGAGCATCGGAGAGCGCCTACGCCGAGTCCCAGGAACCTACAGTGATAGAGAGCGAGGATGACGCTTTCGTCACCCCCCGGCAGGGCCCCGTAGTTCTCGAGGATGACGCAGACTTGTCCGGAAGCCTCTCACGAGAGCCGACCCTTCTCGAAAGCCAGAGTGAAGCGATTGACGCCATGTCACAAGAAGCATCCGCCAAAAAGGATGAAAGCGGCGATGTCCAAGCTCAGGCCGAACCCGAATCCCCGGTCGAATCGAAGAAGAGCAAGAAAAAGAAGAAGAAGGCAGCGGCCGCGGCCGCAGCCGCAGCAGCCGCCCTCGAAGCTGCCTTCGAGAACGCACCTCAGAACCAGAACGACAACAAGGAGGAGGCGAAGGACGAGACGATCACGGACAAGGACACAAGCATCACGCCAGACAAGACAGGGGACACGGAACCACCACCGCAAGACGCCCCTACAAGCGGAGAATTCGCGCCGGACATCAAGATTTCGGAGGAAGCAGACCCAGGGACAGCTGTTACCAAAAAGGGAAAGAAAAAGAAGAAGGGCAAGAAGTCATCAACCTTGGACCCGGAGCCTGAGAACAGCCCGTCCACACGTGTCCCCGAAAACACGGCAGATGTAGCGAATACAATGGACAAGTCCGCTTATATTTCCTCCCCGACGGGAGAGCCTGCCAGTGACGAAATATTCTTCCCGCAAGCAGACACTCGGACAGAGGCTGAGTGGTCGACTGCTGCAAATACGGGCAAGAAGCGAAAATCCGTGACGTGGGCACCAGAAGTGGCATCCTTCTCGAACGGTCCCGAGTCTCCTCAAGATGCCGACAACGGCCCTGAGTGCCAAAGCGGGAACGTCCCAGCCTCCGATCAGCTACCTACAACGGGGCCAAGCCAACCTCGGGATCAACAAAACGCCGAAAGTCAAGAGGGGAAAGCCCAGGGTTCCGAAATCAGCGATCTCGACCAGGCACCCGCACATGTGGCGGCGGAGAAGGATCTCGACCCAGAAAGCCAAGCTCAGACAGACCCTGCAAGCGAGGGCAACGTCGCCTCGCCCCAGCACCAGAAGCACGACATTGTCCCCAGCGACTACTTCCCGTCATCTGCTGGATTGAACAAGACGCGGGGAACTGCGAACGATTCGAATTCCACCGACCAAGGTTATTTTCCTTCTGCCCACCGAATGCTGCCAGTAACTCCCTCACTGAGTCTTGTCGGCGCTGGTGCGGCCAACCGGAAGGGCGGTGAGACATCAGAGCGGAAACTTGACGCGGAGGAGGTGGCACGCATCGACGCTGATGCAACAAACACCGAACATGCGGGCCGTTCTGGGGCCATTGACGAACCACGAGCGGGAACCACGACCCAAACGGGAGAGGTCGGCTTGTCGGACCCCAGTCTGCATGCAGTTGTGGAGTCTACCAGTGAACAGGGGTACGACAAATCACTGCAAGACACGCAAAACGGGCGGATAACGGGTGCCCAAGCCGGGGGCCCGGCCCTCACCGACTCGGCCCTGGAGGCTGGTGGTCCACAACATACCCCGGTACCTCACTTGGCGGACCAAGACACAAACCCGGAGATCCCCCAGCCTCTGGTGCGCGAGTTACCCAGTCTGTTGCAGGTCGACAAAAAATCTGACGCGGGGATCACTGACGCCGTCGCTGAAACTCGCCCGGAAGACAAGAAGCTGTACGACAACCCGGACACCGAGACGTCGCATGACAAGAAGAAGGACGAGGAAGAGCAATCCGGTCCTTTCGCCGCCGATGCTGAGCGCCCGGGTCGAACAGACACCTCGGAACCGCTTGGTGAACCCCTCACCTCGGAGCCGGAATTAGACTCATCCTCAAAGACACTTCCAGAAGCTCACCCAACAGGGGTTGTCAACACCACCCACAGCTCTCAGAGGACTGAAGCAGAGGCCCAGCAAGAAGACGACGTTTGGTCTGAGTCGATAAGTTCAACCAACATGTCCAAAAAGGATAAGAAGAACAAGAAGACCAAGGCTGCTGGTGCCGAGCCTACCCCCCAGGATGACGTTCATGAGATCAAAGCACAGAATGTGGATGACCCCCCGGCCGTCCAACTGGGTGCCGAGTCGCAAGAGGAGTCTACGCCACGCGCTCCCGATGTAGCTCCCGTGACTGAGGCAGTCGAGGCTGGTGAAGATGAATGGGCATTCCAGCCGGTTGGCAAGAAGAGCAAAAAGGACAAGAAAAGGCGTGCTGCAGCCCAGGCCAAAGAAGAAGCCACCAGGTTGGCCGCGCAAACGCCAGAAACCGTCGTCGCCGACCAAGGACCTCAACCCCAGCCCCTTGAAGCCGATGAGATGTTGAGGACGGATATCGCGGAGGAGGTTCAATCATCAACTGCACCCGAGCCAGAAGAAAGCTTCGTTGATCCATCCGGAAGCAAGAAGTCTAAGAAGAGCAAAAGGCGCCAAAGCCTTGCTGAAAGTGTACCCGATGATGTCTCCAGCTCAATTGGCCCGACACCTGATGCGCCGTCAGAGCAGCTGGAACTGCCTGAAGACATTGACACTTCTGACTTTGAAACGCCGACAAAAAAGAGCAAAAGGGATAAGAAGAAGGAGAAGCAGGTTGGAGAGGAGAGTCGCGATTACTATCGGCAGGTGGGGCCGGTGAGACCGCACTTTCGTGGACCATGGGCTGCTCCTGCCGCACTGCTTGCTGGGAACTATTTGTCTGTCAACAAGGAACGTAAATTCTCCGACGTCGCAGAGGAAGAGTTGCGCAGTCCTTCAATAATATCGGGCGTGGACGACGTTACTTTCACATCCGAACACCCTGAGGATGCACCACCTCCCGCATCCGACCCTCAGCCGATTACCACCCATCCTGATATAATCCAGAAAGACGAGCCAACTAGCCCTCCAGGAAGTGTTGAGACCGGCCCTCCAGCTCAGCTTACCGAGACTCAAGTGACGGACGAACCACAGACAACTCGGGAAATCACCTCAGATGTGCCCACGGAATCCGAGATCATGATCGAGACTCCTAACGACAGCACAACTGTACAACCGGAAGATGAATTCCCAGCCGTCACTAAAAAGTCGAAGAAGGATAAAAAGAAGAAGAAGAAGGGCCCCTCTGTCGATGTCCTTGATGAACAGCAACTGCCTTTGCAGACGGGAGAAGCGCTTGAACCCTCCAAACCGGAAGAGACCAGCGGGCAGCCAACTCAACCTGAGACTGGCGACGTCGGCCAACAGATCGAGGAGATTGCCGAGGACACGACTGCAAACACTCGACAAGTGGAACAAAAGCCGGCAGTGGAGCAGCCTGGAGTGTCAGAGCCTGTTGAAGAGCAGCCCCTGGAAGAGACGGCCGAAGCAGAGTTGATCGAGAGCAAGCCAGCCGATGACGAAGACCTTGCTGACGTCGCCAAGAAGTCTAAGAAAGACAAGAAAAAGAAGAAGAAGGCGGCAGCAGCAGTGCAGGAGACATATCTAGAACAATCCATGGAAACCGACGCCAATCCCAGCATGGGGTCTCTTCCGCAACAACCGCAAGAGCCAAAGGACTTGAGCACCGATGAACAGTTGCCCAAGACAAGTCTTCCTTCCGAGCATATGACACCGACCGACAGCCATCTTCCTCCAACCACTGTGGACACCCCTGAAATTATCCTTCCGACCGAATCTCAGCACACCGACGTCTTGCAACAGCAACCGACTGTCGACCCAGATGAAGAATTCCCGGTTCCCGAGAAGAAGTCCAAAAAGGACAAGAAGAAGAAGGGGAAGAAAGCTCAAGAGGACCCATTCATTGACACCATTCGTGAGCCTCAAGCGGAGACTACATCTCGGTCAGAAGAAGTGATTTCCCGCGAACCCGAGACCACAAGCGCCATCGTGGAACCACCTGCACCATCCTTTGAGACCGTCACTCCCAAAGATGAGCTTGCCTCTGAGGAGCAACTCCGCGAGACAGAGCCGGTTCAGGACAGCATGGATGTCGAGCAAAGCCCGACTGTCGACCCGGAGGAGGAGTTTCCTCTGACGGGCAAAAATGCCAAGAAAGACAAGAAAAAGAAGCAGGCATCTGTTTCTGCTGTGACCGAGCCTCAACTGGAACATCAAATCGACACTGGCAGTCCGCCCGGAATCGAACAAAGCAGTGCTGCTGTACCGGTGCCAGAGGAAACTTTTCCCGTGGTGCCCGTTGAGGAGCAAGAAGCCAACTCTGCGACGAATGACCTTCCAGTGGACGTCCAAGCAAGCTCAACTGAGAATCGACCATCAACTTTCCTCCCTCAGCAGGACGACCGAGACGAGGAGTTTCCTCTGACCGGAAAGAAGGAGAAGAAGGCCAAGAAGAAGGGCAAGGTCGTCGATTTGACCGAGCCCGAGGTTCTCAGCGATCCCGCCGCCGAGCCTGCGAAAGGTCATAATGAGCCCTCAGTTGAGACGCCTTCAGAAACCATTCAGACGGAGAACATTTCTGAGCAGCCCTCAACCTCAGATGCACCACTCGCCATGGATTCATCAACACAGCTTGAGCCTGTCAAAGGTCCAGTACAAGAGGCTGCAAAGGACCAGGATACTTCGCCAACTGATGCCCAAGTACTGCGGGAAGAGCTCCTAGTTGAAAGGCAACAACCACCCACCGACATTGCATCTCAAACTCCCCTACCCTTGGTCGACGAACCCTCAATGACCAAGCTGTCGAAGAAAGACAAGAAGAAAGCAAAGAAGGGAAAGGCCCAGGGCGACTCTGATATGCTTTCTGGCGCAGCGACCCGGCTCGAAGAAACGCAGACAACGCCAATGCCCGAATCGACAGACGTTTTGCAAGATACAAGTCAGTCCGGTCTCCTTGCTCCTGAAGCTCCTCTCGTTGGAGAGCAGCCCAACGATATGCTATTATCGCCAGTTCAGGTTGATGTCCCCGCACTGCATGACAATGACAACCGGGAGATCGCTGTTGAAACGGACACTGCTCGGTCTCCTCAGCACCAGGGAGCTGACGTCCCAGAAGTTGCCTCGCCTCCGCAACCTATCACAACCGAGGCCGAGTTGAAAGTGGATGAGCCGTTCACTGCCGAGGAACCTGAGGAATTTGTGGTCAGGAATTCCAAGAAAGACAAGAAGAAAAATAAGGCCGCAGCCAACGAATTTGAGTCTGAATCCACAACTTTATACAGCGACCAGCCCTCTGCAACACTCGAGAAACCCGCCACCATCACCGCCGACAGTTCTATGACTCCCTTGCCTCTCGTGGAAGCCGCTGCTGCTGATCCCCTGGACGAATGGGCTCAGGCAACGATTTCAAAGAAGAGCAAGAAGAATAAGAAGAAGAAGAACCAGTCGTCCGGTGTTGAGCCTGAAATCAGCCGCGATACTCCTCTCGCAGAGCCGGAAGTGGCCTCCGAACCCCAAATCACCTCGCCTCTGGAAGCCGATAACTTACGCGCCTCTCCTGTACAGGACGTCAAGCTCGACGCACAACCAACATCTGCTCCTCATGAACCTCTCGCTGAGCTGGAAGCTGTCTACGAGCCCCAAGTCAACCCGCCTTCGCCCGTCGCCGAGCTACCCTCTCCGATGCAGAACGTCGAGCTCGACGTACAAGAAACACCTGCTCTAAAGGAAACGCCCGTTTTCTCTGCACCTCCTGCTGAGATACCTGTCAGTGATTCAACAGCTCAAACGATCTCCGAGCAAGAATCAAGCACACCCCCGCCTATCACCGATACCGTCACGGGTAGCGGGAGCCCTTCTGATGAGCCTCCTGTCAGCGAGAATGAGCGCAAGATCCGCGATGTGGCGAAGGAGAGTCAGGAGTTACCTCCCGCCGACAGGGACGCTGCTGAACCGATTGGTGAAGGGCCAGATGTCGCCCCTATCGAGAAGGCCAGTAAGGAGAACAAGAAGCGACCGAGTCTTGCACTTGAGGACTTCGAAGCTGGTCCTGCAATCGAATTTGTAGACGCAAAGGACACTGGAGAACGAGATGCGCCACAGCCTATTCAACTGCAAGCAGACGAAGCCATGCCCAACCCTGAAGACAATATCGCCAATGCCTCTAACGCGCCTGTCGATTCCCCGCCCACAATTGCCACTTCACAATCTTCTGAACCTGCAGAGCAAGAAATAACAACTGAGGCAGCCACCTCGCGGGAAGCTATCCTGGATCCTGTTCTGCCAATTCCCGAGGCCGCTGAACGTACCTTAGAAGGGTCAGCAGAGAAAGACAATATACCCACTGTCGCCGAGGAGTTAGGAGAGAACTTGACTCCCAAAAAGTCCAAGAAGGACAACAAGAAGAAGAGCGCCAGCCAAGCACAACGCGAAGGTGAAGTTACTCTCACTCCTGATCTTGCAACACCCTCTGCCTCGATTTCTTCCGACCTACTGCGGGAAACCGTCCCAAAAGAAGAGAACGGCGACACCAACCGTGGCATCGTCGATCCGCCAGCAAGCCCCAACGCAAATGAGCTTCCTCATCCCGCAACATCCATTGAGGAACCAGACCAGGCGAAAGAAGATGCTCCCGGGGTCATTGTCATTGGTGATAAGGACATTTCCCGACCTCCTTCACGCCCAGCCTCTCCTCAGCGAGACTTCAACAGCACAGAAAAGATCGACGTCCCGGGAGAAAGCCACTCTTCACAAGATGCTGGTTTCGATTCAAGCAATGCGCCCATTGATAAAACGGCCACAGAACTGCCCATCGCCAACGACGAATGGGACATTCCCGTGACAAAAAAATTCAAGAAGGGCAAGAAGCAATCTGTTCCGATTGACCTCTCATCCCCAGCCAATGTCGACCCGACGCCCGCTATCGATTCTCAGCCAGATCAACTTCGAGACGACGCCGGGAATCCTGAATACTTCGACAAAGCGACTCTCGAGGATACAAGAAGCGCATCCACACCCCCGCCTCCTGAGCCGGCAAACACTCTGCCGACCCCAACAGATGTTCCTGAGCAAGCCGACATCACAGTTCCTTCCCCTGAGTCGATCAAGTCGACTCCTGTTGACCTTCAACCGGCACAAGAATCGAGCAGCTTAGTTCACGACGTTCCCTTCGATCAATCAGAGAAGCGGAAAAAGTTGAAGACCAGGGAGCAATCCAACACCCTTCTGCCCGAGCCAATTTTGAGTTCTCGAGAGATTGCAGCAGCATACCTCGACGACCACAGCAACGAAGAACCAACCGATCAGACTGCCACAATTCCTGACGAGCCCTTTCTGCCAATAACGGCGCCTGGTACCCCTCAAGATCAAGAACGTCCAGAGCCCAGGTTCGAGGAAGACACTCCAAAACATCCGTTGCCGCAAGAGCCATCCGCTATCGACATGGCTGCCTCCTATCTGGAACGCAAAACCGACCACGAATCAGCGGAGACTGTCCGGTCACCAAGTCCGATAGAACAGCAACGGGCAACTGATTCGTCAGCCATTGGAGCGGCTATCGCCGCCGCAGCGATCGGAGCAGGAGCAGCTATCGCCAGCAAGTCCAATAGCCAGAAGGATGACGTGGTCGACGATCCATCCCTTTGGGAGGGTGCTAATAAGAAGCACACCAGCGAGATTGCAAGCGCGGAGGCTGAGAAGTTTTGGGGGGTCGGCGATGTTGAGGACGCGCCTAGGGCATCAGCTGGCACAAATGAGATGGAGGACGGTGGACTTGACTTCGTGGCTCCTCAAGAGCAACTGAAGTCAGAGCGGCACACATCAACCGAGGATGATGATGTCTTCGCCCCCACCTCGAAGCAACGCGATTCTAGCCTGACGCAAGACGGACGCACTGGCGCAGACAGATCACCCATGTCCAGTGTGAAGGGTGTTCCCGATGAGCAGCTATCCTACATCTCTCCTCCTCCCATTGGCGAGTCTAGCAGAGCTTCAGGATCGCGATCGCCAGCGGAGCACAAGGGTTCAGAGCCAAGCCGGGGCAAGACAAAGGAAATCCCGAGCTTCACAGCACCACTCAAGGAGGAAGCGCAAGACGACAATGTTGAGAGCCCGATTTTGGGCCGAGAGATGGACACGGAATCGAAGACGCCAACCGAGAGAAATATGGACCGGTCGCTGAGTTCAAGCTTCGAACCACCCACCACCAGCACCCTGGCCAGTGACTTGGACGAAGCGGTCGACCATGGCTACGAAGTCGAGTCCCGCCGCGAACTCTCGAGCGGTCGAGCATTGGAAAGCCCTTTCCGAAGTCCAGCCCCAAGCATCTTGCCGCCAGTTCAGGAGGAGGCCCAAGAAGAAAACGAAGCTCAGTCACGAATCCTCCCGAAGGTGAGATCCAGCAGGGCACTACGCACACCAGAGCCCCAACGAGACGGCGGTGTTCGTCGGGACTGGCAGGAGACAACATCACAAGGGCGGGATTACCAGCGCACGCCCGAGGTTTCCAGTCACCGAGAACGACGAAGATCTCGCGAGCTGGAGAGAGTAAAGTCACCGTCAGTCAAGGAAGCTCTTCGGCGATCACCATTCGCAGAGGAAGAAACGCGTGATTTTCCGCTTTCTAGGACTCCAGTTCTACGAGAACCTAGCGGTCGGGAGCTTACTCCGACTCCAGAGCCGCACAAGATGAGGCGCATCAGTCCCGAGCTGGAGAGGAGAAGATCCAAATACCAGGACCTGGCATCAGCAGCGCTGGCCGGTGCAGCGATTAGCAGCACATCATCACCACGCAGCACACCTCCACCCGGTAATCGCAGCGTTTCGGAAAGAGTTGCGCGACTGCAATCGCCAGCGCCGGTCGAGCCCCCTGTAGCGCGGAGGTCCATCTCCAACAGCAGCCTATCACGGCACAGGAGGGCCATGGGCTCAGCAACACCAGAGCCGCTAAAGTTCAGGCCTGAAAGCCCAGGCATCTCCCGACCAGCCACTGCCACCCCGCCTCTCCGTCGTCGAACTGACAGGCGGATGAGCGGAGACCTACGATCTCTCAGCCAACGAAGTCACCAAGACCTCACCCAGGACCCGACCCCGACCAGCTCGTCAAACACCCCCGTCGCCAACGAAGGTCGTGTCCGCACCAAGGACATGGCCGACGTCTATGTAAGTTCATCCCATCTCTACTTCACTGACCCCCGTTTTTTACCCTTTTCATCCCATCCATTTCCAATTGAGTTTGGCCTGTGCAAGCCTCGCTCAATCCTGACCGACATTCGACTGACCCGACCGTAATAGGATGGCTTTGGTGAGGGCCGCATCGGCTCCCCCCGATCGCCCACTCGACCGCACAGCATGCGCCGACGTCAGAGCATGCAAGTTCTCGAGCTCGAATCTCGCGTCGAACAATTGATGGCCGAGAATCGCATGCTCACCGATGCACGAACACACACCGATACCCACAATGGCAACAGGGCTTCAGGCATTTTGGCTGAACGCGATGCCGAGATCGATGTGCTCAAGCAGTCGCTCGAGTTTCTACAAAAGGAGGTCGCCCGGTTGACCGAGGTCAACGAGGGCTTGAACAGCGCCAATGCCCAACTTGCTGCCCAACACAATGAACGCTACCGTTCGTTGGAGACGCAGCACGCCGACGCTTCGCGGCAATTGGAGGAGGCTCGCAACGAACACACCCACTTCCAAGAGTCGTTGTCGCAGAAGGACGCCGAAATTGGCAGACTGCGTTCGGAACTCGACGCTGCCAAGGACAAGATCCGCCAGATGCAACGCCAAATCCTGGCGGCAAAGGGCGCTGACAGTGACTTCCTGAACGTCAAGGACGTCGACCACTTTGACCACAGGTGTCAACAACTCTGCTCTCATGTGCAGCAATGGGTCCTGCGATTCTCCAAGTTTTCCGACATGCGCGCTTGTCGTCTGACGAGCGAAATCAACGATGAGAAGGTCATTGACCGTCTCGACAACGCCATCTTGGATGGCACCGATGTGGATGCTTATCTCGCCGACCGTGTACGACGGCGAGATGTATTCATGTCCATGACGATGAACATGATTTGGGAGTTCGTGTTTACTCGTTACCTCTTCGGCATGGACCGCGAACAACGACAGAAACTCAAGTCGTTGGAGAAGCTCCTCACCGAGGTCGGTCCGGCCCAGGCCGTTCGACAATGGCGCGCTGTCACCTTGACGCTACTCTCTAAGCGTCCAAGCTTCAAGCACCAGCGCGACCTCGACACCGAGGCCGTGGTCCAGGCCATCTTCCAGACGCTGTCCAAGGTCCTCCCTCCCCCAAGCAACCTGGAGGACCAGATCCAATCACAGCTGCGCCGCGTGATGAGGGAGGCCGTCGACCTCTCCGTCGAGATGCGCACCCAGCGTGCCGAGTACATGATGCTCCCGCCGCTGCAACCCGAATATGACGCCGACGGCGAACTCGCCGAGACCGTCACATTCAACGCTGCGCTCATGAACGAGCGCAGTGGCGACAAGTCCGTCACCAACGAGGCCCTCGAGGCCCAGAATGCCACCGTTCGCATCGTTCTCTTCCCCCTCGTCGTCAAGAAGGGGGATGACGCTGGCAATAATGATGACGAGATCGTTGTGTGCCCCGCCCAGGTACTGGTGGCTCGGTCCAAGGGCAAGTCCGTCCGGCTGTTCACGCCCGGCAGCGACGTAGGCGGAGCGTCTGTTGTCGGCGGCAACTCAGCGGCCACGCACAGCGAACTCAGCATGGGCACTTTCTTGCCCGAGCAGGCTTCGAACAGGGGATGAATGATACACGAGGAGAGTGTGTGTAATTATGGGGAAAGGCAAAGGGAAGGGAGGGCCCAAGGATAGAAGGGAATTGGGAGTATAAAAAGAAGCTTACGACACTTATGGCTTCGCGGAAAGGCAAGGTTGGAGAAGGGGAAAAGGTGGTTGCACAACGATACCTCTTGGTTTTTTTCTTTTTCTTATTTTTATCATGATCCTGTTCTCTCTTTTTTTTCCATGTAGTGTCATTCGACCTTTTGTTAATTTCTACGTTTAATCGGGCCTCATAGACCATAACGAATGATGACGATTACCTGAACATTGATTGGCTCGAACACTCCAGGCTTGTGACTTTCTAAACGCGCAGAGAGACCGATTCATAGTTGAACCTATTTTCTTCTATCGTAGCAAGGACATGATCATAAGGGGCCCCTCCCCTCCCAACAAGCGGCCGACCCAACAACAATCCATACAGTTCATAACCTCCCACCATATCGACACATATCGTTCGTCTTACACGCTAGCCTTGTGAGAAACCTGCGCGGTATCCACCTCTTATCTCTATTCAATAAGTTGTAGGTCCAGGTAGGCCATGCATGTTCTCTTCATCTGCTCAGACACAGAGTTGTACATAGGTAGTCCCACATACCCACCCCCCCCCACACACATTGCATATATACCAAAAGGTTTGGTGGTGGTGGACACGTATGTATTCGATCGAGACATCAAAGAGAATTGGAATCGTGTCGCTTTTACTTCCGAGTGTTCCATGGACCACTCTGTCAATGGAGGTCGAGGCCTTGTCTCTGGCCCCAGTGGAATCCGTTCAACCCGAGAGTCGGGTCGTGGAAGCCGGAAATGTTCAGCTCGCCCGTGTTGGGGTCGTGCGGGAAGAGATTGTTGATGATGTCCTGTTCGATTCTGTTAGCCAAACGTGCGCAAAATGGACAGGGAGCAGAAGAAACCCACCCAGTCGACGCCCTCGAGCGAGTTGACCATGTTCATCGGCGCCTGCGCCCTGTGGCCGGCAACACTCGCGCCGTCGCAACTGCTCTCGGGGCTCTCTGCGGTGACGGGCTGCACGCTCCACAGCGCCTCTCCGTTGGAAACACCCGCAAAGACAATGTTGGGAGGCGGTCCTCCCATTCCTCCCGGGGGGCCACCCGGAGATCCCATGCCCGGAGATCCAGCCCCGCTGACCGGTGTCGGTGGATGTAGGCCGGAGGCGGCCATCCCGGCCTCTGTCTTGAGACCCATCGGCGCGCTGTGTTGATACTGTTGGGGAGAGTGTTGCATCGACGGCCCCGAGTTGTTCTTGACGCCCACCGCGTTTTTGGCCGGTGCTGCCCGGGACGTTCCAGTAGGAGCACGCATCTTGCGCATGCTCTGGTAAATGCCGGTCTTGCTCATGATCTCACCAAGGATCTGTAGGCCCTTGACCTCGGGTGGTGCGTTTTGATCCGTGTGGAAAACATAATCCAGACAGTTCCAGATACGCGGAGCTTCGCTGCTTTGCGGCCGGTAGTAGACCTCAGTGGCCAAGAGCAAGGCGATCTGGAACTGTTGGTAGGCGCCCAGGTACCATGCCCATTCGTGGAATGGCACATCAGTCTCAAGTCGGATTGAGATTTCGATGATCATAATGCCTGACGTGATGAGAAGATTGTTGAGGCGATGAGGCATTGGGCTGTTCGCGTTGGCGTGGTACGGGTGAAGGACCATGACATGGAGTCGAGAGATCAGCAGGTACATAACCAACCTGGCATACCGTTGTATCGGAACGTCGTCGTCGAGGTAACGCTCGTACTTGTCGAGCATGCGTTTGCGGAAGTTCTCAATCTTGGTGAGGACCGCGGTAAGGGTAGTTCGGCGGCTTTCCAACCTGCGACGATCCAGCCAAACGATACGCATCATCTCGTTGCTTTCGAAGCGAATGAGGGACAACAGTGTTGACGTCCAACCATCTGCCCCCTCAGGAGGCGGTCCTGTCGCGTACAAGTCGGTCTCCTCGCAATTCAGGGGAAGTTTGGTGTCATAATCCTCGCGGCGAATTGCTGGCCTCGGTCCTTGAGCCTCGCATGTGCGAATGTCGAGGAAGCATAGCTGATGCCAGATGAGCCTTCTCACATGTGTGTCCAGGGGATTGAGTCCGTAGGTCTCTCCATCTCTGTGAAGACCCATGCACTCAGCCATTCGGACGGCAGCGCCAACCAGAACAGAGTGAGCCCGGGAAACCTCGGCTCTACATAGCGGAAGCTGTATGTCGTGTCAGAATTTGCCAATACGAGGAGGGTAGATCGAAACAAACCATGTACATGACGAAAGCCTGCATGGTTTCGACTCTTGTGGTCCTGAGGAAATTGGCCTTTCCAAGTGCAGTCTCGGTCGCAGCTTTCAGTCTCTCAATCAAGGACGCTTTGGAAACGCCGAAGAGCTGATATACCAGCGAATCATCCATGCTCACGGCGGCGCTGAACCATGCGGCAAACATGACAGCCTGTGTGGATGGACGCGGCTCAAAGTTGCTATACACATCATCCCAGAAGTTCTGGTAGTCGATCTCGAATGTCGGACGATGCACGCATCTGGCGATGGGGTGGACGGCATAGAAGTATTGCTGGATCAGGCGGTCTCCGGCTTCCCGAGTCGGCAGTAATGACTCTAATGATTGAGCCTCAGGCGCATGTCCGAAGAAAAACCCACTCGAAGGTGGGATGTAAGAATCGCTGGGTTTCAAGAAGTCAGGCAGTGAGTTGCCAGAACCTCCGCTGACGGTGGACATGGCATCCATGCCCGGGGGTGGACCGGGAAAGCCGGGATATCCAGGCGGTGGCCCACCACGGGGCGGGCCGCCACGTCCGGCCCCGCCCATTGCGCCCATCATTCCAGCCATGCCTCCCATACCTGCCATACCTCCTCCCATAGAAGGAGGTCCGGGTGGCCCTCCAGAACCGGGAGGTCCGCCAGATATCCCGGCGGAGATCTACATTTCAAGTTAGAATTCTGCCAATGCTTGTCGTTGTAAGAGTGTTCGGCTCAACTGCCTGATACGCACCTCTTCAGCTATCCGAGGTCTGGATAAACCACCAATCCTCTCCGTGATGCGCATGCGACCGACCTGGACTCCTAGATCAATGACATCGTCCGTGCCATCAGCGTCCTCGTCATAGGTAACGTCGAGCGCCGTCATGTCTGTGGGCTCGAGGTGACGCTCTTCGGCGAACTCGTCTTCGACATCGTCGGCGAGGATACTCTGCTGCTTGGCCGCGCGTGATGCTGTCTTTGCGACGTCGCGCTCCAGTTGGCGCTCCAGAGAGCCAACCTTTTCCTTGATCTCGGTCAAACGCAGCTGGCTGGCCTCGTCGAGTTTGGGACTCAGATAGACGCAATCGCGCGAAAACTTCATGCAATTCACGCAGGGCTGTGACTTGTTACACTTGAGCTTGCGGCGGCGGCATTCAAGGCAGGATGTGATCATGCGCATTCGCCTTCGAATGGGCTTGGAGGATGAAGCAGCGGTGGATGCGGTGCCGGTTCCAGAGGCGGCGGGCGAGGCATCTCGTGCAGTCATTCCGTGTTGACCTGGGGCGGAGGAGGTTGCTGATCCTGGCGATTGAGGGCCGGGCATGAGATCTGAGTTGGGAAGTACGCGGGGACTCGTCATGGACGGGGCATGGTGAGATGGGCTCACAGGATTCATCTGGTAATACTGTGGCTGACCCTGAGGCGAGTGAGGGTTCACGGATGAGTGAGGGTGTGAGTGCGGGTGATGTTGGTAGGCGGCGTATGGGTGGGCGTGGCCGGGCTGCTGAGCCGAGTAGGTGGAAGCACCGGCGGCAGCATGACGTGCAGCGGAATAATGGCCTTGATCCATTATCAATGATGGTTGGTTGCTGGTATTCTCTGTCACTTCTCGTCTTTCAAGTCAGAGGCCGAGCGTCAGGAGGTGGGTGATATGAGTTCCTGTTAAGGTCGGACGATGGGCAAGCAGAGCGATCATTCGTTGGGAGGCGTGGAAAGTAAGATGGAAAGAGAATAGAGACTGGGAACGGTCGAGGATCGCCTGGGTCCCCGGGGGGGAGTTACGGACGTAAAAAAGGACGGGTGGGCTGTTATGGATGCAGGACGGATGACCAGTGGCAGTAGCAGTAGCAGTAGCAGTAGCAGCAGCAATCGCAGTCGGAGATGTGTGTGTGTATGTGTGTGTGTGGGAGGAGCGGGCGGAATATGCAGGAGGTGATTTTTAGACCGGCCCTGGTCTGGTCTGGCGGCGTGGTGAGGGTGAGTACGGTCGTAGATGGTGTGGTGTGGTGGTTGTGTAAGGTAGTCGTCCAGTGTTGGCGGCCGAGGGAAAGATCAAGGAACCAAGTGGAAAGGAGCGAACACCAATTCAAGGTCAGGTAGGTGGGTGTACACAAGTCTATGTAAGTGCGCACAACAGCTTCTATCAGCGAATAACGAACCGAACGGGTGGGGGCGCTCCCGTCTGGATTTGCAATTGCATTTGGATTTGCGTACTGAGCTAATACCTTAACTGTGGTACGCCGTGTCCAACAACGGACGGAAGAGAAAGAGACGGGAGATGGAGAGACAGAGAGACAGAGAGACAGAGAAGAAGGGGGGGTGTGAAGAGACGCGGACGTGGAGTTGCAGAGGAAGACGAGATGGAAGACGGGCCAGAAGACACGACCACAATAAAAAAAGAAGTGGATGATGTGATGTGAAGGTAGGTGATACCTATGGCAGCCGCCGATGAGGGGTTCTACTGCAGCAGGTCTCAGCTGCTTATTCGTAAACAAGATGGAGAATACACGGTGGGACGAGAAGGAGGGGCCCCCCGCTGCCAGGTAGCATGTACTTCCGGATGCGGGGGGGTTCTCATCTCCATCCCACCTCTAACTCCCCTGACATCTTTCTCTCTGCCCAAGACACACCTCCAGGAACGGTATAGTTCATCGCAACATCACGCAACAGGCACCACTCCTTCATTGTCAGGTCGCTAATCTTGTTGAAGCCTGGCTGCAAGCTGCCTTGCCTAGGTACTTCAAGATGTCTACCTACATTATACGCACCTTATTCCTTAGCTGCCGTGCCGAGCGAGTACTGGCGCCGGCGGTTGTCCTATCCGTCCCCGTCTTGTCCTATCCAGTCCAGGCCCAATCATGTCGTGTCCATCGTGTCTTGCCCTTTCATGACCTGCCCGGCTCGGTCTCTGCTGGCTCTGGATATCACCGTCAAGACGAGACAAGACAGACAGGTGGATGGGTACACAGGCACACGGACATAAGACCAACAACTAGGTTGATCTGTCTCGTCGAGTCCTTGTCCCGAGGTGTCTCGCAAATTGTAAAGAGGTGAATGGGACCGCCCGCAGGGCACTCTTAGTGCATTGGAGAAATGCCCAATCCCATTGTCCATGTTCATAACCATGTCCATGTCCAGGGCGATATACATAAGCCCAACCTCCATCTAATAAGTCAGGGCCGAGGCCGGGTAAGCTAAGGCCAGCTAGGGCTATCTTTACATCGAGTGTCAGTCGACTTCGATGTCATCCGTCCCTCCAAGGCAACGTTGACTGGCGCCAAACTCCATTCCACTTTCTTTTTACTTGCTCATCTTCCCCCATCTAGAGCTGCAAGTAATAACAAAAATAACAACTCGCGCAAGCACTCTGGACGTTTGTTTGGTGGACTGGACCTGAACGGCCTCCAAAGCCTGCGGATCATGACAATGAAAACGCCAGGCCTCCCCGAATACCTCGGCCGAATATGCCAGCCCGCTCGCTGCTGCATGATCCGGCCCCTGATCGGCTGCCTTCCCCACCACTGCCTGGTACGCCTATCTGCCTTTTCTATCAAGGCCATCTTTCGCTGCCACCAACGTCCGTCCAAGGTTGCCGCGATGCGTCGTCGTCTTGTTGCTTCCTCCCATATCGCTGAGACACCAACACTGCGAACACCAGTACACCGCTGCGCCCCCACCGTTTCCATTCACAGCACCAACAGCTGCCCTGCCCTCCTTCTCCGCACCCTCCGCCAGGGACCAAACCCACCCAACGACTCTCCTACGATGCCGTTCCCATCTGTCTTTCTCCTATCATACACTCCGCACACCCTCCACGACGAACAGAGAGCCTCAAAGAGCGGACGCTAAGCCTCAACGTCCCAATGCAGCTCGTCATCGAGCCCCTCCCGAGTCTTGCGACTTGCCCTTCTTTCGCCTCTGTCCTGTTCCTGTTCCTGTTCCTGTGCATATGCTCCGGCGCCCGCCGCGCTGCTGCCGATGCTCATCTTGGTGACAACTACTGTAAGGCACAAACTCCATGCAGACACCACAAACTCTGCATCATCTGTACTCCGTAGATTAGCATGGACAGACGTCGTACACTGCCCCCTTTCCTACACCGCCGCCACCTAGCCCAACCACCGCCGTTGAGTCCTTGCCCTTGCCTGCTTTACTGGGCCGCAGATGACCGTGATTGCACCTCCGGAGTCTCGCCGGCGCGGCGACCCTGGCTCTCTGCTGTTTGTCTCGTTTTGCCCTTGCCCTTGCCGCGCAAACACGTGGGACACAACCCGCGCCAAACATTCTGCCGCACAAGGTTTTCCTGGCAAGGCAAGGCGCTGGGGGGAGGGGGGGCCTGTCTCAGAGACATCTTGGTGACAAAGGGTTCTGCGTCTTCTGTCCGACGAACCCCCTCAGAAGTCACGACAGTTCTCTCATACTCCGTACGCATGCGGCAGAGACACTGCCTTCCTCGTCCTCGGCCCCGGCCGATCATCCCGTCGTCAATGACCGAATCTAGTCGAGTGCCGGAACCTTCGTTGCCATGTTCCGCGCCTCTCTTCAACCGCTCTGCCGCACTACGCCTTCTCCTTTCCGACTTCCGCCTCGTGGCGACAGAATGTTCTCCCGCAACGAAATATGCTCATTGCAGAATTCCACGCCTCGCGCTAGCACGCCGCTTCTTTGCTGCTCTGCACTGTCATGTCTCATTACCGGGATCCCTTCAGGCACTTCTGCCGTGGATGTGCAGCGCTGAAGCCTATGCTCCAGGCTTTCTGTCTCAGAGTCTCACATTCCCTTCTTTTGCGCTTGCTCGGGAAACACATGACTTCATAATCTGTTCCATTCTCTAACGGGGCCCTGTTATTCCAGAACCGCCGGCAACTTCTTCTCGCGCTTGCATCAGCTTAATGTTCGTTTCCCTCCAGCGTTGAAGTTCTTGAGCCGCCTTTAGGCTCTGTGAAGCTCCTTGGTTCTCCTCTATGAGTTTCAACACCCATCGAATGCGGTCCGTCCGTCCAGGCTCGCCTCTCTTTAGATCCCGCGTGGCAATCGACATACATGCCATGATTTCCCGGTGCGACAGCTTCACGTGGTGTGCTTGGAGCCATCCAATGCAACGATCCACGTGTCGCTTTGCAACCCTGGCGCGGAGATGTTCGGCCTGCGAGAACCAGACAGTCATGTCTCTGTACAGTCGTGTCCTTCTCTTCCTGAGCTCTTTTCGATCCTCTATCTCGACTTCGTTCAAACGGTCCCTGGTACGGTACCTCAGCGTAGTCAATGCTTTTGACTGGTCGTCGTCGACGACGTCTCCGATGGCACCAGACATAACCGCTTTCCACGCGTGGATCGGCGGAATCTCCTCGTCCTTGATAATGGCCTCCACATACTGCGTCCAGTGCGTCCAATCCCATGCGTATTGAATCTTCCGGATTCGTCGTGATTTCTGGCGCAACTCTTCCCAGCTCCCGAAGTGGCGTGGCTTGCCTTTCTTGAAAGATGCATAACGTTCCATGACGAAAAGTATGGTAAGAGCCAGACGATGATCTTGGCTTACTGTGGCCACAAGCTTGAACGGGTGGACGGGCAGCCAACCTGTAGCCTTGCAGAAGCTTTCCATTGAAGCAATGAGGTCGTCTTGGCGTTCCAATCGGCGCAACATCTTTAGGAGGCTCATCGTGAACCATGCACTGTTCACAGTGGGCCCGTTGTAACCAACACTGACAACCAATCCAGCGAGACTGAGCTCTGGTTGGGTGGCGGAAAACGAATGCCACGATTCTCTAACCTGTCCGTGGCGTTGCAGGTACCCGTGGCTATCCCATTGCTGAAGCAAAAGTTTGCAGAGGTCTCGGCCGACGAGCCCTACTAAGCTCCGATCGAAGTAAGCCGATCTGACGCAAGCGTCGACGAGGTAGTTCTGGTTCACCAGCGGCAGGTGCGCCAAGACATGCAACCAAAGAAAATGGACGCTCTGGCGAACGTCTTCTTTCAAAGTTGCCGAACCTTCGTATATGGCGGCTTCTATCTTGCGGATTAGTGCGTCATGCTTCTCGGGCGATAGTTCGCGGAGCGCAAAGCCAATGTCCGCGGCCCGCGTACGCCTCGTCGACGGGGATACGACTAGTCTTTGCACTGCCGCAACAATGGCCTCGTGGATATTGTCAACGTAGTCAATCGGAACCACTCGGAGGGTGGCTTGAAGCAGACGAAGGGTCCCGTCATGTCCGGGAATCTGTGATGCTTGCCTCAATAGGTTATCCCAGAAGCTCGCTTGAAACTTCGACGGGTCATAGACCTTGGAGGACGCGATCCCCTTGACAACGGCCGAAAGGAACTTGCGAATGGCAGTGTCGACAAGCTTTCGATCAGTCCCCGTGTCGACCAACGTTGTCAGGGACTGAGGAAAGGTTGAAACAGCCATGGCTACCGCCTCGGGATCAAGAACGCCCAACTCAATGTCCTGTCGAAGGATCCAGATAAAGTTGTAGAAGCTCGGATCGATCTTTTCCGGTGCAGAATTAGCAACAATCGATCGAGCTTCAGAAAGCTTTCGCATAAGCGCTACCGTGGGCTCGAGCTCCTCTTTCTCACTTATCCACGCCGCAACTCTTGATAGTATCGACTGAGGTTGCTGGTCCTGCATAACCTTCTTCTCTCTCGATCCACGAAGAGTTGGTGGCTGCCACGTCCATTTACTCAGATCCATGGGAAATTCGATGGACCATGGAGGCAAAGCCGACTGATGGTCCAGGTGTAGGTCTGTCATCTTCCTCTTGCCCACCCGCTTCCCACTCTCCAACGGGCCGGGGAGAGAGCTCGATTGTCGACGCGAAAGACGCGATACATGACAGTACCGCTCAAAGGCGCTCGAAAGAACGCCGTCCGTGATCCATATGTTGTTGTTGTTGTTGTTGTTGTCCAATGGCGCCCGAATCTGTTGCTGAACTGCTCGGCAGCACCGCGCTGTAGGTCGTGAACCCATAGGACGAGTCGGGGTCTTCGAATTGCGTTTCCATTGACAATCGCTGATCGGTCGTAGTTTCCCTATGTCTGTTTCATCGTTTTGGGTTGGAGGAAGAGTTTGAAGGCGCTTTCGACGGGTGATTGAGTCGACGAGGCGATTGGGAGCTGATTTGCGATGGAAGCAACTGCCAGGGACGTCGAGGTCAGCAACTTTAGTTTGCAGAGCTGGGATTCGTCGACCCATAAATTTCAGCCCCTGTGTGGCTTGAAAGCTCCGGGCCGGCTCCTCGGCGACGCGGGCTCATTGCGCTCCGACATGCCCTGGGGACGGGAATGGAATGGACCTAGGTAAGCTGCCCGAGCTTTGGCGGGGTTTTCCAGAGAGCGCGGATTGCGCGGGGCATCTTGCATCCAAGGGATCTACACCGGCACATCCAGACATCGTGAAAGCCGGCCAACCAGACACAATGGAATTGACATTCGAGCCGTTGAAGAATGACCTGCTCCTGCGAGCTGCTCGCGGTTTGTTCTAACAGAATTCCACCATTGTTTGTCAATGACTGACCCATTCGTGCAGGCGAGACGGTCGAGCGCCCGCCGTGCTGGATCATGCGGCAAGGTAAGGATTCTTCAACTTTCATCCCATTCCAGAACTGAACGGAACGGAACGAACGCTGATGTTTGACAAACGTGCAGCCGGCCGTTACCTCCCCGAGTACCATGAGGCCAAGGGCAATCGCGACTTCTTTGCATGCTGCCGCGACCCCGAGATCGCCAGCACCCTGACCCTGCAGCCTATCGAGCGCTTTGCCGGTCTTCTCGACGCCGCCATCATCTTCAGCGATATCCTAGTTGTTCCTCAAGCCCTCGGCATGACCGTCGAGATGGTCGACAAGAAGGGGCCTCACTTCCCTGAACCCCTCAAGTCCCCCACGGACGGCCAGTACGAACAGGTCATGGCCAAGAACGTCGACGTCGCCTCCGAGCTCGACTACGTCTACAAAGCCATCACCCTTACCCGCAAGAAGCTCGCAGGACGTGTGCCCCTGATCGGCTTTTGCGGCGCTCCTTGGACGCTGTTCTGCTACATGGTCGAGGGCGGTGGGACCAAGCTCTTCATTCAAAGCAAGACCTGGATCTACAGATACCCCGAGGAGTCCAAGAAGCTGCTGCAGAAGATTGCCGAGGTTTGCGTCGAGTACCTCGCACTGCAGGTCAAGGCTGGAGCTCAGGTACGTTACCAAGCTGAACCTTCCCCCCCCCCCCTTCGCGCATGGAATTAACCAACGTTCCTAGAGCATCATGGTCTTCGACTCCTGGGCCGGCGAACTCGGCCCTTCGGCGTTTGAGGAGTTCAGCAAGCCCTACCTCTCGTACATCTCCGAGAACCTGCCCAAGAAGTTGCAGGAGATGAACCTTGAGCGCGTGCCCATGACCGTCTTTCCCAAGGGCTGCTGGCACGCTCTCGACAAGGTTTGCGACATCGGGTACGACGTCGTTGGGCTCGACTGGATGCAGAGCCCTGCCGACGCCGTCAAGATCCGCGGTGACAGGCGCATCACGTTCCAGGGCAATGCCGACCCCGGTGTTCTGTACGGTACTCGTGAGAACATCACCAAGGCCGTCGAGGAGATGGTCAGCGGCTTCTGGGGCCAGAAGAAGGGTTGGATTGCCAACCTCGGACACGGTGAGTCATGATACGCGTTGTCTGCGGAAACAATCAGGACTAACAATGGATAGGAATTACTCCGGGTGTCAACCCTGAGGATCTCAGATTTTACCTGTCCGAAATTCACCGCTTGACGAAGAACTGAAGAGCAGGATAATGGACGTGTGGGGATATAGTATAAGTGCATGATGAGAAGGACTCAAGCATGGATCATCGCTCGAATGAGCTATCAAATAGGCGTATAAAAGGGGTTCACGGAAGGACAAAATGTTACTGGTCTCACCAGAGACGATGCAGTCATTGGACCACATCGCATTTCCGATGACAACCGTCTTTAAATTGTATGTAAAAACAAGTCTTGGTAAGACTTATGAGATGAGAAATAACGTTTCTTAATCTTACTTTTCCTATCCTCGTATGAACCGACAAAAGGCCAAATATGGTATCATGAACTTTTTTTGCGTCGTTTCAACGTTTTCAACACCAATTCCCAACGCCGAAGACATTGTCCAGATCTGGACGTTGTCACACATTCCCCAAACCAAAACTCCGTCGCAAATGACCGTACAGGGGCATAGTACGCCCCTGAAAAGTTGCTCACTGAGAGACAAATCGTGTCGGCTACCGCCGTGGTTGAGCAGGCGTCATTATCGTGGTAAACCCTTCAATGTGGTAAAATTTCAAATCGTGGAAAAGACGGGCAAAGTCGCTCACGCCTTCCTGGTCAGGTTGTTGAGCCACTGCTTGCCCTTGGCAGCGAGACCACTACCCTCCTCAGGGCTGCGACGGCCGCCGGTGGGAGAGGGCGTCTTGCGGAGCGATGACTCGTCGTCGTCGACGGCTGCAGTACCCTCGAGCTTCGCCTTCTTCGCGGCGGCCTCCTCCTCCGAGCCCGTCTTGAAGACGTTGGCGGCGCCGCCGCGGCCGTAGTGGGTTGCGCTGTTGCTCTCGCGGCGGGGAACACTGTGGGCGAACTGCGTCAATATGACTCGTCCGTCGGTGGGATTGAGGTCAAAAAGAGCACGTGGTAACTTACGGCTCAACGTCCTGGCGCAAACGAGTCTCGTAGGGGTCCTTGTTGGGTGCCATGTTTCCTGACCCTCCTCTGCCAGTTGTGACGACGGAGGTCTTGAGGGTTGGGGTCTCAAGGTCCTTGGAGGTGACCTTGTTCTTGGTGCTGTCGGCCATGTTGCCGGCACCGCCGCGACCGTGAGAGGCGAGCATTGTTGCTTTTCGTGTGGTGGATGTTGATTTACGGTAAATGCGTATGTATATACGTGGGCTCGGTGAGTCGAGGATCGAAGCGCAGTTATGTAGGCTGTGTAATGCGGGCGATGGGGTCGTGAGAAGCGCGGGGAAACGTTCTAGTTGAAGCGTCGGTTGTAGTTGCAGTCGAGTCGCAATATTAGTCGAAGGCGAAGGTTCCCAAAACTTGAACACTCTTCAATCCAAGTTCGTACTGGACACCAAAAAAAAAAAAAAAAAGAAAAGGGTCAGGTTGACGGAGAGCAGAGCGGCGGCGACAACCAGGGAGACAAAAGGACTAAGTAAATAAAGGACGCGGAGGCACGGCGCAGCAGGTGGACTTTTTCTCGGTCTTTGTTTTATAAAACTTTCGTTCGGAGGTGGCAGCAAGGATTGAGCATGGCTGCAAGCATCTATTGCGCTACCTTTCCCGTCCACGGCGTAAGCAAAATCCTTGGCCTACTCCTCCCAGCCTGACGTAGGTTGCGCCAACAAGTGATCACGGGTCATTCATCTTTTTTTTTCTGCCACTTTTGCACAGGCTTGGGGTCTTGGCCGAGAGGAAGTTCCCCACACTTTGCGGTAGTTCGCTCGGTCTCTGGAGCATGTGGGCTTTCTAAATTTTTTTCCCTCTCTTCACGTTCTGCGGTTGGTGGATACGCACCGCCGTGGCAGATGAGAATGGCGCACCACGGTCCATGACACATGCCGGACTCCCTCATGGACCTCATGGACTCGCTGAAGGAAGAGGGGAAAGTGAGAATGCCGTTCGTTCGAGGCGTTGGCGACTGCGTTGCAACTTTGGCAGGGAGCGGGTTGTTTGGGGGAAACCAAAACGTAATGAAAACAACGACATCCAGCCAAAAACACCACGCATCCGCCAAACCGACCGGCACGACAGACGACAGACACAGCGCTCACTTCTGAGTCGAGAGCCCAGGCTTTCCCCGAATGAGTCCCTAAAGTCTCGACCCGCCGCCCCTTGTCTTGGATAGGCAAAGCTGCTGGTGGTGTCATTCGCGTAGCGCGTGGTGACAACTCCATACCTTCCTTACCTTGTCCATAGCAAATACGCGGGGGTGGGTGCGGTATTTGCAACGACTGTTACTGCACTTGTTGTTCTGAGGCGTTGTAATGTTGGCTTTGCGACCCGTGAGTTGATATTCGTAGGTAAGGCTCAAGGAAACAGAGTGGTAGGGCAGACATTGCAGCTAATTGCCACGCATGTTTGACTCAGTTACGACTGAAGCAACAGCAAGTGGCAAGGCTTCAGGCAACTGGGTTGCTCAGGGATGTAGGACATGTTCGGCCTCGTCCGAAGGTCTTGTGACATTTGCTGAGTGATGATGGGTAGTACCATATGAGTTCTCAGTCCGCGGGCTGCAACGTTCCCGGAGCCGTCCGTATGTGCACTGGACGCAGCACGCTTCAACCAACCACGAAAAAAGAATAAAAGACGAAGAAGACGAAGAAGCCACGCGACGAAAGTAGGTGACAACTGCTGGGCTGCTTGCCATGCTTAAGATGGCGCGAGACGCCGGTTGAAACAAAAATGAGAAGCTGATTACTAATCGAACTGCGCCGAGATTTCACGTCAATTTACGCTAGCAGGTTGAGCACTAATTAATGCCACCTCATAAGACAAGCATGGACTTCTTCATTTCCTACTGGACCTTACCTACCGTTCACTTCAGAAAACTCGCTGTTCTAAAGAGGCTGAAGCCGGTCACAGCTCGACTTTTGCCCTTCACGACAACTAATGAATGTATTAGTCACCGATTCGGCCTCCCCAGGCGGCCTTCATTTGCCGCGGCGGCATCTGTACCCGACCGACTCTATTCGGGGTTCAGAAATCCTCGTGGGGATCATCCCGCGATCCCGTCATCCATCTGCATTCAGCCCAATCTGATGTCCAGGCTGACACCCCTCAATGGCCCGCTTCATACGCAGTTGCAGTCGCACCATTCTATATGGTCCATTCGAAGAAATACTGCTGCTTCACAGCCTGTTCAGTGTCCAGCCATCCGTTCTTCGGATGAACAGCCCGTGGAGTGCACATGATGAAAATGGAAAAGGTCCCCACGTCCGTGCCAGCGCGGCAACCGGATGACCCCCGAATGCCCTGGCCTTGTCCCTCCGGCCAAGGTTCCCGGCCTCCCGTCCCCACACCGCGCCTAACCAGATGCCGCGCCGGAGTAAGCTAGCTCGTTCTATTTTCTCTCCAAGAACAACCACGCAACGACCACGGTCAGCTCGTCTTTGTGGACATGGGCTTCCAAATTCGTGAATGCTTACCTATGCTGGTTGATGTTCAAAGCCTCGGATTGTCTGCGTCTTTTGCCTCGTTGTTTCATTACCAGGCTTGTTGCCGGTCCCGGCCCTGTACGCTTCGGTTGTCCATGTACGTCTGCTTTGGTTGCGTTCGAGGCAGGAGACAATTCCGAATGCCATCAACGGCTAGTAGTGGCTTTTACGGAAACAACGGTGGTCGATACCAGCAAGCTGCCAACGTTACATGACGTCCACAGGCAACCTAGGCAGGAGTCCTCATCGGACCCGACCCGATCTCTGTAAAATGGGCACCAACGGTCTGGCTAAGAGACACGAGAGACAGCAAAACTGGCGTCCATGCGCCCGACATCGCTATGGTCTCGGCAATACCGCTTCAGTTCCAGTCTGTCGTACATTCTGCCAGCACAGAAACTGAAGTGGAAAAAGCGGTATCCTTCAATAGTCCACTTCCTAACACGCATCGATTTCATAGACCAGGACTGGATGAGGGCGCCGATAGGGCGCGCCGGAATCCCCAACTCGGGTCAAGGGTAATGGGAAGGCGCCGGAGGAGTCGACCAATGAAGGGGGGACGGATGATGGGTAGGTAACACGACAGGCGGGGATGCTGCAGGCCGGGATCCGGTTCAGTGCTGTTGCTGATGGCGTACAGCATACGAGAGCGCTGCCTCTCGTATGCATTGAAGCCCCCGGCGGCAGCGAATCTGGCGGTTTGCTCTTACAGGCCAAGGACACACCAACCGGGGCCAAGATTGACGGGCCAGGTACGCAGTAGAGGTTGACCGGTCGTCAAATGTCGTGGATTTCTGAGTGGTCAAGCACGTCTGGGTGGCGGGACGGGACCCGTCCCATGGACAGGAGGAGGCGTGGGTGCGGCTGAAGCGATGCGTGGAGCCGGCGTCGGGCACTTCGGTTGTGTCTGTTGGCACTGGGACTGGGACTGGGACTGGGACTGGCACCGAGGGAATGGTTGGGCCTAAAGTAGGAAAGATGGGAGCGGAATGGTTCGTGGACCATTGTGTCGGGATTGGTGACTGTTGGGCCTATTGCAGAATGACGAAGGATGGGCCGGTTAACATGGCTGATTTCGGAATACGTCGCCAACTCCCCGGTCTGGCGTGTTTGGGTCATTGATAAATGAGTTTGTTGCTTGTTTGGGAGACGTCAAGGAAGCGCTGTTTGTGGGCGAGGTCTTGCATTGCATTGTGATAGTCTGTTGTTTAGGAGGTCGGATGCAAGACACGGGCAAGGTGATGCGACATGGCCGAACCACCAAAAGGTGAGACAGGACGGGAGGTGGCACACAAACCGTACTATGTATTGATAAGTTGGTCATCCTCTCTCATCGACCGTCGAGGTTAATGCAGCAAAGGAGTTGTAGTGGAGAGGTGGGAATAGAGGTTGACAATTAGAGCAGACCGTTGATGTTATCCAGCAGTTATTTTAGTCGAGCTGGGGTGTCAGTGTCCGTAGGTAAGGTACCTCCTACCTCACGCGGATATCTAGGTAATTAGGTACCTAAGGTAGGCTCAATTCGTGGAGACCGCCCTGTCCTGGTCCTTGTCAGTACGTAGGTAGTTAGTACCTAGTGAAGGTTGTCTTGCCTGCCCCTTTCCCCGCTGTTGCTTGTCCTTGCCGTGAAGGCCGTCTGAGTCGATATGTTTTTGGATGGCATCGAGCAGGTGTAGTCTGTCCATCATCGTCTTGCGTGAACTATAGTGCGTGGACTGAGTGGTGACCGGTGGGCAGAAGTAGGCGACATGAGCCGCACTTGATTGCCAGCATTCGAATTCTACTTAAGAGGGAGCCATCTTCACAGTCTCGCCAGTCCAATTCAGTCCATATGCCATATGCCATAGGTAGGTAAGGTAGAGAATAGTACGTAGCAGCCACCAGGATGAGAGAAGCAAGAGGCTCGTCTAAGGTGGATTAAGATGGCCATCACCCGTTCCACACTCCAGCAGCGCGCATCGCGCATCGTTGTTATCCACAGCGGCCGCAACCCAACCCCAGAAGAAAAGCAAAGAAAAAAATCCAGAGCATGCGCCGGCATCATCATAAACCCCGCGGTAGTTGTGTCGTGACTGCGGCGGCGGCGGGTAGCTCATGATTGCCGCACACAACAAAAGATAAATGTTTGCTGCAAAGAGACACAAAACGGACAGCCAAGAATCCCAAAGCCAGAATGTAGGCAGGTACCTACCTACCTACCTTAGCTATGTACCTTAAGGTCAGGTAGGAGTGAGGAAACCGCCAAACAGATACTGGACGGTAGACACTACACCGTGCCGTAAGGTACCTTAACAGAAGCAGACGGGAAACTATGTAATACAGGCAACCAGTAAACGCCGGTTTCCAGCTGGTAGCGATCCATGGTTAAGGGCCCTGCAAGCCACGAAGCCCTGCCATGGCCTTGTGGCCGTGGCCGTGACCGTGGCCGTGACCCATGATGCCCACCCGATTGTGGAAGGCAAACTCCCGTCCCGTCACATAACACTTGAAGTACCGTACTTGGGTGCCACCGTCCGTCGGAGCCCGTCTCGCACCTCAGTGTCCACCCAGGTCGGCTTCGGTGTCACTGGGCGAGCGCTCCGTCTCCAAGTCATTGGAGGTCAACTGGAGATACCTTGGGGGAATCGGCGGTCTGTGTTAAGGTCCAGTAGAGGTACCTTACCTTGAGAACCTATGGAATGGAAGGTTGAGGTGGTCGTCGAGGTGGTACTGCGGTACGGATGCATACGTACCTACCTACTTACCTACCTTACCGTCCAACCTAATGGAAGTGTGCAGGCGCGGGCGGGCAAAGAGTGGCTCTGGCTCGAGTGGAGCCCCGATGAGTTCCAGGGACTCGCTCACACCTGTGACAGCAGGTGCACTGAGTGTGGACAGGTCAATGCCCACCGCAGCAGCAGCAGCAGCGGGTACGTACCCTGTCTCGCCCTCACCTAAATAAACATCAAGAGAACCACGTATCTAGCAGTTGACTTTTCGTCGTTTCCATTCTCTCCAGGTCCCTCAGACTTCCAGTACCGGAGGCAAGCTCAAAATTTGTCCCATAAACACATCAGGTAGCAGCTAACGTGGACGCACTAACTTTTTCCTATCCTATCCAATCTTCAATTCCCCGGGAAACCACACAGCAAGACTCCAGACTCCCTTGCTGCTATTTTCCGGGCCTGACCACCACTGGATCTCCGACGGGATCAACCAACCCCTCATCAGTTTTGTCCAGCCGTCACACAAACCAGACGCAACGCGAACCTCATCGTTTCAATCATCAATCATCCGCCACGGCCTTGCTTCTCCCGTGTGCTGCATCTCCAATCCTCCTCCATATCATCAACTAGATAACCTCGGCACCCAATACTTCATCCAAGATCAAAATGGCCAGGTCATACAAGTTCGTCAAAATCCCTTCCATTTACGGCCAACGAGGAGCCCCCGACTAACCCCGCCCCCGCAGGCTCGAAGTTGTACAGCAACCTCAACGCGCGCGAATGTGCGGATTCGGCGACAAGGTAAATCTCATTCCTTGCACTCTTGCTTCCCACATCACCTTATCCCATCGAGTGTATCCGTATCCTTGGCTCCTTGCTCACAACTTCTCCAGGATCGTCGTCCCATCACCCCCCCTCCTTGCATCAGAGTAGTCGTCACCGACAGTGACACCGGCGCTGAATGTAATGTCAAGTGAGTTGTGACTGCCTACCTCTATCTTACCTTACCTCGCCCAACTTCATCTCTGCCATCGAGCTAACACCATCACAGTGACCTTATCACTGATCACTACATCATTATCGTCGATTTGTGGAATGAGGCTGGCGATCAGGAAGTAAACCTGGTTGGGCACACGTCTAATAACACCAGCATTTCCACGACAACCCCGACGAGTTTTCACGATCTGCGGAACGAGCACATGAGCGCCCCTTATGCCCAAATTGTGCCTCACTACAACGGCCCTGGCATGCCCTACGCTCATCACCCGCAACCCCCTCCGCCTATGCAGCAATACCCTGGCTACCACGGCTATCTGCGTAAGTTGTTCGACGATAGCTACGAAACATGCGAACCAAGAACTGACAGTGGCGACAGCTCCTCCTCACGGCTACCAGTCTACCAACTCTGCCTTTGCACCCCCAACCCAGTATTACCCGCACCAGGCTTCGGCCACTGTGCCATCTCAGGCAGACGTTGCCTACGGCGGCCCGCAGCGGCACTCCATGTCAATGGCTGCTGCCCAGCCTCAGGGCATGTTTACTCGGAACTTGATAGGAAGCCTTTCCTCGAGCGCGTTTCGCCTCTACGATACTGATGATAAGGTTGGCGTCTGGTTCGTCATGCAAGATCTCAGCGTAAGGACCGAGGGTCACTTCAGGTACGTTCCACCAACCACCAAGGAATTGGGTACATGCCGGTGCTAACACGCTTCAAGGCTACGCTTCTCCTTCGTCAATATATCAAAGAAAGCAAACGAACCGACTGCGGACTTCTCCTTGGTTAGCATGGGCAAGTCGCCAGTCCTGGCCCAATGCTTCAGCGACGTCTTCCAAGTCTTCTCAGCTAAGAAATTCCCGGGCGTCTGTGAAAGCACCCCTCTAAGCAGGTGTTTCGCCACTCAGGGGATCAAGATCCCCATCAGGAAGGATGGCCCGTCTGATAGCAAGAAAGGGAATGATGACGAAGAGGACTTCCAGTGATCGACGAGGACTGGATCAGGTTTTGGATACTGGCTGGGCAGTGCGACACAACAAGCTCAGATTCGCGTTCGTAGCTGCTCAGTCATGTTAAGGTAGAGTTTTCTTGAAGCACCAGAGCAATCTCGGTTGTTGTACATAGTTCCTGGGTGGAGGGAGGGGGAGTATCAAGACCCAACCAGACATCTCCTCATTGCGTTCAGTCCCATGTTAAGGTGTTCAGGCGTATCCCGGGCAATCGTGTGCCTTGTTGAAATCTCGGCTTGTTGATATCTCGGAGCGTTGAACTTCGCTCATCTAATGCACTCGATGGCAGTGAACCGCTGTTGGCATCATGTCAAGGAAATACCGCTGTGGACTTTCCAATGAGATCGGTAGTGCGGAGGCTTTAGCAGCAACAGACCAAGCTAGTGCCAATAGACGACTTGCCGAAAGAGGTTGCGTATCTTCTTGTGGGTTTGTCAAGACCCAACAAAGCCCGGTAAGAGAGAGTTGACTAATTTCCGCTCCTACAGAAGGCAGCATTTACGTACATGTCTTTGCAGCTGTTTGGTTCCAAGCTCCCCAAGAATGTTGAAAATTCCGACTTGTATGTGACATCTTGGAGCATCGTTTCGTGTCCTCGGAGCCACACCCCAGTCACATGTGTGCTTTCACGATTGGTAATGTGGCGTTCAGTAACAAAAACGGGTTGAATACTTGTATAGCACACAGACAACAATACCAGTAAGTACAGCAGTATATCGATAGTAATGGCAATGCTACCAATTATATCAGAACGAGCGCATGTAATCTACCGAGGATCTAATCTGCCCATGTGTTCCTCGGCACATTTCCGGTACTATCCAGCAGGATCGAAGTAACATGAACCAAGTCATCGGTTCAAGATCTGCTGCTTCGGACGATGCAATGTGACTAGATCTTCCTAGGCAGTTTAAACACACGTGGGCATCGAACCCTCGTCGATACATGCTCCAGAAGCGGCTTGTCGCAATAAGCCCTGATAGGATAATAGAATAGCCCCTTGGCCATGGACGAAGTTGTTGACCTGTCCCGCAATCTTTGAAGTCACTGGCTCTCCATATCCTGGAAGCTGTTCCAATGGTACTCGGCATCGTCACAAAACTGACATTGCGGCACAGCTGATTGATGCATAATCGATTATAAAGCACTAACAAATAAGAATTTGTGTTTCGTCCCCTTGAACGTTCCTCATCTCCGTAGGTCACATCCATTAGGCATAGTTTCTGGTCCTGAGAGGCTACTGAGTCTACGAACAAGTCTAGATGAGGTGGACTACTCCGCAAACCCCTCTTTCCATCCCCAAGAGGTCCTTCGGCCGCAATGATCAGCAATACAGGTCTAGGTGGCGGTTCAGCCCATGGAACTTATTCCGACATCGAGGGGGAAATCGACTCAGTCGCGTCACTTCTCCTCGTGAAAGCACTCTTCCGCATATGAGTGGTTAGAGGATGAATAACTTTTGTCCTGTAGGAAAGAAGGAAGCTAGCAATCACAATTTTTGGTCTAACGGGGTCGATAACCCATTAGCTAGGCTCCTCGTCGACTTCGACACAAATCAGTGACGCTTTCTGCCTTGCTAAACACCGGCATTGAACAAAGCCGCCATTCGCAACTGTTCCAAGGAAGAAGAATTACAGGCGGTCTGTTGCACTCTACATCTACCACTATGGTTTGTAATGGCTCTGCATACGACGTCGTGGTCGACGTTGGGGAAGAGAGGGGTTGCCCATATGTTGCAACGGTGGCAAAAGAAGAACTCCAACTGACACGGTACACTCAAGGGGTGATGGAGTCCAACATTTTATGAATAAATCGAATCAGTAAGAAGCAGATAGGTGCGTGCAAAGTTTCTACTTTCATCTTCCTATTTGGCAGTGAAGCGGGTTAAGACAGTCTCGGCCTTCACTTCCTCGGCATGCTCTTGGTTGTAGACAAAACCAATCACGACGTACTGGCTACCTCATTTTGACCACACAACTTGGCATCCCCACCGTTCCCGTCGATTGACGTTACAGTGCAGCCCGTATCGTGATATCATCTGCAACCACCCCTCACGCGAGTCGAATGTGCAGAGGTCACACAGACACTGGTTGAGAAGCCATCAACGGTTTACCGAGGCGCTGAGGTGGTTCGAAATGGGCAGCCAGTAAGAACGCTTTCGCCATCACTTATACGACCTTGGACGGAAACCACCCGCACTGCTCGTACATGCCGTTGCTACACCTTGGAAAACATTATCCTCTATGAGCAATAATCGCTTTGTGAGACAGAGGTGGCCATTAAAACCAGACCCTCGCAAACACGGTGTTTACCCCGCGTTCATGTCACATCCCTCTAGACTACATCACCATATCAAGATAACTTGGACCTCATATTTGCTCCTAAGCGGTATATGAAAAGTCATGTACTCAGACGCCGAGAAAGTCAGCCATAGTCTGTTCGCCTGTGTTGGGTCCGGCTTTGCGGCCATCGGACTCGGGGCCACTCTTAAACGATGGTATGGGATCGACGACATCCAGTTCTTCGAGCGTCACAGCCAGCTCGGCGGTACATGGTTCGCCAACCAATATCCAGGTATGGCTTAACTGATGACGCTCATCTTTTTCCGATGTTCACAGATCTGACAAGTTGCTAAAGGCTGCGCCTGTGATGTCCCGAGCGCGCTGTACAGCTTCTCGTTCGAGCAAAACCCCGACTGGACCCAGGCCATGCCGTCAAACTCGGAGCTCTGGGAGTACATCAACGGCGTGGCCCAGAAGTACGATCTGGTCCGTCGTATGGCCTTTGATTCCCTCGTCCAGCACTGCGAGTGGATCGAGGAGCGAGCTCGATGGCGCTTGACCATCCATCACTCGAAATCAGGGACGACCTACTATCACGAGTCTCAGTTTCTCTTCGCCGCTACCGGCGTGCTCGTCCATCCTCGCAGCATCGACGTCCCAGGTGCTGATACCTTCAAGGGAAGGATCGCCCACACCGGCCGCTGGAGCTCGGACATCGATCTTGAGGGGAAGAAGGTGGTCCTCTTCGGCAACGGCTGTACTGCTTCTCAAGTCGTCCCGGCCATTGTCCACAAGACCAAGAGTTTGACCCAAATTGTGCGCACGAAGCATTGGATCATGCCGGGTCTGGACTCGGATCTTTCCCCCTTCATGCGCAAGTTGATGGCATGGGTCCCGAAAGTGCCCGCTCTGCAACGCCTCATGATCTTCTGCGTGGCCGAGAATTCGTTCCGAGGGTTTCGCATGACCGAAGACGGAAAGAAGTTCAGGGCGATGCAGAGGTACAACTCGGAGACGTACATGAGGTCGGCGGCACCCGCAAAGTACCACGACATATTGATCCCCGACTTCGAGGTCAACTGCAAGAGACGCATCTTTGACCCGGGATACCTGCAGAGCACCCATGCGGACAACTTTACTCTCACTGACGAGAAACCACTAGAGATTACTCCAGACGGTGTCAAGACGGAGAGGGGGTTTATCGAGGCAGATGTCATCATTCTGGCCAACGGATACGAGACAAACAAGTTTGCCACGGGTATCAATGTTGTTGGGAGGGAGGGCGAAACGCTCGAGACACGCTGGGAGGCTCTTGGAGGAGAGGGCGCTTACAACACCTCAGCAATGGCTGGTTTCCCCAACTTCTTCCTTCTTCTAGGTACGTCTCGACTTGGCGGTGTCGAAATTGCGTAGCAGATCTAACGAAAACGACCGGTCACTAGGTCCCAACTCCGTCACGGGCCATACATCTACCGTTATGGCTATCGAGAACGGCGTCAACTACGCCCTGCGTGTTCTCAAGCCCGTCCTCGAGGGACGCGCAAGCGCGGCGATGGTCAAGAGCGAGGCCGAACAGCAGTACGTCGACGAGATGCAGAGCGCCCTGCGGAATACCGTCTGGAACACGGGGTGCGGGGCCTGGTACACCAAGAAATCCAAAGGCACAGAGAATCAATGGAACGCCATGGCCTACCCCTATTCCCAGATACATTTCTGGTATCGTAGCTTCTTCCCCAACTGGTCTCACTGGGAGTACAGTGTAAGTGAGCCTGGTTCAAGCCGCGATGCGGTTTTCTCGGATGATTCGAGCTAACCAGGTCAGGGTCGGCCCAATTCCACTTCCCGGATTCAGAAGAGAGGTTTCGGTGGATGGATGATGATTCTTCTGGCGATCATCGTGGGCGTGGTAGTCTTGGGAATTTACGGCAGAGACTGGCTTTCTTCGATTGCACCCAGCCTACCAGCGATGACTGGAAGGCCCGCGTCCTTCGTTCCCAATTACCTGTAGTTACGTGCTACTGTTGTTGTCATCGGTTGAGAAACAACGGGGAGTCTTACGTAGTCACGGCAGCGTCGGACCGATCACACATTCTATACCTCGCAATTCTGTGAATTGATCCAGAGAGGAGCCGAGTGCCGAAACGAAGTCTACGCAAAGAGTAACGGTGGTATCTTCTCTATACGATCAAGTACGGGATTAGTTAATTATTATTTCTTGATGTAAGCCTTCACGGCAATGAGCGCTTGTGTGCCAAAGTTTGGATCTGAAATAAAAGATTTAGTAGTCTTGTATTCTCATGTCGACAAATTACTTGTACCACAGCAAACACTTCTTGGCCTGGCCATGGCCCCCGCACCACGTCCAAACCACGAGAGCGCACTCAGACATCAAGTCGACGTGTTTATTGGTGGCAAGCGGCTGAGCGGATGGAAGACCAGAAACGTACTTTTGTTGTTCATAACGAATGAAATCACGGCAAGTATGACCAACAAGTTGAATAACGAGCAGGCCAAACCGTTGGAAACACCAGGTGATATCGGCAGGAATAAACGACATCATCTAAAAAGGCATGTGAATTGCACTGTTTGCCTCCTTGTCTGGGGAGGAATGGCTGCCACGAGGCCAAATCTCTGCAACGAACGCTATAATACACGAGTGGGGGAAATACCCCACTGTCGATTGCCTCCAAAAAAAAAACTACCAAAACGAAATTGAAATGCTGCGATGAGACTGAGGCATGCTCTTCTGACATACTTGGTCTCCCACCGCAATAGAGGATAGCCCTCCCAAACCAGAAACTTTTCGTGTCGAGGTCCACCGTTGCACATCTGCCAGTGCCCCAAAACGCCTCTCTCCTGGACGGAGAGTCCCGCAAGAAAAATGGGTTGGAGGCAGAGATAATGGAGGATGAAAGAGAGATGAGAAATCGAGACGCCGACAATGAGTGAAAACGCCAATTAGTCCTCCTGCCGCCACCTGAGGTTGCTCTTCCTTTCCGCACCATAACGTTTCGTCGTTGTTACATGGTTAGTGGGTTGTTGCGGGATGGCTTGAAGTTGCCATCACTCGTTTCTGCATTACGCTTGGGCCTCCGTTGTTTCCACCTCGCGAGCCTCAAGCTGCTTCTTCAGCCCCGTGACCTCGCTCGTGAGCAGGCCGATCTGGGCTTGCTTTGCCGTATCGGCCTTCTCAAATGCCGTGATCCTATCAGACAATTGCTTGACCTTGTCCTCCAGAGTTTGGACATACGCCCAGAGGCCAGGGTCTGAAGCGAACATGTTATTGCCGTTTTCGGCCCCACTTCCGGCGCCGCGGCCATGAGCCGCGCCCGCCTGTGCACCAGCCGGAGCAGCGAATACTTCGGGGTATGAGTTAGCGTGATTTGTACACGGCGGGAGGGTTTCGGGCAGAACAAACCTGGGGAAGTGTTTCTCTCAGAAGGCCTGCGGCCAAAGTGTTGCTGCTGAAATTGCTGTGTGAGACTCGGAGATCGTTGTCTCGCAATATTATTCGTGTCATGAGCAGCTCCAGGGCTCAAAGGCTTAGGGCTTTCTGTCATGCCACTCTGCGAATAGATGGAACCGCCACTTACGGGCATGGAAGACACGCTCGTGTTGGGCGTATGGCCTCCAGCGATGCTGTTGGGCATGCTTGGGGATGTATTGGTACTTGACGCACCGCGGTCGACGTTGGGCGGGTAAAGTCCACCGGTCGTTCCGGGTCGTGGTCCTGCCGGTGGATAAGTCCGGGAGTGAGCGTTGTATCCTTCGATGCCGCCCTGTGCTACGTGCTGAGCCTTGATGCTTGGCAGGCTCAGGCGTCTCTCCTCTTCAGTCATGTCTTCGTCGTTGCCGTAGACGACGCCGGCCATCGATTCATCGCCCTCGGCCATGCTTGGGCCGTCCATGTCGTCCGTCTCAGCAAAGCTCCCCATACTTGAGCGGCGGCCGGCACATCCGCCAGCGCCCTTGCTGTGTCTGGCCAGCGCATCACCACGGGCAAACTTGCGATCGCATTTCGGACACACATGGGGCTTCTCGCCGGTGTGGAGTTTACTATGGCGCTTCAGATCGTGAAGGCGCCGGAAGCGCATTGAGCATTCTTGGCAGATGTACGGCTTCTCCTGACTGTGAGTGAGCAGATGACTCTTCAGGTTGTGATGGCGCGTGAACTCGGTCTCGCAGAAAGGGCACTTGTGTTTTTTGCCAGACGATTGGGTAGGAGAGTCGTGACCGGGTGACGGCATGGGAAAGCTCATGCCACGCGCGGGCGGAGCGGGCATCATGGCAGCGGCTTGGAGAGATCCGGGATATGACAGTGATCCGGGCGTTGTCTTGTCTTCCTGAGCAGGGGCCGGGGCCGGCGGTGGGGGGGCCTGGGTGAGCTGAGGCTGCTGGTGAGGCTGTTGAGACTGCTCGTCGTTCTTGTGATCGACCTCCATTGGGCCCGGGCTAGCAGTCACGAGTGCGCCTGCTATGCTGGCGGCGCTCGTCGCGCTTTGCGGGCTGACCTCTGCATTGTCTGCGGGCACATTGTCGGCTTGTGGTATCGAGACGGGTTGGGGCTCCTTGATGGAGGTTTCCATGGACGCTGTAGGAGCCTGTGGCGCGTCCTCGGCGCGGCTCATGGCAGCAACACTACCGGCGAGTACAGACAAGACCGAGTGACCTGGGTTATCGCTAGATGCTGGAGGGTTCAGGCGTTGCTCGCGTCGTCGCTCTTCTTCGAGGGCTTCGAGCGCAGCGGCTGCAGTCAAGGGCGTGGGGGAGCGACGGGTAGATGCGAGGGCAAAGCGAGCGGATTTCGTCGGGGAGGGAAAATCGAAGGGGGCGGCAGCGACAGCAGCGGCGGCAAGGTCGGCAGGCGGATCGGCGGCGGAGGTGGGTGAAGTTGGAGTAGTCTCGCGAGCTCTCTTGAGCGACTTGGTGCGAGCAGGATCTCCCCCGAGCGCGAACACGTCTGATGCGACGGGGGTGGTCGCTGCCAGGAGGGGGGCTTCGGTCGCGATAGGACCGTTATCCGAGGCCATGAGCGGACTCAATCATCAAAGGGACTAATTGAGTGCTTGGGAGTGAGAAGAGAGGTATGATGCGACAGCGTCGTGGTTGTTGATGGGCCGTCGGTGCCGTCAACGACGATTCATGGGAGCTCCGGGTCGTTCAGCCACCTGTGGCGGTTCTCAAGTTGTTTCTGGGACGGGCTCAGGACCCCGAAATTGACGGGACGAGCGGGCGAGTCGCGGTGGAATGTGGCGGAACCTCGATTGCGATTGATGTCGGAGGCTGGTGCAGGTTGGTTGAGGTGGGAATCGGAATCGAGAAAAAACCGGACGCGGGCGAAATCCGGTGGGTGCGTTGACGATGAACAGGCTTGGGGGAGGCGAATGTGATGTTGAGAAAGAGGGAAAAGAGAGACTGAATTCGAGGTGTGGCAGGAGCTGGAGGAAAAGGGAATGGGTGGAGGGCGGCGGCGCGCAGGTAAGGCAAGGCAGAGACAGCGAGAGAGAGAAAGAGGGCCGAAGTAGAGAGTGTGAGAGTGACTTGTGAATGGGACGGCGGGATGGGCTACTTCTTCGGTGCGGTGCGGTGCGGTTTGGTTTCTGCCACAGGCTGCAGGTTGCAGGCCACAGGCGGCGCGCGGGAGGGACGGAGGGGACGGAGGGACGGAGGGAGGCACGTCAATGTCACTTCTTGCAGCTTAGTCTTGATTCGACACGGACGAGGTACGCGGACAGACTGCGTAAGACGCGGCCGAGAAGAAGTTCCTCACTCAGCAACACAGTGCGTCAAGATACTTCCCAGGCTGATGAGATCTGAGGTACGGATACCTTGCCTTGAAAGTACGGATAGACGGGAGGCCCTGGAAGCTGCTGATGGGAGGAAACATGAACTGTGAACGGCCACAGCCTCCAGCTACCTACCTAGGTAGGTAAGGTAGGTAGGTAGGTAGGTATCTATCCACCCACCATCATCCGGGCAACCATTGACCATTCGGCCCAGTATTCCCGCTGCCGGGAGTCCAGCAGCCAGGTACCTCCCTTCAACGACGGCGGGCTGGAGCTGGGTACCTGACAGAGCCGGATGCCCTTGGCTTTTAGACCAGACCAGGGCAGGTACGGACAACTCTTTGCTGCGAGCAGTCTGGAGGCATGTATCATGTACTACGTAGCCGTACCATGTACTTGACCCATCCTGTCGGAGTAGCTGTTTTTTTCTATCCTTTCATTTTTCTGGCAGCCACAATGGACAGTAGACCTTCCAGGTTGTCGTCGTGAGCCGACCGGCCGATGGAGACACGGAGTACAGCCCACCTCAGCTTACACGGCCGTTCACCTCAGCATCCGCGCCACGCCTGCTAGATGCATATTTAAGTTATTCGAAAGGTTCCAGCCTGACACGCCACAACTCTGGGCCGAGAGTCTCGGGTCAGATGCATCACAGCAGACGAGGAATCGATCTCGATCCAAGGTAAGGGAAGCACATGGACATACCAAATTCGCCCAGAGATTGATTACACAGCACCTTACCTTGCCTAAGGTACGGGGAAGTAGGTGATGTCAGGTCATTGATTCCATGAGTGTGGACATGGGAAATGGGAGGGAACGAAAACCTGAGGGAATGGAGCCCGATGGGAGGGGCCCGCTTCAGCCCCCGCGGTGGCTGTGCAGGACAAGATCCCAGCCTCTCACTGGACGCCTGCCCGTGCACCTGGTGTTTACATCTCCACTCTGGACCCACCTCGTCCGCCGCACCCAAGGAAGCCACGGTCCACCCTTGCACCCCTCTGCTCCAGTGTCGTGGTCCCTCGACGTCGCTGGAACCTCGTAATAATTCGACGTGGCTTTGCATTGCAAATGTACCCAATACTCCGCACAGCGCGACGCTTCAAACGTCTAGGTATCTTCCAGTACATACGATTCCCGAAGCTGAGGACCTCTAGCTAGGATTACCAGCCAAAAAGCAGCCACTCTCCAACGAGTACAACTATCCGTACTGTAGTAGGCAACACGGCGTATGGCCGTGTACCGAATCCCAAGGCACCTTCTGCAGCGATGCACCGCCAAATTTCCGAATCGAATTGCGTCAACATGAAGCTAACAACTCAGGTTGATCACTACCTACTTATCCACGCGCTCAACCTCATTCGCACTTACAGTTGCTCTCACTGTCAACCGTTGAGGTACCATCTTTCCTCACCTCACCTCCTGGGTGGTCTTGTCAAATAACAACTCGCCCAGACATACGGAGCACCTTACGGAGCCGACAATCTGATTCTCAAGAAGCTGCCAGCCATAAGGATCCGTCATCCGTCCAGCCACAAGTATGCCCGGGCAGCAATATTACTTTATCAGCCCCGAGTGGCAGAGTGCTCAGCCGGAGCCTCGTTTGCTGTGCCTCGCGGAGTCGCCCTGCTCTGCCTCATTGCAGGACGACCCTGCGACCAGTGCTGCGAGCAGCCAAGTCCGCATGTCAGATCAGGTACCGGGTACATGCCAAAGACACCCTCTTTGTCGCATATGAAGTCATCGCCGATGTTTTGCACCCTCCAGTTTGAGACTCATTGCGAACAATTACCCCAAGCTTCATCTTCCCGCAACTCAATTACCTACATAGTATCCGTACTTCGTAGGCTCTTTCCCTTTCACCACCACCTTCACTGCACACAGAGCAGTCTCGTCGTAATGTGACTTTTAGAGTGTTGGCTCACTTACGTCCAGGCTATCTTTCGACATTCTTTCCCACCCAACTCATTCTGCAGTAAATGCGTCCGCTCAAAAAGCTCAGCCGAGCATCGGCATTCCGAACATCCTGCTCCCTAAAGCCAAATCTCACCACAGAGTGCAAATGGTCGGGCCTGTCGATCCACGCCGGACGTTGAGATTCCCGCCATGCATTGTGCCCTGTCGCCTTGCAACGTTGTCGACCCAAGTAACCAGGCATGCCCTTAACCCCGTCTTTCCACTCAAAGCAGTCGCGCCGCACCAAGGAAACGGACGCTGAAAGGCAAGGTAGGACGGAAGATGCGGTGACCAGCCAATGGGTGGCACCCCCAATGCCCAGGTATTGCATACCTCAGCTTTTTGTCAGCTCCTCAACCAGTATCAAATCACCTCCTCGGAGCCAGGTCCGTCCTCATTCGGCCGTCAACTCCTCTAGCTTCTTAGCCTAGTGCCCTTTTCGTAGCCCCTGAGGCTGGCGAGTCGCCTGAACTGGGAACTATTCGTGCGGTACTTCTCCCAGGCGATGCTACGCCAATGTGGCTGGACTATCATGTTCCCTTGCTTTCTCGTTCTCGTCAGAAACGGACACAAACGCGACAACCTGCCAAAACCCACTTCTAACTCCCTGTTGACTTCCGTACTTTGATCTGACGAACTATCGGCCCATGGGGTTGTTTCGTTCACATCCACTGTCCTGGGAAAAAAAGGACTGGTTCACGGCCTCGGCTGAATATACAGATTGTCAGCCAACCACGAAGACAGCATCACATCTGCCAACACCTTGCCCGGCCGCCTCTCATTCGTCATCTTCCGCTCTTTCCGCTCTCCAGTCATCTTAGCCGCCACAGCACCAGAGGATAGAGACGGGAGGGCGACGTAAAATGAAAGAAACAGAAAAACCACATTGCTGACTGACGGCCCCCAAAGAACTGCGTCAGCTGAGCCACGACCTAACTACAGCTCGACCTTCATCCCCTGGATAACGGCATTTCATTGGCTCAAACCCCTTCTGCCGCCGATCCCTCTCTGTGCCTACCACAGTACAGTCTAGGCTCACCTGAACCCCTCCAACCCTCGGCCGCCCATCGTCATTAATCATCCTGCTAATGGACGCGCAGGCCGAGCTCGCAGCGGCGAAATTGAGCAACCGAAAAATGATGCGCCGCCGCCGTGACGGACCAACCGCCTCATCCGCATCGACGAAGATCCCGTGGCCAATTCGCCCTCCAGATGGGGGGGGGTAACGTCACCGGAGCTTCCACCGTTAGCCACGTCGTTCTTCCCAGTGTTGATGTCCGCATCTGCATCGTCGCTCCGATGCTCGTGTGCCCATCAGTTCTGTTTGTGCAGCTGTCGTGGAAGATGCTCCGGGAGCCTCGCCGCTGACCAGCGGGACTGCGAACATCCGGGATTCACCCCTGCCAATGTTGGGAGTCAGCCGCCTCTCTTTCACTTTTCCTTGCATGCTTCTACCCAATGACGGCCGGCGTGATGGCTACTGGGGGGTATTGGGGAAGTTAGCGGATCGGAGAACTGTCAGGTCATAGGGCTAGTCCCGATTCTACACCTGATACGGCGAGGCTGGCTGAAGGCTTGAATAGTGGCTCGACTGGTTTCACCTATTCGACTCTTCACCTGGGAGATTAGTAAACATTGTGTGGGTGATTCGTGCTGTTGGTTGCATCTGTGCCTTTGCCAGTCATGGTATTCGAGTCGGGCTAATATCGCACATTCCCAAAACCCGGGCTAGGCTCGGGACCTTGCTTTGTATCGGGCGGCCAGCTATCCACTCTACTACACTACTGACATTATAGTTAAGAACGGATGCGGTTTATTGTTGAACGTGCGCGAGCGCGACATCTCTCGTCGGTGAACGAGAAGCGGTTCCTGGCAGGACATTTCCATGAATTAGGCGTACCTACAAAAGGTTGGCCAATACATGCTCGTTGGCCAGTGAACTTTCTATGATGGATTGGTTAACGGAAACAAGACCGGCAAGAGAAGGACAACTTCATTCCACTAGTATGCTTTGAAACTCAACGTTGAACTCGACGAAAAACCAGGGCTAGTTGTAGTGACATAGTCTGCAAGTTACGTCGGTAGCAACAAGTGTAATTTCATCACCGCGGGAGGTCAGCTTGGTCTCGTTGACACGACGCACTCTTGCCCTCTAAGACCTAGGCATCGACATCGACATCGAAGCGTTGAAGACACATGCCTGGTTTGCAGCCAGCTATTCACCAACTCGTTGATACATACTTGTTGAGGCCAATGTTGGCAGGTCCTTATACCGTCAGGAGCAGAACCAG